CAGGTGAAGGCAGGCCCACCAAGCGGGGCCTGGTGGCACCTGCCTGTGATCCCAGCACTCAGGAGGCTGAGGCAGGAGGATTGCTCCGAGTTTGAGACCAGCCTGGGCCACAAAGTGAGTTCCAGGCAGCCTAACCTGCATAGCGAGACCTATAAATAAAGACAGTCCAAAAAAAAACAAACAAAAAAAATGGGCGTGGTGACTCACACCTGTAATCCCAGCACTCAGGAGGCTAAGATGGGAGGATCGTTGCGAGTTTGAGACCAGCCTGGGCTACAAAGTGAGCGCAAGGCCAGCCTGAACTGTATAGCGAGACCCCGTCTCAAAAAAGGCATAAATAAATAAAGACAGTCTCTCCATGGGGAAAGGTGCTGCTGTACGTTGCTTCACTTACCCCTAAAAAAAGAAAACTCTTGGCGGACCCCTTTTGCATTTGGAGGGAATAATACCAAATTTGAGTGTGTTAATTCAACCCACTTGCTGTGTTATCAATTTCAAGGAAAGAAAACAATTTTTTGAGCAAAGACTGAAGCAATGGAAAATCTACATCAGGTCCTCTTATAGCTGGACCTTAGGACCCAGCACATGTAACACACAAGCGTCCGTGACAGACAGCAAAGGCCAGCGGGAGAATGGGAGAATCCCAGGCAGACTTGATGGCTTGGGGATTTGACCTGCCCAGATGGGAGTGCAGACCTGTACAGGAGGACGGGAGGGACCAGGCTCAGCAGGGCCAGAAGACACAGGCGCCTGCTGCTTCCCTCCCGTCCCTGTGCCACACAGCAGGCTCCTGGAGGCCAGCTGTAAGGAGGAAGTAACTCCGGTGACTGCAGGGCACACTCCCCGGTGGCCCTTTCGGCAAGGGATGCTGCAGCACTACGCTCCTCCTGGAGGTGATGCTAAAGGACGGATACACCGGGCCTCCCTTGGCACAGAAATCACACAATGTGATCAGAGAGCAGGCGACGACCACAGTCCTGCAGGATCCCATCTACACACGTCCCTGAAGATCCCATGGTCAGGTGGTTAAGGACCTAAAGGAGAGAAACTGAGGGCAGGGCTAACAAGAAAGAATTTGCTGAACACTCTCCAAACATGCGAGAAAGGTGTAAGGTACAGACTTCAAGAGCTCAGTGAGTCCGGTGGGGTTCCTGCACTCGGGAGGCTGAGGCAGGAGGATCACCACAAATCCGAGGCCAGCCTGGGCTCCATGGTGAACTCAAGGCCAGTTTGAACTACAAACAACAGAATAGAAATCCATGCCAAAGGGGCTGGGGATTTAGCTCAGCGGCATAAGCACCTGCCTTGTAAGCAGGCAGTTGTGAGTTCAATCCCTGGTTTACCGATAAAAAAACGAAAAAGACAAAAAAAAAAAAAAATCCATGCCAAGATAGGTCACAGTCAAATCTGGAAACCGAAGACAGAAAATACTGAAAGGAAAAGGGAGAAACACCACCTTATCCCTTAGAAATTAAAGAGAAACTGGGGCCAGGGATTTAGCTCACTGGCATAAGCGCCTGCCTTGCAAGCAGGCAGTCGTGAGTTCGATTCCCCGTATCGATAAAAAGGAAAAATATTTAAAAAAAAGAAATTAAAGAGAAATTAAGACATTTTCAGGTGAAGGAAAATTGAGTACAATAGATTTTCTCAAGTGTTTAAAATGAAGCTTAAAAGCAGGACTTTACACAGACCTGAGAGCCGGGACACGGGAACTCGGGCCCAGCTCACGTGTACCCTCAGGTACATACAGGAACACTTCAGGGCAGGAGCTGCTCAAAAAGCTATGGACAACAATGCAAAATTCTATTCTAGAAAAATGTAGAAAAGGTAGGAAAAAGAAAACAGTGTACAGAGAACAAACACCAACATGGCAGGCTTAAGCCTTCGCCTACCTGTAATTACATATAATAGAAACGGTCTGAAAACATGAATTAAAAGATTGACAGAGGAAGAAATCACACGCTGAATGCGGCTTGTCTACAAGACAGTTATTTCCAAGAGAGCAAGAGAGGCCGTGTAGAGCCAGCGGCAAAGCAGAGGCAGCATGCACCAGGCCCCAAGCACCAATAAATAACACAACATAAAATAAAGCAAGCATGGGGCTGGAGGTTTAGCTCAGCGGCATAAGCGCCTGCCTTGCAAGCAGGCAGTCGTGAGTTCGATTCCCGGTACCGATACAAAGGAAAAAGACAAACAAATAAAAATAAAAAAATAAAACAAGCAAGGGGACTACATTAACTTCTGAGAAAACAGATTTCAGGGCAAAAATATTATCAAGGACAGAGAGGGACATTATGTCCTAAATGGGCGAATCCACCAAAAAGATACAGGCATCCCAAAGGTGTATATGCCAAATGACAGTAACACAAAGTACATGGACCAAATACTAATAGTGATGCAAGGAGATGATTCCACAATTAGAGTTGGGAAGCAAATAACTTGACGGAAAATCAAGGACATACAAGAATCTGCTAGGCATGCTACAATCCTAGCACTTGGGAAGCTGAGACAGAATTTCCATGAATTCCAAGCCAGCCTGACCTACACAGTGAGATGCTATGTTAAACAAAAATTAAAAAAAAAAAAAAATAGAAACAACATAGGAAGGCCCCCAAAACCGAAAAACTTACTATAGGAATAATTACACACCTGAGTATACGTCCTGGAGAAAGAAAAACATAAAAATCTGTATGTAATAGCTTACAGAAGCCCTTTTTTCCCCAAAATAGTTCAAAACTGAAGACAAGGATGGGCTTGTCGTCCTGGAACTGTTGTGAGGCTGAGGCAGGACGACTCCGTTTGAGCTCAGCTTGGGCAACTCGCAGACTTAAAACTTTCTCTCCAAAAAACAAATAAAAGGGGTTGGGGCTATAGCACAGTACAAGGGCCCTGGGGTCAATCCTTAGTGCCATCAAAAACAGAAAACTCTAGAAATATTCAAAATATCCTGCAGCACGTGACAGACATAACCACGTGATGACGGCTTTCGGCAATGCACGGAATGAACTTCAGGTGAGCGCATCTTGGATGGACGTCAAGGGAATTACATGGGTGGGAAAATCTCCAAAGGTCACATCTGTACGATTCTGTTCATGTGCTGCTCTGTGCAGAAGTGGCAGAGAAGGGCAACTGCTACAGATTTGGAGTGGCAGCCTGGGCAGGGGGAGGCCATGGTGGGGCAGCATGAGGGAGCTCCTGTGCACACAGGACGTCCAGTGAGCTGGGGTGATCACAGGGACACACACCGTAGCCATGTCAGCTCCCGATCTGGATGCTTTCCTAGTGTTATGGCTTGTGTCTGGATGTCCCTGCAAAGCCTCAGGCAGTCCTGTGGCGGTGGGTATTTTGGAGGCGGCTGAACCTAGCTTGTGATGGATTCAGGGTATGAGGGTTTTGTCTGCCCTCGGGCAGGCAGCCTGCCTACAATACAAGGGACAAGAAGAGGCCTGTGCATGTGCATTCCTTTGTTGCTTCTGCTGTCTTCTGCTGCCATGAACTGCTGCCCCATGCCACATGCCACCCTGCCTTAGAGCCAGCCGGTGAGGGACCAAAACATCTACAAACCATGAGCTAAACAAATCCTTCCTCCTTTAACTTTGGGTGTTGGGTATTTGTCTCAGCAAAGAGACAACCAGTTATCTGAGCCGTGAGCAGCAGATGGGGTCATTGTTATATCACGTGTCCCATTAGCCCAACAGCAGTTTATGGTGTATGCCTTTTTAGCCTCTTTTCTTCTTGGAAAGGTAACAGGAACCACAAGCTCCTGCAGAGAAGAGGCCTCCTAAGAAGGCCTCCTCCTAAGAAGAGGCCTGCAGCCGTTAAGTCAGTCGGAATCTGAACAGGGACACAGCCGTCCATACAGCCCGAGCCGGGGACTGTGGACCCTGCAGGCTGCCCTCAGCAGAGGACACAAGGTACTCAGCAGACACGGAGGCGCCAATCTGCAGTGACCCGAGAGCACGGTCCTGCTCCAAACTCTGCTGACACTGAGTTTGCAACAACCTCGTAACCAAAACACAGGCACTTAGAAAAGGGGTGAAAGGGGCCTGCTGCATCTCAGCTCCTATGACCCTGCCCCTGCCCTCCTGAAGACAGACAGCTGTGACTTACACACCTTAAACCTTAGTGTTCTCACTCTCTCAGAATGGGTGTGGCTGACCCAGCCTTGGCCTCCACCAGACCCAATGCCCAGTGAGGGGCGGGAATGTGCTGGTGAGGTGGCTCCAGACATTCCCCACATACCAGCCAACCTGCTCAAGGGCTCTTCGGACCGTGACCCGCATTCGGACTAGCCACACCGGGCTGCGGGTGGCAGCGCAGCCTGCGGGGTCCCTTCCTTCCTCTGCAGCGGGGTTACACCTCACAGCACCACATGTAGGGGGTATAAGTAAAACCACAAGCTGTCACGCTGGACTTTCCTCTGACCACTTCTGTCCTGAAGGCTGTGACACACATGCTGTGTATATTGCTCCTTGCATAGCAACCAGTTCATTAAATGAGGAACCGCAGGAAAGGGACTCGTCCTTAGCCATGAGATGCCTGCATGACCACAGCCACCTCGAGGCTGGGAGTCACAAGTCCACTTCCAAGTCTTCACAGACTTGCTGGGGGCAGGGACACAGGTACAGAACATGCAAAGGGACACGGTCCTAGGGCCCCACCTCCCAACTCAGGCCCAGCCCAGGGGCCCCCACACCAGCAGTGGCCTGTGCTCCAGCCAGGGTAGGTCAACTGAGAAAGGTCACATGAGGCCAAGCGGACCCCACCTCCAGGAACAGCAGCACTGCTGGTCTCCAGCTCAGGAGCCCAGCACGGGGCAGAGCTGCGCAGCCGTCAGGGAGCCCGGCTTCTGGCCTGCCCTATGGGTCTCACAGGTGCAGAGTGAATCACAGCCCCAACTGTGGTGGGATCACTATTGGCATCACACCATCACCTTAGCTGTTTCTTGTGCCCACTCCTGGGTGGTCCCCAGAACAGTCAAATGAAAGCAAATGGAAGGGTTGGTTTTGGTGTTTTTAATTGGCTTTGCTAAGAACATAGCGACTCAGCTCCCGCCAAGACTGTGACCTCTCCCAAAGCCCAAAGCCATCTACAGGGCAGCAGCACGCATCTGCTGTCCAACAACTGAACACCTTCTGGATCCTTCTACATTTCCTGCCAAGAGCATCACCTTCTGAGGCCTCTGAGCTGGCTGTGTGACAGCTGGAGATGTGGGGAAACCTAAGGCTCAAGAAGGAGCGGGGAAGGCGTCGCTACATGGCGCCTCTCTTGCCCTGGGCTGGCCCTCCACAGTGAAGGCCAGTGTTCTTGGAGCCTGCTCTGCACCGCAGGCCTCAGCAGTGACCACAGGCAGGACGACAGCGAGGCCTTCTGCTGCCCGTCCGCCGGGGTCAGGGAAGCCCCTGGTGTTGTCTGCTGGGCTGCACTGCTATTATGGGGTGCAGGGGCTCCTTCACAGCCTCAGTCTTACTCCCCATTGCCCTTCCGGTGTCCTCTGGTCCTACCCATAAAGCTGCAAACCCTAAGCCCTGGATGCCTTATACATTTCATATCTTCCCTAAATTTATTAGATATCTTCTGAATTTCAGAAGGCAGTAACCTACCAGCTAATGGAAAGACACAGCCCAATTGTGTGTGAATCAAAGCAGGAGGCAAGGGAGAGGGCCTGGGGTTGGAGGCCCGCCTTCTCTGTGACTACCAAGCCGAGTGTGCTTGCTCTGGCCACCACCCAGCACGCAGGCACGGCTCTGGGACTGACATGCAGGCCCGGCCTGATGTGTACCACACCACGGTCAGGACCCTGGATGGACAGTCACATTCCAGGTGCCTTCCCTGGGCCTCATGTATTGCCCTGACTGGAACAGTCTAGATATGAAAGGGAAAGGAGCCTGCGCTGGAGCCCAGGCGCTGACCCCAATCCCACAGCACATTGCACACAGCCCTGTGAAGGTCAGGAGGGTCCCGGCGCTCCTCCCCAGGGAGCCTTTCCCCAGGGCTCAGGCTGGCACCGAGCACAGCACCGGAATCGCCATCATACTCTCCCACCTCTAGGCAGGAGACAGAAGTTCTGTGAACGGAAGCACTGGAGCGGCCTTCACTGTCCTGATGCCCCAGCTTCAGCCCTGTGCCAGAGACAGGGGTGGGGCTTTCCCCAGCCTGGCAAGTTCTGCTTCTCATTTCCAGCTTGTCACCAGGTCCTCAGGGGCCCAACACACAGCCCCGGGGTCAAACTGTCTGCGCCACTGGCCGCTGCACTCCACCTCTGTGGCCCTCAGGGCCTACAGGCTCTCAGTGGGGAACTGTCCACAGCATGATCAAAGAGGACAGGGCCAGCGCTGTTCCCCACATCCTAGAGCCAAGGGGCTGAAAGATGACACGGCCAGTGGTCACTGCCTCCATCTGGGAGCTCCTAGCAGGCTACTCTGCAAGTGCTGTGCTTTCTAAGGTGCTCCTTGGCTGCTTGGTGATGTGAGAGGTATGTCCACAACAGCCCTGGGACTCTGCCAGTCTGGGAAGAGCCGATCCTCTGTGGCCCCACACCGTGTGGCCCATGGAGGACACGCTGCAAAGGGAGGCTCCTTTTCCGATGCAGTGAGCCGGTCAAGCACATGGCGCCAGGAAGACGTGCCTCCGGTCCGTGAGCGCCGGATCCGTGACTGGGCTGTGCAGGGACCAGAATGTGGACGCTGGAGGGCACTGCTTCCCTTGCAAGCGCCATGTCCCTCTGCCACTTGGTTGCCTGACCCCAAAGACAGCAGACACAGAGGTAACACGGCTGCCATAAAGAGGTCTCCAGATACTCGGACAGCTCAAGGGGTGCATGTGTGCCCACAGCCACTGTGAGGCGACCTTCAACAGCCTTGTGAGGAGGACACATGCGCTGCATCTTCAGGGTGCGGGAGGCAGGCGCTGTGCAGGAAAGGCAATGAGCAAGGGTCAGAGCAAAGGTCAGAGCTTTAGGCGCCCACACCCCGCTCTTCTAACCCTGTCCCCCCACCCGAGTGGGTTCCAAGGGCAAACTCAACAGGAAGCAGCCAATGCACAAGGACACAGACTCTGGAGTTAGAGGTGCCCTATCTCAGGACACACAGCTCCTGGAGACCAGAAACCCCTTTTCCCTCACTGACGGGACCCAGGCACCCACCTAAGTAGCTGTGAGGATTAAGGGAGTCGGCCCAAAGCAAGCACCTAGGATATAGTATGCACTCAGCCACCATGGTCAGCTCTCACAAATGAGGATAGGAAGGGAAGGCAAAGGTGACCACTGAGTCACAAAAAGTGACAGAAATAAAGGCAAGATGCCGTAACTGTTCTGACGTCATTTCTCGGGTCACTGTGCAGGTGTGTGGTGGGTGCCACAGCTGCTGTGCCTCGGGACTAGGGCTGTGACCTAGGGACAGAGCACCTGACCAGCACACAGCAGGCCCTGCATTCCAGCTGCAGCGCTGTGAAACTGATAACCCACCACTGTGCAGAGCACTGAGGGTAGGAAAGTAGACAGGGGCCTCTGCTCTCTCCCAGCTTTCCCCGCTGTTCTGGACCTCACCCGGGAGAGGATGCAGTGGAGCGCGGAGGAGGGAGAGACGGGAAGCGAGCACAAGGCAGTCATTCGGGCTTCAGGGGCCCCACCCACCAGCAGCTGCCAGGCGCTGGTGAAGTGCTGGGCTGTGGCGAGGCTGGGAGGTCACTGTCCCGGGCCACAGCTCCTCCTCCCCGGCAGCAGAGGTCAGGATGGCCAGAAGGACAGAGAGGCGTGGCGGGGACTGAGCGAGAAGGACTCCTTCCCTCCACAGCCTGCTGCCTGCGAGCTCACGCCGTGGTGCATCCCATCACAGAGACATGGAGCCAACACTAAACAGTTCTCAGAGACCTTACAGAAGTCTACCTGGTGTTTACCGTCTTCTTTTCCCTTTGGTACTGGGGATCAAACCCTACTCTACTACTCTACTACTGAGCTACATCCTCAGTCCTTTTCTTTTTTATCGTGAGACAAGGTTTCACTGAGTTGTCCATGCCGGCCTCCAATTAGGGGTCTTTCTCCCTCAGCCTCTGAAGTAGCTGGGACTGCAGGCATGTGCTACTATGCCTAGTTTACAATCCTTTTTAAATTCATTTCATGGAGATATAGTACGTAATCCCAAAGTAAAAAAGTATTATTATGGCTGGAGATTTAGCTCAGTGGTGTAAGCACCTGCCTGGCAAGCACAAGGTCGTGAGTTCAATCCCCCCCAAAAATAAAAAAAAATTTTAAAAAAAGGATTATTAAAACTTAAACACAATACCATTATCATGCATAAAAGATAAACAATTCCTTTACATCAGGTGAAAGTTCAAATTTCCAACTGTTTCATCCATGTCAAAAATGGGTGGTTTTTCAATCTTTCAACATTTGTGTTTCCAAAGCCCGAGACACTTTGAGGTCCTACTAATCCCACCAACTACAAGTCACTGATTTAAGCCACTGAACTGGATCAAAAACTGAAGTCCAGAGAGGTCACCGATTTGCCCAAGATCACATGACTAGCTGGAAAAAGGACAGTCTGTCCTTAGTATCACTGTGTGCAGTATAAACACTGAGGTGGTGACTGGAAGGAAGCCTTAAGTGCATAACACCTGGCCCCCAAAGGACCACTGTGACACCTCTGGCAATCACACCCACCTGGCCCATAGGTGAACTAACCCAATGCCAGCACCACCAGGCAGAAGCCAAAACTTGCCCTCTACCCTGGCCTTGTTTTAGCCCTGAAAGATGAGGCTCTACTCTCTTCCTGCCACTGCCCAGCTCCCTAGGCCCAGCAGGCTGTGAGGACCACCTGCCATGGAGCAAGTGGTGTGGGTAGGGACCTACAGTCCAGCTGTGCATCAAGGTGACACTGCAAAGGTGAAGATGGCCTAAAACAGCCCCAAATGGCCTTGGGAGGTCACGCCCACCAAACCACCAAGGAAAGCAGCATTTCTACGTTACTAAACTCCATGCAGTACAGTATGAGAAAAAATAAGACACTACATATTTCACTTTAATATACAAAACCTTTAAATGTGGGTACAATAGAAGATCCAGAAATAGAAACCACTACATATCAAATAAAGAATGTGACAAACAGTTGGGCCGGGTGCACACCTGTACTCCAGCACTTGGGAGGCTGAGGCAGGAGGACTGCCATGAGTTCGAGGCCAGCCTAGGCTACATAGTGAATTCAAGGCCAGCCTGGACTACACAGTGAGATCCTATCTCAAAAAACTAAAAAACAGAGAGACAAAAGAATGTGATAATTCATAAAGACATGATGTTAGAAGTAATCAGGAAAAACGCATTATAGAAAACAGGTATTCTCATCACTGTGACTAGAACCAAAGATTACCAAACATTCAAAGGGCAGTCAGTCAGCACCTGGGCCACACTCTCCACTTTCTCTCTCTCGGGCTTTCAGAGGTGGCAAGAACACAAACTGCACACTGTATCAAAACACAAAACACAACCAACTGCCATATCACTGGAGAGGGGTGAGACATGTTTTCATAAATCAACGCGGTGGACCACTAGCCCAGCTCTCAAAAGGCAGTCAGGGCTTTGTGTCCCCCACAGAGAAGCATGTTACAAACGTCACTAATAAAGACTAGTTACAAAACAACTCATACCCTGTGAACCCTCTCCTGCGCCCCCCAAATTACCTACTGTGATTAGGAAGAAGTCTGCAAGTCCCTAAAACTAGCGTCACGGTGGGCATCACCTCCGGCAAGGGCACGATGGGAAGCTTTCATCTGAATTCATTATTTCTGCAGTGATTGAATAATTTAAAGCAAGCACAATTCCTTTTGCAGTTGAAAAAAAAGCAATTAAATAAAAACACCTCTAGCCCTCTGCAAAAAGATGCTCTATGATGCAAACGGGTATTAGGTGTCCCCTCAGCACCGAGCTTTCCCTTAAAGTGATGAAAACACAAAGGCTGTGCAACAGCTCGGAACCAGCACCTGCCAGCGCACCCAGGTGGGCCCGGAGAGAGGACAGCAGCCTTCCCTCCAGGACGTGCTGAGGCTGAGGCTATCCACAGGAAAGCACACTCCACTCCACTCCACTGGGCCACACCTTCTTAAGATTACAAACATTTTATTGATAAGGTCACGTTAGAGCAAGGGGTGAAGGCACACACCTGTGATTCCAACACCTGAAAGCCCAAGGTAGGAGGGTCAGGAAGCAGACACTAACCTGGGCTACCTAGTGAGACCCCACCTAAAAAACAGGAAAATCAAACCCAGGTCAACAAGTCACCATGGAAACCAGACTGGGTAAGAAGTGACGGTGACAGACTGGGACAAGCTGTGCCCTAAGACAACAGTGACCAGCACTATGACTGCGAAGGTGTGAGGCAGAGAGAATGAGCTGGGCAGTGCCCTGCGCTGCTCCAAATGAGGGCCGGGGGACAGGCGGAAAAGGACGTCAGGAAGCGGCGAGGCACCACTGTGTTCACCCCTAGTCCTTGCCACACCCAGGGAGTGTCACAGAGGAGACTCACGGTGGCTTTCCAGTGCTCAAGTGGCAGAGCCACAAACCCCGAGTGGACCTGATCTGGTCTGCTGACGGCCGCAGGGGACTCACCTGTGAGCTGGAGGCCAGTGCCTGGGACGTAGGCTCCTCAGGCCCGGCCGGCCCTGAAGCCATGGGGCTCAGTGTGGTGATCCTACTCGGCTGGCCGCGAAGTGTCAGAGTTATAGTGGTGGGGACCTTCAGACCTGAGCAGAAGAGAGGAAGATGGGAACAGGGCTTTCAGTCACGGCCCCCGTACTTCCCCCTGGGAGAATCTGCCCTACAAGATACAACCCTAGGCCTCCTCCCAGCTGGGCCTGCACACCCAGGCAGCAACCCCAAAGACTGTAGCAGGACACAGCCTGTGCCCCTCGCCTCTGGGGGGCGAGTCTGCGCAGCCAACCTTGAGGGTGATCCCAGGACGTATGCCGCTGGGTTTACACTTCGCCCACACAGCATGAGGTTCCGGAGGAACAGCCCCCCTGCAGTCCCCATGTTCCCATGAGACACACCTGAGGCTTGGTTAGAGATCTGAGCCAGGCCAGGAAGGCTGCTTGCCAATTTAGCGAGGCCCCCGTTGGTCAGCAGTTGGTGGATGGCCGTGGGTTTCCCACCAGGGGTGGTGCCCAAGGAGGAGAGAGTGGTGGCCACTGGAATGGTACGGACAAGGGTGCTGGTGCCCGTGGTGATCGCACCCAGGCTCTGCATGGGGGTGGGCAGCTTCACACTGGTGGCCTGTGAGACACACAAGCTCAAGCAGTCAGAAACTGCCCTCCAGCAGTGGTGTCCCCGTGTTGGTGCCCGCAGGACACTGCTAAAGGCTGATGTGCACCGGGTGCCCACCCATGGACCAGGTCTTCTGCTGGGCTCTGGGCATGCACACCTTTAATCCTTGCAACTTGGAAGGTGCCACTACTCTTTTCCTCACTTTACCAACAAGGGAACAAGATAGAGAGGCCAAGATACCTGCCCTTAGCTCCACAGTCAGTGAGGGGCCTTCCCCACTGGCAGGTCCTCCCCACCCTGCCAAAGCCAAAGCGGAAGCAGGAGCCCACCTGTGCGGCCAGGCCCGATGGGGAGTTTGGGGGAAGGCCGGAGCTCTTGCCGCTGATGTCCTGCAGGCTGAAGCTGAGGCCCTGGAGGAGGCTGCTGGCTGAAGTGGCCCCTAGGAGAAGGCACAGTAGGCGTCAGCAACTGTGCATAGGTCCCCCCAGGGTAGCAACTGTGCACATGGTCCAGCAGCACCAGCCCTAGACTGCTAGGTTCCCCTGAACACCTCCTGCCTCCAAGAGGGTCACTGCCATTGGTAGAGTGGGGTGCTACACAGGTGCAACCCAGAATTTGCTCTGCACATCTCAGCCTGCTCCCAACCCAGTGGTTCCCACTAGGTGGCCCTAGGTTCAGGACAGTGCTGGGAAAAGCCATGATTGCCTGAACCACACTTCAGAAATTTAAAGTCCTTCCGTTCTTCCCAGTGGAGAGGAAGGAAGTGCTCTTCAAGGCCAGTGGCTTCTGCACAGCTGACTTACCCTTCACCTGCACACAGTCCTGCAGCCTTGGTGTAAACAAGGGGTCCTCTTGGGGGGGTCTGCAGTGCCAGCCTTGGGGCTCAGCTAACTGCCTCTCCAAGCAGGTGGGGTCAGAGACAATGAGGCACAGCACAGGCAGGAAAGCAGCTCGTTTTGCTAATGACTAGGACAGCACTGTTTCCCCTTGTGTCCAGTCAGATGTGTTTAAAACCTCAAATACAACCCCAAAACACCCATCAGCTATTCCTCATCCTCAGTCGTATCCTCCATGCTGGGGATGGAAGCCAGCATCTGGCACCTGCTAGGCAAGCGCTCAACGGGAGTAACACTGCCCGCCCTGTTCCCAGTCCCACAGGAGAGGGCACAGCCAGGACCCAGCTCGTTCTGGCTCCGTCAGCCTCAGACACCCACGATGTCAGGATGGAGTTACACCTCCAGACCAGCTCCACAGAGGCTGGTCCAGGACTGCCCCCCTCCCCGGGACAGATACCTGGGAGGGAGCTGCCAGGAGACGTGGCCACCAAGCGGCTCTGGAGTGTGTGCAGGGCAGTGGGCGAGGTGCTGCTGGAGACCCCTGCTGGGGCGGGGCTGGCCGCGACTCCACCTTCAGACGAGTTTGACCTGGAGACAGACAGAAGCCTGGTTGCCCAAGGGTCAGCATGCAGCAGACTCTAGCAACACAGGCAGGGCTGACGCAGGCCTGACAAAACTCTTAACGCTGGACAGACCAGAGCCCGTGGTTTCTCTGACCCACGCCTGAGGCTGGCCTCCAGTCCTAAAAGTCAGGCTCAGAGAACCTAGTCCTTAGAGCAAGCTACTGCAACTGCCACCTAATGGTGAGTGCTCAATAGGCCCAATCAGAGACAAAGGTGCCCCTGACTGAAGAAGCTGGACTCCACCACCTCCCTGAAGCATGAGGAGCTAGACGGGGTGAAGGGAAAGCAGGGACCAAATAGCCACAGCAGCTGACTCACTTGGCTGTGGAGAGGAGCCCGGTGAGCTCCTTGGTCCCCGCCGATGCCTGCCCCAGCGTCATGGTGATGGGCTTCCCGCCTGCAGCTGCAGAACAGAAGCCCAAGGTCACTGTCAGCCCCACATGGCCCCTATCTTCCCACGTCCCTCAGCCCAGGCTAAGCACAAGACGCTGGGATGGAATGTGGGAAAGAAAAGCCATGTCGGCGCACGGAAGCCATCGAGGTCACCTCTGCTTTCCACTGTATTTTACTGTTCCGGTACCGGGAATCAAACTCATGACTTGCTAGGCAGGCGCTGTGCTGCTAAACTGTATCCCCAGCCACCCCTCCCATTTGTGAAGCTTCCTGGACTATCTTATCATTCACTGAAGTCGAAAAGAACAAACCACAGCACACGGTGCCAGGCAGCCCAAGTCTCCCCTCCAGGGCGGCCTTTGCACCAGGGAGCCAGGCTGTTGCTCCCAGCCACAAGGCTCCCGCTAGGCACTTTCTCTTTTCTGTATTAGGGCTACTGGCACAATTTAGCTGTGCAAGGCGGTTACCTCACAGGGGGAATCTGTTCCTTTGCACGGCACACTTTAGCTCCTCTTTCGAGGCTCACCTTCTGGGGCCCCTCCGGTCACATCCCCCTGGGAGATGAGGGACACTTTGATCTTTGGCCGCTTGGAGGCCTTGCTGGCAGGAAGTGGGCTGGAGGGATGGTGCCGCTTCAGCTGGACCCTCAGCTCCTCCTTCTCCACCTCCTCTGTCGGCTCTGAGGAAATGGGGACTGAAAGAAAGGGTGCACGTGAGATCCACCATGGCCAGAAACATGGACAAAGGGAGCCCCGAGGCATGGCCCTGGCTCAGGCCCACCTGTCACCCTGACCTAGAGCCACACAGATGGGTCTCTGCGCTGGTGGGACAGACAGAAGACACCCTGACCCTGGCCACAGGGACAGTGACATACACGAGGGGCTACCCACAGTCCTGTTGGACCCAGAATGCGCCACCTTCCAGTCACAAGTCCCACGCCCTCCCGACTGGAGGCCTCGAACACCACACAAAGCTCCCCGGAGGGGCAGGCCACCCATTGTGGTACAGGACTTTCCATGAGGCTTGCAGGAGCCCCCAGCTGAGGACCTGCCTGACCAATGGAGGCAGGGAAGACGGCACTGGGGCATCGCAGGGCCCTCAGTAACAGGGAGCAGCGGTCCACGGCACAAAAGAGTCCCCAGCGCAGTCACTGAACACAGCCAGCCCATGCTTTGGGGCCCTCAGCCATTCCCACCTCCAGGTCAGAAGCCCCGGCCCTCAGTACAGGCACGCAGGACAGGGCGGGGGTCATATCCCACAGAGGGACAACTCCGGGGACAGGTGTGCTGGCCGCAACCAGAGAAGGAAGGCAGGCAGAGAAACAGGAGTGACAGGTGTCACATAGAGAGGCGGCTGGTACGCTTGCATGGCCGGGATGGGGACAGAGGAGGGGGAGAGAACAGACTTCAAGACTCAGCTCACAGGCAACAGGCACACAGGGAAGCCAAGGAGCAGGCAAAAGGCACGGGGAAAGAGCAGAGCCTGGCAGCCGCGTGAGCAGAGTGGCTCAAGAACCAGGAGACGGGGACCTGGCCCGGGGCCGAGCAGAGCAGCAGCAGGCAGGAGAGCGCGGTACTCACCGACCAGACAGGAGGTGCCGGGAGGAAGCGCTTTCCTCACCAGCATGTTTTGTTTCAGAAAAGCAGCGAACTGTGCTGGAATGAATGAGAAAGAATTACAGGATCTCAGCCAGCCACAGAGAGGAGGACAGGAGAGAGAGAGAGAGAGAGATATGGAAGTGGCCAGCTCCTGCCAGGTTTCTCACTGCGGCGGGGCAAGCAGCTCCCGGTCTCCTTAAACCGAGGGCCTCACACAGGTACCTCCAGGGCCACTGCTGAGAGGCAATGGAGAGGGCGCTGGGGGCTGGGCCTCCCATAGGAGGTGTGGCCCCACCTGCCCACCAACTCTGACATCACTGCTGCTGCCCGGGAGCCCCTCAGCCCTGTGTTGAATACAACTTAGCCTGCGGCCTTCCAGCACTCCCTGGGTTCTCGACTGTCACACTGCCCAGAGACTGCAGGCGGCTGGCCTAGCCTCATCCAATGTCTCTGGGGACACCACCCACCAGCAACTTGGCTGTGGCCACTGCTCAGGAACAGCAGGTCACAGGCACCCTCACAGAGCTGAGTGGCCTGGCCACAACTTGGCCGTCACCCCCGACTCACATGGCTGTGCCTGTCCACACCACTTACAGGAGGCCTGGGCTCCACTAAGAGCCCCACAGGGGAAGCCAGCTCGGCCTCCTCTGCTCAACAGCCGGCTCAGGCTGCTGCCTCTTGGCAGGGACCATTCCCAAGAATCTCAAACACACTGCTCTTGGATGCATCATCAAACACCAGTGCTGAACAGGCATCCACCAGGACCTGGGTGTGTGGGGGGAACAGACACTGCTGCTGCTGCTGCTGTGCTCTCCACCCCCGACCTCTTCTTTCTTGCAGCTCCTCGAGGAGCACGTGTAGCTCTCCAAACTATTTCAACCATGCAAATGTTGCCCAGCCTCACCTAAACCTACGGGCGGAGAACCCTGCCCACTTCAATCACCCCAGCACAGGAAGCGTAACTCTTCAGGGGCAAAAGAAAGGACACGGGCCTGAGTGAGGCCTCCTAGGATCTGGGCATGAGGGCTGGCACCCCACAGGTAAGACCTGGAGGTTCCTTGACAGCAGGTAAGGCTGGCAGGGCTTGGGTACATGAAGATGCGTCCCACCTCGAGTGTCAGAAACACTCTCGGGCTGGAGCCCACGCAGTCAGCGCACAGCCCCTTCCCCTGCACGGCAAGGAAAGCGTAACGAGGGCCACAAAGCCCTGCTGAGGCTGAGGCGCAGCCTGTGCTGCCTGGACAAGATGCGGGGAGGCTGCCTCTCACTGCCCCTGGACAAAGCTGCGGGTCACGCACTTCCCAGCTCTGCACCACGGGGACTGTGGAGGCGGAAGCCAGTTGCTGGGCTGGGAGCTATACCTTGGGCTTGTTTGTGACTTAGTACAGCTTCTGTGCGCTGCATGTGCCTCTTCAGCAGCTGAGAGCTCCCAAGCTGACCGGACTTCTGGGCCAAGGGAACTGTGGTCACTCTGGTCTTGGGACTGGAGGTGGGGCTGCTGGATACGCTGGAGAGATCCTGAGTACAGGAAGAAGCGGAGAGATGAGCCAATGTCATCCGGGCCACTACCACTGGTGCGACCCCCAGCAGTGCCCTCGTGGGAAGTGAAGGAGCCACGCACGTGGTCCTCACTCCCTGCCCGCGGCCCTTCCAGCCTGTCCTACCTCTGAGCCTGAGGGTGACGCAGGCAGCTTGGCGGCAGGGGAAGCAGGCCGACTGCCCCGCTCAGGGATCTCGAAGGCCAGGTCTCTGCGGGACACATCTCGAGGCTTCTTCTTCTTCTCGGCATCCTGGTCCCGAGGCTCTGAGCCCACATGGCCCTCAGTGCGAGTGAGCACCCCAGTCAGGAAGTCCACGATTTCATCCTAGTGTCAGAAGCAGCCAAAGCTGCAGAGGCCTCCTCGGGGGGACAGGTAGCACCCAAGAGCTCAAAGTATGACTCCACCAGGCTCCGGCCCCCAGAGGTGGCTGGAGATCAGCGGGGGCCACGAAGGATGCCATGAAGAGGATGTGCCATGCACACCCTTGACCTTCTCTGCTCATGACACTCTCTGCCCCCTCTCTCCCTCTATTTCCCCTTGCTGTGTTTATAACTCAGGCCCGCAGAGGCCCAGGGGACACCCCTCGGCATTCAGAGCCGCTGAGGCTGCTGCCAACAAGACTGAACCTCAAGGATAAGAGAAAGGGGGTCCAGCCGAGAAGGATGCAGGACCACTGCATACCTGAATACATCTGTCCACCATGCTCTGCGTCAGCCCTTCTGATTTCTTTTTCGCTTTGCTTATTCTAACACAAAAAGGAGAAAACGTTTTACTTTTTCAGCATAGCAGTCCACAGCATCCTGCAGAAGTAAGAAAGTTGCAGCAATTAAACAAAACAGCCTGTATAGTTGAGTATGCTAACACATGCCTACAATCTCAGCACTTGGGAGGCTGAGGCAGGGAGATCATCACAAGTTCAAAGCTAGCCCAGCATGGCAAGACCCTGTCTGAAAATGAAAAAAAGAATCAAGTGGACAGTGCCAGAGATTGTCCACTCTAGATGTCATATATACCTGGCTTACCAGGTAAAGTCTATATGAACTGTAAGGTCCTCATTGAGAGTGCCCCCAAAATAGCCTCCCCCGACTCCGAGGTTACTGGATTAGGAGAAAGGGAGCGGGGAGGGGAAGCTCACAGGTTAAAGGGATACAACAAGAAAATGATTACAGACAGCTGCATTCCCCTCTTCCAAAGCTGGTCTTAAAGCGCTGGCTTCTAGCAAGGGATCATGGCAAAAAAAGACCAGGTCTCCACGTCACAGGACAGGAGTAACATTCTTGACACCCCACTGACCGCTGTCAGCCTTCAGTCTCCAGGGAGGTGCCTGTTAATGCCAGGCGTCATGGCACACGGCCGTAATCCCAGCCCTTGGGAGGCAGAGGCAGAAGGGTCACTGGGTATTTGAGGCCAGCCTGTGCTGTGTAGTGAGTCCAAAGCCAGCTGTACTACAAAGACAGACCCTGTCTCAAAAAAAGGCTATCTGGCACTTTTCACATTAGCACAGAGCTGGCCACACTAAGCAATTTACCCCGGCTTCGAAGCAAAGAGATCAAGGCTGAGGTCTCCCAATTCTCAGCCAGTGCTCTAGCATCATGGAAATATGACTCCTGACCCGCTCTGCAACGTGACAGGGTTCCTATCTCCAATTCCCCCACCCCAGGGCAACACGCTTTCTTCTCTTGCAGAGAAGAATGTCTGAATTACTAAGAAAAACAATGTGCTCACGTGGAAATATGGCAGTGAGACCCAAAGACTAAACAATAAATTTACCAAGAAGCTGAAGAATAACCAAAGCCAGGAGGACTTCTCCCAAACACTTGCATAGCAAACTGGAAAGACAGGAGCAGGGACCTGTTTCAGGCTCTCTATAAACCCATAATAAAAATTAATCTGGAAGACTTGAGGGTATAGAAACACAAGGCCACATAAATGTCACAACCTCATCTTCAGTGCATTTCATGAAAACCTAACTACAGGCCCACGTGCCCGCACTGAGCAAGCTGAGGGCCGCCCCACAGCAAAGCCATCTTGCAGCTGCCCTGCATTCAGACCCGAGACACCGGAGGAGGAGCATCATGCAAACACCATCTAACGTTCACTTTCATCCTCAGGGATAACTTTAAATTGCCAGCCCCAGTGAGAGTAGACAAAAGGTATGTTTACAAAGTCTCAAAGTATCTTCTCCCACAAGATAGCTACTGATTATACAGAGAAAAACAGTAATTTCACAGTGGAGAATCTGGCAGCAGCACCCTTCACCACGTGGTCAGGGGTCAGGGTCACAGCACTGGGCGGCAGGTATTCCCGACAGGAGGCGCCCAGCAGCTCACCACTGAGGCCCTTCTGCCAAAAATGCACATCTTGATGGGATCAGAATAAAAGTCAAAAACTTAAACCGAAAGAGCTTACAAAGCAACTGACCAGTAGTCTTCAAAAATGTCACGGTCATGAAAGATAAAGACAGATGGCAGAACTGAATGACATCACAGGAGATTAAGGAGATGCTAATGAGGGCAGTGTAGAGCCTGGGTTGGATCAGGGTCAGAAAAAGAGTACCAGGGAGACGAGGCGGGAAATCGGGGTCTGCAGACGTGACAACGCTGTCCCGGCAGCGTGCAGCTGGGAATCACACTTTGGTTACACAAGACATCCACACCTGGGAAATCTAGGTGAAGGGCACACGCAATTCTTTGCACCTAATTTTACTAGCTTTTACAAACCTGAAATTAAAATTTTCAAACTGTTAACATGACTCTTAACAGTACCAGACCAGCGTGGTTCCCTGCCCCTTGGGGTACTGCTCTAATGCTGCCGTGTGCCCTGCGCAGCTCGGGGACCTGCCCACCTGAGGTTATCGTCAGCGCCTCCAACCACCACCAAGCTGTTCTCAGCACGGATCTTTTCCCGGAAGTCCTCCATGGCTTCAGGGTGACACTGCAGGGAGTTCTGGCCAATGACAAAGAGGACTGGGGTCTTCATGTCCAAGAGGGGATCGTCCACATCCTGAAACAGGGATGGGTTTTAGAGTCAGCTGGCTCACACTCAGTGAGCACTGGCCCCAGCTGGGGTGCTGTCCCCCACTCCCCCCACTGTTCCCCTCACTCTTACCCCTCGGGGGCCGTCCACTGTCAGGAGAGGAAACCCAAGGCAGACGACAGCTGTGACATACTCCATCACTGACACCTGTGAACAGTGGCACTGTCAGTCTGAAGGGCAGGTGGCTTCACTGTCCCTCAGCCTGCTCAGAATCTGGACGTAGTCCAGACCCACCTGCCGGTCCCATTTCCTCTGCCCTTGCGCTGATCCCAGAGGAGTCGGCCAGGGAGGCAGCAGCAGGCCACAGCACACAGGCAGCCACCACTCAGCCTTTCAGCGGCAGATGGCTGAACCGCAGCCCAGGAGGTTTACTACCTTACCCGCCAGCCCCTGGCTATAGGGGTCTTGCTGTTTCTCTCTGCACTAAGATAAATGGAGAGGACATACGCAGGGCTGTGATGGAGACGCAGCTCAGTGGTCAAGGAAAGACCCCTGGTTTAATCCCAGCACCGCGAAGTACAGAAAAGAGAACAGAGGTTGCCATTCTCCTGTGCTGCGCTTCAGGAGAGCTCCTGGACACCCTAGAGCTCTCAGGGCAGTGAGGGACGGGGCCTGCCAGCCCTGGGCCTGTAGGGGGGTACATCAGACGCCTCCCCAATATTTAAGAATCGTGCTTGATAGAAGAATGAAGCTTTGGACACGTCAAGGATGCACTAACTGGTAGACATAAGAAGCTAAGATATTCAAAACATGTCCTCAATAGTATAAAAAAAAAAAAAAGAAGAGGCTAAGATAATAAAGAACAAGTGCCTCTGGTCTTAAAGGAACCAAACATAAACAAAACATCAAATTCTGGAGCTATTAATTTGTGCCTACTGGAATTATTAGTAAGGTGGGAGAAGGTGGGACTGACTGAAGACATACATAAATGATACGGCGTTTCAAACTTTCTTCTAAATAACCTGGGAAGCACACTGGGAGCACATCTGTAATCCCAGCACTTGGGAGGCTGAGGCAGCAGGATCATGAGTGTGGGGCCAGCTCGGACTGCTGAAACAACCTATCTGACAGGAAGCGGGAGAGGAAAGGAGAGGGAGACCCACACTGAACCCGGCTGGGGACTAAGAGACTGGGCAGTTAGGACAAGCCAGGCTGCCAGCAGACGGCCAGAGAGCTGGGTGAGAGGCCAAGAGTTTACTTTCCCTGCTTGTGCTTCTTTTACAGTTTTCTACAATAAAGTTAAAAAACTAATGCTTTTAAGATTACGATATACAGTGCATTAACTTGTTATTCTCTTATTTTATGAATTTTTTTCAAAAAAATAAAAATAATAAAGCTAGCAGCAATGGCAGCATTGTAACCCAAGACAACTTTAGGTTCCTCAGTGACCTCCAAATGAGAAGGGAATTACTTACGTGACAAGCCACCAAAGCTCCCGTGTTCCAGCCGATCAGGATGACAGGCTTGTGTGGAAAATGGCTGTGAACCTTTTTGGGAAAAGGAAGAATAGTGAAGACAGGAGGCCTAGACAAGGGCAGACCCCGCCCAGGGAAGGAGCAGGGCCCCTCACCTCCAGCACTTTGCTCCTCACTCCCCCGATCATGTGCTCCAGACACTGCAGGATGCCCACCCCGTTGCCGCCGTTCAGCAGGTGGGTGGCCACAGGGATGACCTGGAGCAGACAAGGACACCCCGCCAGTGGAGGTGAGCTCTGCTCATCCTGCGCCTGCCCTCCGACCCCAGACAAGCACCACCTGAAGACAGACACACAGGGCTCCCAGTCCATCTACCGACTCCCGCCCCCCAAGCCTCTTCCTGTCCTCCTACCCGGTGTCCTGAGGCCCACACATACCTTGCCCAAGCAGGACAGCTGAGACTGCCAAAAGCGGTGGCGGCGCGAGGTGGGGAACACGGAGCTGGAGGGGCCCGAGGAGGCGATGAGAATCAGAGGCGAGCCTGGGAGCTTGCTCTGAGGGGAAAGGACACCGCCCAAAAGCCAGTGAGGGGCAGCACCCAGCAACTGTTAGGTCAGGGCATCTATGGAGCCCTGTGAAGCTCTACAAAAACCCAGTTATTGCCAGGCATGGTGCCACACGCCTGCAACCCCAGGGACTTGGGAGCCTGGGGCAGCCTGGGCAATACCGCAAGACCCTGTCCCAAATAAAGTTTTAAAAAGGGGGCTGAGGATGCAGCTCAGTGCTCCCTGATTTCAATTCTCACTACCATTAAACAAAAATAAACACAAGTGTGAACTAGGAAACAAGAACAAGCTAATAAGGAGAAGAATTCCTCCCGAGAGCCATGTATGGTCCTCCTGCAGGGTGGAAGCACTTTGCATGGTGCTGTTAAGCCCGAGCCATCCAACTTACCGGTTTGTTGTGAGAAAGGACACCTACAGCAGGGTCCCATGGCCGCTTGAGGAGGAGGGACAGGGCTTCCGCACCTGCGGCCCCGGTCTTCGTGTTAGACGATACGAGCATGCGGTCAATCAGAGTCGGGATCTGGGAGGGGGAAGATGGGGGGACACAGATGCTTCCGGCCCATCCTCCGCAGGCAGTGGGAGGACAGGCCCCACCAGGCCTCCCACGGCTGCCCTGGGAGCAGAGGAGTCCTCTGGGGATGAGTGTTGAAGGCGTAAGCTTATTCCCTCCTTTACCCCAACAGTTCCACTTCCTTAGGAAAACACACCAAACCCAGGCACAAGGGTGAGGAAAGCTATCACAGGCAAATCTACCGGAGTAATGATAAAAAGTAGGGTACAACCTAAATGGACACAGAACAGGCAAATCTACCGGAGTAATGATAAAAAGTAGGGTACAACCTAAATGGACACAGAACTTGTTAAGTAAATTATTCAACTTCCTGGATATCTTCAAGTATTTATAAAAGCTTGCATGACACATAGAAATAATTTTAGTTGGGCATGGTAGCACAGGCCTGTAATCCCAGCACTCAGGAGGCTGAGGCAGGAGGATCACTATGAGTTTGAGGCTGCCTTCAGCTACACAGACAGTTCAAAGCCAGTCTGGATTACATAGCAAGAGTCTGTCTAAAAACAAACAAACAAACAAGAAGTCTTTTGCTAAATGTTAAAGTGCAACAGAAAAATTTTGCACTCAGGAAAAAGGCTAGAAAGTAATATGCTGAAATGTTTATATAATGATCTCTATGGAATCATGGGTCTTTTTCTTCTACAGACTTCTCAATGTACAAGAACAGTTGATTGTATAATTTTTAAAAATCTGCATTTTCCTCTAGAATACAGCATTCAAACTATGAACATGTGGCATATTACATACCTGCTGTATCCAAAAAATATATCTTACTGTACTGTAAATACTATGGTTTACACCATATCTTGTTTTTTACTATTCCCTAAAATGTGGCCTCACAGATATGTAAATGCAGGTTTCAGACACGCTGATGCTCACACTACGAGGAAATCTCTCAGTAACTTTCATACCACCCACAAAAGACCAGGGGATCTCTGGAAAAGAAGGGCTTTATGGTTTTCAGAAAAGCAAATGACAAACGAAAAAGGCTTTGAGGGACTAAAGAATAAAAAGTGCTAAGGTCTGAAACAGGTTATAAAGGTAGCAGCAGGTCCACTGTTCCTAGAGGCTACGGATGCGGTGCAGTGGTCAGTGCCTGCTTAGCACGCTCAAGGCCCTCAGTTCAAGCCCTAGCACCACAAAACATAGAGGGAGAGAGGGACTAAAAACTTTTTCCACGTGAGAAATTAGTAAACTATAACCCTGAGACTGTCTCAGTTAACACAGCAAAAGAATGTCTATGCAACAGCTGCCATCACAAGGTGCCAGAGGAGTTTATTCTACGAGGAGTGAAGACATACATGGGTCAACGTGGGAGAGACAAAAGTCCAGCACTGCTCAACCATCTGCCAGAGAAGGGGAGGTTACCAGGCAACTCTCAAGTGAGGATGAAACATGCCAAAGCCTATTTAGGGCAGGTGGGATGGTAATGGCAGAGAGCCAAGCGAGATGGCCACGGCTGGGGCTTACTCCAGGCATGCACCGACTGAAGCCAAAGCTCTGAGCAGAAGTGAAGCTGGTAACGAAGGCTACAGCCTAACTGCAAAGGCTCTCTACCTGACCTGGCCATTCTCTACAACTTCCTCTCACACTGTCACTGGACACTTGGCAGGCAGTGAAACCGAGCAGAGTTGACCTAAAAACCTTTATCTGCAGCCAGGCATGTGTGAGAAACCAAAAAGCCCTGACACCCACTTTCCATCCACATAGATTATCAATAACTGGCTTTTCCTCTCAGTGCTGGGAAGAGCAAGCTCCCTGGCCTTGCCAATGCTATCCTCACGTGATTCAGAGGCTGGGCATGTGTGGTCTCCACCCTGCTTGTAACAGAGCTCCTGGTGAAAGTGCCTAGGTCGACAGCAAGACACCAACGGCAAGACCCAGCTGCACCTAACACCCAGCAGGTGCTTTAAATGCACAATAACCCCTAATCATCTATGTCCCTTGGGAAAAACCAAAGCATCTGCTGTGACTCCGAACAGAGTCGTGGTGTCAGAGTAACCACATGGAAAGCACAGCCCAGCGTGGACAGCACCCTGGCCCTAGGACCACATGATAACCTGGTGGAACATACGCCCTTCCAGCTGACCTGCACAGTGGCCCAGCAACATGGCCACACCATCCCACTGTGCACACCTGTGGAGTCCCCAAAGGGGCCTGTGACATTCAAAATAGCTGATGCTCTCTCCCCATGGGAGACACAGCCAGTCAGCATTTACATGATTAAGTGTCTCTACAAACAAGGTGGATGCTATCGAATTATGCTGGCCACAGAGCCACCAGACAGCTGGGGACACCAGTGAGTGTCCTAGGCCCCATCAGCAGTCACCCCCAGGACAAGTGCACCAAGGCCGTGTCCGCACGGCCTTGGGGGACAGTGATAGGAGAAAAGACGCACAGATGCCCACATCACTCCCGGGCCACTGCTCTCTGCCAAGAGCTCTCCCAGACCCCAAACTACCCTGCCTGCACCTAAGCCCGCCCACCACTCACGCCCAGGCCGGGGTCCTTGCTGTGCAGAGCTCTCGGGCACTCTCCATCTGTCTCAGCCTCCACTGGAAAATGAGCTTCAGCAGAGCTCATTGTCTTCACCTGGGCCTGATGCATTGTTAGCATAAAATAAACAGTAGCTGAATAAAAAATGTGGGTCAAACTCCCTACCATGTACATCACTGACATACCCGATCCTAAGTTTAATTTCAGCACTAAAGCAGACTTCTTTAGCTTTCTAGCAAATGTATCATCCCACAACTTAACAGGCTAACAAACAGTCTGAAAGTCTGAATGACATGGCTGAAGGGAGGTGACTTATAGCAGCCAGGTGGGCCGGCAGCCTGCAAGAGAAAGACCAACTACAGATGGTGAGAAGGCATGCTGGGAGCCAGCTATGCCCGGCAGGCTCTGGTTCAATCCCTAGCACACATACCAAAAAAAAAAAAAAAAAGAAGAAGAAAGAAAAGTTTAAAAAAAGTCAAGAATTGAATTAATCAAAGTTGCCCGAGGCCTTTTTTGTATTGCAGCAAAACATGCCCCCATTTCAAGAATCCTAGAGGGACCCCACAGACACCCTTGACAGTCACTACAGTTCTCTATTTCCATTCATCTTCTCCAGGCTCCCTGATCCTAGGCAGTGTCGTGACCAGGCGCCCCTTTAGAGATGAGGAAATCTAGGCACTTCTCCAAGCAGTACAGCGGCTGAGAGGCCAGGACCGCTCTCCACCACACCTCAGAGGGCGGGCGGTCACTGACCCGGACTAAGCCAGCACCTCCAGTTTAGGCTGCGCACTGCTGTCAGTCAGAAGCAGGGCATGTGACGAGGCCTGCGATGAGCACCGCTGTCCCTGGCTGCTACCAAAGGCTCCACAGCACCTCCTGGCTTTGTAATCACCTCTCCCCCCTCCCCCCCCGCATGAACCCTGTCTCCTCCATGACACTTCAAGTCCACGAAGACTCAAATCATGAGCTGCAAGGCTGCCAGGGATGAACTGTGCTTTGGTGTCCAGGCCTCACAGCTCACGCTGATGGACAGGGCTGGAGACACTGACACCAGATGCAAGTATAAAATTCCGCTGTCTCCGCTATTCAGTGGCAAGCCTGCCATCCTCAGTCCTGCCCTCCCCGCTGACCAGATAACGACCTCACCCAAGCCCACACCCTGAGCCCATAGGTGAGGCCGGCTGCCCGCAGGACAGGCCACTGTAAGCACAGCCTTACCTTCCCTTTCAGCGTCTGCAGGGCATCCAGGTAGGCAGCCAACATGGGCAGACTCAGGGTCTCCACGAGGGTAGTATGCAGCCACTGAGTCAGCTTGGTGTCCCAGCTCACACTCGCCAAGGCCTGCCGCACCCTCCTCGCACACTTGTCCACGGCAACACGGCGCAGCACTGGCTCATTACAAGCCTGCAAGGAGAAAGGGAAGGAACACAAAAGTTCCCCGGGGTCACACATCAGTTGGCCACTGAGGCTGGACGAGGAGGAGCCCACGCAGGCAAGTTCTGGTGTCTTACCCCTTCATTGGCCAAGCGGGCAAGCCGGTCAGACTGCAGGGCTTTGAGGATCTTGTTGAATAGCTTGTTCTGGGCCACTGTCCAGCCAGTCCTATAATGGAAACTCTGAGGAATTAAGGTCAAACCCCGGAGACGTGCCCTATGTATGTACACCACACACAGAAGACTCTGCCATGTGTTTTGGGCTCATTATGAAGCAGCACATGGGAGCCCACTCAGTCTAAGACCATGGCTTCTCGTGTGAGACTGAGGCCCTGGCCCCGTCCTGTCAACAGACACCGCTGCACACATGCTGAGCACTCACACCACAGGGTAAGCGCGGAAGTCGTTCCGTGCCAGGAGAGGTAATTATCTATGCCGTAGCTAAAGCAATCATATTAGTGAATGAAGCAATAGCACAGACATACTGGAATTTCCTAAGTTTTGTGTTTCACATAAAGGGGGCATGAATTACAAGCCCTGTAATATACTAAAAACTCAGACACAGGTAAGTGTTCCAATAGAGTAGATCCAAGTCAAAAATTAGCAGACATATAACCACTGCCCCAATATTAATATTTCACCCCCTAATTTCTCTACCATTTCTATAATTTTCTAATTTTTTTCTGTCACAGCAAAATTTTTTTGTCACTGCAAATGTGTATGTTCCACGTCAGCTAGTATTTTAGGACACCAGCATACACATCTGCCCCACTTATAGACAGCTTTGGGTCTTCCACCTACTCAACTTTAATCCTGCAGTTAGAGCTCCCAGCTGTCCCCCCCCAGGTCACTGTACCCACCCCACAGCACGGGTCCTATCGACGTCCCCTTTACCCTACACCCGGCACTCTCAGTAACTCTAATATTCTAACTTGGACAGAATCTTGCTAAAGATTCAAAGGCAACAAAAAATACTCAAATTAATACAGGTTTACCAACCCTTCCTGCCACTAAAAAAAAGAAGAAGAAGAAAAAAAAAAGAAAGCTGATGATTAAATTATTTTTAAAGGGCCAGGGATACAGCTCAGTAACACAGCACCTGCCTGGCAAGCATGAGGTCATGAGTTTGATTTCTAGTACCAAAAAAAACCAAGAACATCTTGATAACTTATTTCTAAAAATACAAAAGGTGGGCGGGGGATTTAGCTCAGCAACCTAAGTGCCTGCTTGGCAAGCACAAGGTCATGAGTTTGATTCCCAGTACCGAAAAAAAACCCAAAAGGGTACGAGCCCAAATGAGACAGACCAAGGTAGGGTTTCATGTCACGGATGAAGTTGCTAGCAGGGTGGAAACAACCACCAGTCAACTGAAAAAAAGAAACTCTAAGTCCCTACATATCGTTCTTCATACCAAATAAATTTCAGATGTAATACAAACCTAATTACCGAAACAAACAGAAGCCACCAAAGTTATAGAAAAAAATAGCTACCTAAAAAAAAAAAATACCTGCCTACCCACCTACCTACCTACCTATCTTTGGATAGGACTTTCTAAAGGTGACCCCGGACACAGAGGAAGAAAGATAACTTAACTACATAAACATTTCAAGCCTGTGTAAAAAGAAAATATTGTAAGGTTAAAACATAGTGGAAAAATAACAGCACTGCATTAAAACAGAAAGAGGCTCTAGAAAACAAGATAGATAAAATATTTAAAGAGCAAAAAACACAAAAAGGCAGATTACAGGAAAGTACAGTCAACCCCATTTCAAAATTCAGCTAATGCAAATTAAAATAATACATTATTTTCACATATCAGGTAAAAATTCAGTCTGCATTTTGAGGGTGTAAGTAACAATATCCTGTTGATGAAATATAAATCAGACCCCTGGACTGTCAACTGCGAGAGTCACGGAGAAGTCAGTCAAGACCCTGCTCAGACAATCACCTGTCCTCAGCCCTCCTAGGCCCGAGACAGGCCGCAGGTCCCCCCAGATCCCACTCCCCAGCCTGGCCAGGGTCCTGCAGACGGGCCTTTCCACGCATCCCACAGCTCACACCACGACTCCCGGCTGCTCTCCTACCCCGCCTTCTGCCACGGCCTCAGCCCTTCACATCCCTCGCCCTGCTGAGCACACGGACCGAGCGGCAGAGGGCTCCGGAAAGGTGGCTGCTCTCCAGCGGGGCTACTAAGGATGGTGCTCCACCACTGGCACCAACGCCTCTCCAGGCTCTTCACTTCTGAGGCGGAGCTTGCTGGGTTGCCCAGGCTGGCCTTTACCTCTCGACCCTTCCGCCAGTCCCCAGGGCCTGGGGTTACAGGTGTGCACCATCAATGTGACTCATGCGTGGCGACCACCATACCGAGGTGGTCAGGTTCAGGGATGGGCCTGAAAGGGCGTCCTCAGCCGGCCCCTTGTACCTCCCAACAGACCAGCATCCTTCCCTCCAGCCCACCCAGCCAACCCATGCTGCAGGCCAAGGCCACGGGACACAGCGCCACGTCCCAGTGGGTTCACAGAGGTGACAAATTACCCTTCATACTTCTTTCTAGTATCCCTGCAGCAAGCAGATCTCCACTACGAGGGAAGAACGTAATAGTTTAAGTCCTTCTCTTTCTGTAAAAGCGCATCTCCACCTCCCAGCTCTCTGGTTCTCTAACTTATCAAAGAACCCTCACCAGGAGACAGGACTCCACCTGGCTGTGATGACACCTAAATTCCTTAAAAATTCAGGTTAGCTATGATCACTGATACAAGAGCAGCTAAATCTACATTGAGAAAGAAAGCCCTGGGATTCTTCTAAACTACTTTCCACTTATCTTCACAGCTTTCTTTATTCAGCTAAATCTCTTCCTAACCTCCAACGCTGCTCATGTTCCCCTCCGCCCCCTTCTCTTCTCTTCCCATCTCTTCCCCTTTCTTCTTTCTTCCTTCTTCTTCCCGTTCTTTGGCAGTACTGGGACTAAACTCAGAGCCCTGCCTGAACTACATCCCAGTCCTTTTTTTTTTCCTGCCTTGAGACAGAGTCTCACGAAAGCAGTAAGTTGCCCAACTGGGTTGAACTTGCGTTCTTCCTGCCTCAGACTCCCAGAGTGCTGTGGTTACAGTCAGGCCTGACTACACTGGCCAAAGCTGCTCTCTTTTAGAGTCTTGCGGCCAGTGCTAGAAGCAGCCTTATGTGTCTGGGACTGTCCTTTTTCCCTCTTCCCCTCATTCTCCTGGCATGGCTCTTGTTACTTCATCAGATTCCGGTCTGTTTTGGTTGTGACTCGCCATCAGAGTCTAAGCTGGGGAGGTGGACAGCGAGAGCCCCAGCTGTGCTGGGAATCGGGCACCTGACAGCGGCTGGCCTGCTGAGCCCAGCGCCCTGGGCTATGGCTGTGTAGCCCCCTCCTCCTCCCCATGCTGAAACGCACAGCACACTCCAAGAAGGCCGGCTCTGCACCGTGTCTCTCAGGTGGGGGTTAAGAGCTGGCCATAGGCGGGAAGAACACGAGACACCCACCAAGAGTGTGGAGAAGCGCTCTGGGCAGCAGTGGATAGCATCTCCCTGTGAATAGTTCTTTGTTTTTAATGGCTCGTTAGGTTCTACTCCATTTTGAGGGATTCAGGTTTCTTTTATTGCTATTTATTTGGTTTGCTCTTTTGAGTCTCACTATGCTGCCCAGGTCAGTACTGAACTCCTAGGGTTAAGCAGCTGGGACCACAGCCCGCTTCACTGCTATTCACATATTTCTTGTATCAGCTGAGGGGACCCTCCTCTCCACCACTCACGCACACACCCCTACCCCTTTATACGCCGAGGCCATTCCTCTGAAGAATAATGTCATGAAATACAAATGAAAGAGCAAACGCGGTCTGTGTTTCAATTTCTAAATTTCAACTTCTGCGAAAACAATGGTAAAGAACCTGTGGTATACGAAAGTGGGATTGTATCGGAGCCTTACTCCAGGAATAATGCTCCCTTATAACCAACCAGGTTGGGTGGGAATGAATACAGTTTCCATGCAGTCAACAATTTCTGGAACTTTCTTGAAACCTACAAATCATTACAAACTTTTGCTCCTAGACTAGAAGATGTGGCATAACTGATTGTTAAGGAACTAACAGCATTCCCAAAATTGTCTTGGCCTTTATTATGTAATAGGATATTTTCTCTATTTTTTTTCCTTAGTCTATACTTGTTCTGCAACTCAAAATGATGTGGAAAAGGAGAAGAGGGTTAGAATGCTATTTAAAAATTACCACCATACATCAATCACTGCTGAAATTACATTTAAAACCATAATGCTTAAGAGTCTAAGTTCTCAGGAAAAGTCCTCAGATTGTTGCTGGATATATAACAAAGAAGTGAAATATGTTCTTGTATTTACTGTGTACTCTATATTTGGTCAGCTTCGTGGGAGGCTGGAAAATTAAGTGGGCAGAAAAAAATGATCTAACCCAAGATTAAGATAAAGAGCATGCAAGAGATATAATTAGGGAAAATTTAAAAACAGGAGACAGAATCCTAAACACAAGTCTACGTAGTCAACGCACTGATGGGAACTGTGGAGCACCAACTCCCTCTGCCCATCCATTCAATTTTCAGGGGTGCAAAAATGCCTTTCCTTCACTTCTGACATCAGATCAGAGTCTTTTGCTCTGACCAAACCCGAATGATATGCTGACCTCTGACTCATCCTATTCGAAGCACCCAAAACGGTACACTGGGCCTAGAAAACATGGTTATCAGTGTATCCCTGATATTGTTTCAGGAGATTCAGTCAACATTAAAATGTCTGAAAGATTTTATTATTTAAACTGCAAGCTCAACAGAGAGACAAAGAATACCAGAGAAACTCAACAGATTGTCACACTACTGAGACAGGAAGCAATGAAGGAAAGAAAATGGGGCCAGGGAGGGAGACTGTAACGAGATATCTTAGACATAGAGTTTCAAATATCTGGTCTAAGGTTTTACATAGATACACACAATATCGTGACATACAATTAGAGAAAGTTCAGAAAAGGAAGAGAGTTTTTGGGGGACTAGAATTTAGAAGTTTCAATTTCTAAGAGAAGACAGCCTGCTTTCCAACACTAGCTTGCACTGAAATGCTGGAAATGCCTCAAAATTCATGGAAGCAAATGCTGAGAGGTATCACAGTAAGGAGTATTTTGTTACGTGTCTTTCAAAAGCTGTGCATTTAATAAAATTTGCCACTGGACAAATACAGAACCTAGAGAAAAACAAACAACAACAACAAAAGCCAGCCCAGCATCTTTAGGACTACACTGTTATGCCGGCAAACACGAACCATTTTCAGAGCTCCTCCAAGTCACATGACTGGCACACAGACACGAGCATGACCCAGACCCAGTTGGCTAAAACACTTTTCTGTTTTGAGAGGCAGTTTTCCTATGTTGCTAAGCCTGGCCTCAAACTCCTGAGGTCCAGCAATCTTCCTACTGCAGGGCCCTCAAGAACTAGAACTAAAGACATGCACCACCATGCCGGCTCCAGAGTAACCTCCACAAGCGACCAGACAGAAATACTTAGGGCCTCTGCTGCAGCTCCTGGACTCTGTGGCTGTAGTGCACAAGCAGCCAAGGGCACCACCCAGTGGGTGGGCAGGGATGTGCGATGCTAGTAAATTTTATTTCTGGACACTAAAATTTGAATTTGGCTGAAGATAATGGCCTATGCTTGTGATCCCAGCACTTAAGTGGCTGTGGAAAGAGGATTTTGAGTTCAAGTCAGCCCAAGCTATGTAAAGAGACCTTGTACCTCCAAAAAAAAATTGCATTTCTTAAATTTCAAGCTTATTAAATGCTATTCTCCTTTTGATTTTTTTGTAACCACTTAAAAAAGCATACAATCCACTCATGTCTCATGGGCCAGACTGAGTCTGTCTCACAGTGAATCAAGCAAAGGCAGATTTAACCATCTCACAAAACATCAGCTACTCGCAGAGAAAGGCAGAGTCAGACGGGGCAGGCTGTCACCTCTACACAGCAAACACAACTAATTACTGGGAAACAGATCCCATGGAAAACTCAAGAGGGTAAAAAGAGCCCTGACAAAGAAATTAAGTTTCTGACTCCACAGACAAAAACAATCACTACGCTCCCTGGAGGCACAAATCTAGAGGTCCTGCATGTTGTCCACAGGCCCTGGAGTTCTCCATGTGGGAATCTGTAATTTTACATGACTTTCCACAGGAAGAGAGGAGGCAGCAATTTCACAATCAACTTAAGGCAGAGAACAGCAACCAGATGACTATAATCAGAGGAGGGAACTGCAAGCTCCGCAGGCCACAGATTCAGGGACAGGGTCATAAAACGGTGACCTCTGAGGCTGAAGCCAATGAGGATCCCTAAGTAACAGAATCCGTGTGTGCAGAAGTGGCCTGCCTGAAGAGCCCACCGCCGCTGCTGAGAAGGGCGCCTCCAACAGTTCATCTGACACTAGAAGTCACATCATCTGAAGTGAGTCCTAGCAATGTGCAGCAACACCCAGCAGAAGGATGGAGACCCGTGGGGACCAGAGAGAAACGGAGGCGGAGTGCCTGCAGTGCCTCTGCAGGCAGGACAGGGCCTGCTGAGAACCAGGAAACAGGAGCAGGGAGCCGGGAGCCAGGAGTCAGGAGCCAGGAGCCAGCAGGCGGCATCTAGCTTCACTGCTCCCGGATGGCTCCTGGAATTCAATGCTGCCTGACTCTACCAGGAAAGGACGTGCCTGGCCAGGTCACTCCACTGCCTTGTGCTCTGCAGTGCTCTCTCCTTGGAAAGCAACAGACTGCTATTCCCATGGATTAGGTCTCTAAAACCTTGTAAGTACATGCCCGGGTGAACTGATTAAAGACGCTGGAAAGCTGCAGGTGGGACCGGGCACAGGTGACACAGAGAGGCGCAACCACTGAAGCCCTGCTCTTGCTCAGCCACCATGAATCAGGCCTTCTCGCTGCTTTGCTGCCCTCGCAGCAGGAGGCACAGCACTCAAAGACACAGGGCTTGGGTCCCACTGCTTGGTTTAAACAAATTCCTCCTCCACGGCCTCCTAACTCTGTCCCTTTGGGCCTCAGGCCTGCTTCTTCATCTTGTAAAGCAGAGATGGAGGAGGGCCCCATCTCCAAGGGGCACTGGAGGATTAAACAAGGGGACGCACTGGAAGCAGGGGCTCGGTGTCTGGCCCCAGAAGACAGCGCAGCAGCTCCTTTGGGTTCCCACCATCATGGTGCTCTTTACTGTCATCCACTGTATCAGGCAGAAACCCTTCTGTTAAATTCGGTGACTGGCCACACTCTGGGAGCTGACCTGTGACAGCCGCTCCCTCCTCTTTGGAAACTCCAAAGGGCGTGTCCCATCCTTAGGGCGCCACACTCATTCCAGCTCAAGACCCCGACCACCTGCACACTCTTTCCCCACGGCGCCCTCACTGCTCCCTCTGCAGCAGGCGCACCTGACTGGTCACCCCAGCTTCCAGGCAGCCTCACCAACCATGCCCACTGCCTCCCAGCCCCTTGCTAGCTCTGGCACCCACATTGCTGTAAGAGTTGTCTAACAATATGGAGCATTTGCCACCCACTATGCTAATTCCTAATGCAGGCAGTAACTACCTCACACACATGAGTCCACGAAGGTGCAGCACTGCTAGAAAAATGAAAATTAAAACCCACAATGAGAATGACAATAAAGACAAGTGTGGGCAAAGAGATGGAAAAATTATAATGCTCAAATACCACTGGTAGGAACGTGAAATGGTGTCGCCACTCTGGAAAGTAGTCTGTTAATTTCTCAAAAATTAAATGGGGCCTGGTGTGATAGCAAATGCTTATAATCCCAGCACTCAGGAGGCTGAGGCAGGACTGCCACAAGTTCGAGGCCCAGGCTACATAGTGAACTTAAGGCCAGGCTGAACTATAGAGGAAGACTCTGTGTTTAAAAAAAAAAGAAAGTTATGGGCCAGGGACTTAGCTCAGTGGCACAAGCACCTGCCTAGCAAGTGTGGGGTCATGAGTTCGATCCCCAGTACCGTTAAAAAAAAAAAAAAGAAAGTTAAATGGACTGTTACCACATGGTCCAGCAATTCCACTTCTAGGAATGTACCCAGAAAACTGAAAACCCACATTCACACATAAAACTTCTACGCTAGTGATGTAGTTCAGGGGAGAATGCTTGCCTACCATGCTCCAAGTGCTCTGAGTTCAGTCTCTAGCACCACAAAAAACAAAAACAGAACAACCCGTCCACAGATGTTCCCAGTAGCTTTATTCACAGCCGAAGTGGAAACAACCTAAATGTCATCTATTAATCAGTGCATAAATAAACTGCAGGATGCCTATTCAATGAAACATCATCTGACAGTAAGGAGGGAAGCACTGGAAATGTCACAGCACACACGAACCTTGAGAACATCCTGCTACATGACAGAAATCAGACACAAAGGCCACACTGCCGGATTCTATGCAGAACGTCCTGAACAGACCAATCAGCAGAGGTAGAAAGCAGCTGGTGGTTCCCAGAGCCTGGTGGGCTAGGAAGGAAGGGTGAGTGACTGCTAGTGGGTTCTCTGTGGGGTGATGAAAATGCTCGCCAAGCTGATTACGGTGACTATGAGGAGACACCAAAAACCACTGTTATACTCACCGAATGGGTGTGAACTGTGTGGAATGCAAACACCTCTGCCAGGGGATCATGCAATAAGCAAAACCAATGTTCACTAAATGAACACAGAAAATGACCAAGAGAGGAGTGCTGAGTCCCCTGAGGGCTGGAGGCATGGGAACAACACTAACCCGAAGTCTCAGGAAAATCTGTGAAGGGTAACCTCAAAATAAATGACTGCAAATCTGTTTGTTAAAGCCATTCAAGTGGCTCTGCAGCACAGCACCTGCCTGGCAAGTGCAAGGTCAGGAACTGATTCCCAGTACCAAAAAATAAAAAAGTCACACAGTCACTTATCTGTTAGCTTTTCATGCAACTCCAAACATTTTGATTTTCTTAGACACAGGCCACAAAAATGCTCATGCACATTTAATGTTTTTTGCAGTCTGGGCAACCCTTATATCGTATCATAAACTACAGAACTAGTCGTAACTATCAAACTGAAATCACTTACTTATTCCACAAACCTGTTTCCTTTCTTTAAGGGATGGGTGCCTCTAAACTGCCCAAACTGGCCTTGAACTGCTGGCCTCTCACAGTCCCCCTGCTGCCTACCGCCCAAGCAGGTGAGGCCGCAGATGCCCACATCCACGCCTGGTCTCCCCATTTCCCCTAGACTCAGGATTCCAACTCAGGGATGCTGAGATGGCCACATACCAGCCCTGTTCTCAGGAGCTCACAGTAGAGAGAGTTGAGAAATTCAATGTGGAGAGGACATTGTGACACACGTGGCTACAAATGAAATAAGCTCCTGATAAATGTGCTTCAGTGAAGACAGTGACACAAGGCGGTGACCACTATCCCCATAGGGACTGCACGGAGCAGCAGCCTACCTGTTGACGTGCTCCTCCCAGTCCTCTGGAGGGGGCGGGGCGTCGGCATCAGTCCTGGCGAAGATGACATGCCGCTCACACTCGTTCATCACGCTGCGTGCCTTCTGGTTGTCATAGAGTGGCACAGGAGTCGATGTGACCGTCTCCACATCTATGGGGACATCTGATTCACTGTAAGGAAATGGGAGGGAGGCCACACATACGTCATGCATGGCGGGTGTTTAATGATCATCTGGCTGCCAAAAACTCTGCTCTTTAGTATAGCATATTACATCCACAAGAAAATGTTAGTCCCAAGTAATTTTTTACACTCTTGCCTAGATCGCTCCTGTGACATGTGCTATATAAAAATGACACACAGCTACTTAAAAAACACACACACACAAGTACATTCCATGAGCAGTTGTCATGTCAAAACACGCTGTCCAAAGAAAGAAATTAAAAGCCATATGCAACAACTGAAATAACTGTGAGTTAATAACACCAAACAGAGCCTAAGAGTCAGTTCCCACCACATTACCCACATTTCAAGTGCTCAGCAGACAGACATATGCAGCTACAGGCTGCCAGAGTGGGTGTTACAGGATTAGGACATTCCTGTCACTGTGCAGGGTTCTGCTGGACAGCACTGGACTAGTTCTACATTATTCACACACTGTCTCTTTCATTAGCAAGTCAACCGGTGATATGCTTGTTTTACAGGCCTCTGACAGCCTAAGACAGGTCACCTGGAATACTGTAGACACCTGAGCTATTTAACTCGCTGTGCATAGAACCTAAAACAAATACAAGCAGGTTTCTGAAGGGTCTTTCACATGCTAAAGTGATGTTAGTGAAATCTCAGTGCCTAAGTGTTCTCCCTCCACCTCAAGGTACAGATACTGAACCGACCTGGCTGCCCAAACACGATACTAAACAAATTGGCCCCCTGGCCATTACTAAATATCATTTTTTTTCTTGAGACAAGGTCTTGTTTTGTAGTTCGGGCTGGCATTGACATCACCATGCAGCCCAGGCTGGCCTCAAACTCAATGATCATCCTGCCTCAGCCTGCTGGGATTACAAGTGAGCGCCACCACGTCCAACACATCCCATTAATTTTTGACCTCGATGATCTTATTGCGCTCATTCTCAATGACCAGAAGAATTACATCATCATGAAATGAAGTGAAATAAACATGTACCGAGATTTGGCCCTAAGTAAGGAGCTGATTACCCTAGGTCAGCAGTGGGCTCACACTTGGGACTCAAACAGCTAAAGCAGTCACCTTGATTTCGTCAGCCCAAACCATCATCCCCAATCCTCCCAGCTCACGGTACCACCCAGCTGCTCAGCCAAACAGATAAAAGTCATCCTCATCTTACCTTTCCCTTCCCCGGCCTCTGCTGGCTCCCACAGCCCAGCCTGCAGGCTCCACCTAAGCAATTTCTCTAGGCCGCCCGTTTTCTGTGTGAGCTCTGCCCACCCTTATCCAGGCCGCCGGGATCTCTGGACCACCTCCACATACAGCAACAGCCTAACCCGGTTTCTGAGTGCCACTTTTGTACTGTCATCTATTTCATAAACCAGAAAATGAACTTTTCTAACTCTACATTGGATCTCTACCTTAAAATCCTTCAGTGACTCCCAGCCTCGGTCAACACCTCCCTTCCTCCTACTTGCACCCCTATGGCCACCAGGGTCTAGCTACAGTGACCTGTGAGTCCCTCTATGAAGCCAAATTTCCCACTTGGGGTCTGTATATAACTTATGTAAGAAAATAATCACCTAAGCACCAAAACAACCAAGTCTACAGAACCTCAGTTTAAAAAAATGTCAGGCAATATGGACCCAGGAGTTTCAATGGGAGCAAGAATTTTCACATAGGGTCAGGGCTTTAGCTCAGCGGCATAAGCGCCTGCCTGGCAAGCATGCAGTCGCATGCTTGATCCCAGATACCCAAAAAAAAAAAGAATTTTCACATAGCAGAGAAGAAAAGAGTTCATATTTAAGGAAATGTTTAGTTATACCTCAGGCCAGAGGCATCGAGATTCAAGTTACTAGATTCAAGGTCAATAAGCAACATGAAGTTTATTTCCTTATGTCCTTATTCTCCCCGAAGTCACAGACCCTGTGCCTTAAACAAAAGAGCCAACAAAATATTAACATCGTTGGAAAATGAAATACAAACTACTATTCTACATGCTTTTTTTTTTTTTTAATCGGTACCGGGGATCGAACTCATGACCGCCTGCTTGCAAGGCAGGTGCTTATGCTGCTGAGCTAAATCCCCAGCCCCTATTCTACATGTGTTTAAGACATATCATGGTCTCTCTAACTCATTCAAACTCAATGGGGGGATTTGAAGCAAAATACAAACTAAACAACTATCCCCCAACAAAATCTATAACTTGTACTTGAGGAAAGATTAAACATTATGTCAGATTAAAAACAAACAAAACGACTAGTCTCCCACAGCTTACAATTAAGGGCACGACGTTAGCTGGTGTGGTGGTACACATCTGTGATCCCAGCACATGGGAGGCTGAGGCAAGAGAGTCATGAATCTGAGGCTAATTTGGACTACAGAGGGAGGACTTATCTCAAAAAACAAATAGCCTTGGCTAGATTATCAGAACACAGCAACAAATTCTGAAATACAAGAAATCAGGGTGCCTTAATGCTCAAAAGAACTGCTAGGCAGTTTTAGTTAGGACAAGTGTGACTGTGTCACCTCCCAGGTAATAAATTTATGAAACTTTCTTCCTCTATAACGTAAGTCTGCTGAAAATATTAGTTAGACCTAAGAAGGGTCTGGATTAATCCGTGGCTTGGGAATTGGCTCCTAACCTTTGTGTACAATGCCAGGAAAAGCAAAAAGACACCAGTATAAAAGGGCTGGCACTGGCACTGTCACGCAAAGCCGAGCACCACATGGAGAGGCAGACGGTCTAATCCTGAGCAACAGTCTTTTCAAATCAACTTTTTAGCCCATTTCTTCATCAGCTGAATCCTCTTCAATGTCCCTGTTTCCTAAGTGAAAGACGTGTTCTGCTTTGCTCTGTGCCTTGCCTTCCTAACTTTTATGAGATGTCCTGTGGGCTACTGTTCACACTTAGGCCTGATAGTGCTACACTGCTTCACAGAGAGGCCTGAATTAAATATCCCAACTCCCTAGCCGAAGTCCCCAGGAAAATCCTCCCTCATCCCCACAGTCTCATCACTGCCTAGCCTGGGTATTGGTCACCCTAAGGAAAGCAGCTCTGACTCACATGGTATTCTCCTGCTGCCGCCGGGGAGTGACAAAGAGCATGCGGGTGGGGCGGGCGCTGCTGGCATCGGGGTGGGCACTCCATGGCTTGGCATAGCTGTGATCCAGGAAAACCAGGTCCAGCTCCCGTTCGTGCACCGACAGCTGGAAGAGCAGGGAGGTGCCCATGCGCCGAGCCGAAGTCTGGAAGTCCCTTTCCCCACCCCGGTGGGCCATGTCAGTCGAGGGGCAGCAGGTCAGGGCATGGGCACATGCTATTCACCTGCATTGAAAAGATTCAGTCAATTCAAATATCCTCAATCGCTCCCAACCTGAACTAAAATACTGACCTTTCCTTCTTTCTCATGAGTTCAAGATGGCCTCAAACTCATGACCATCCTCCTGCCTCAGCCCCAGTGTTGGGATTACATGTGTGCACCACCAGGCTCCGCTAAAACACTGACTTTGATGACTCACTGTCATTTGTATTGAGGATCTAACATTCAGAACACCTTGTCCAGGCAGAGGGCCCCTGAGATACCAACCACACACCACACAGGTGATGATGCTTCGAGCTCCTTGTCATGCCACAGCTCTGAAATGTGACTGGGAGGGAAATTGGACAGGGTCTAGCTATAATAGTTCAGGCTGGCCTTGAACTCACTGCATAGTTGAGGCTGGCCTCATAAAGGAGCAATCCATCTGCCTCAGCCTGACAAGTAGCTGGGATTACAGGCTTGAGCCACCATGCAAGGCGACAGACATCTTCTGAGAGCCGGGTCAGACCTTGGTTTACCGCCTTTTTGCAGCCTTATAGTCCCCTATTTTTCTGAGGGCTCCCTAGCCGGTGCAGATCCCACCTAGACAGACTCCCAATCTGAGAGCCAGCACCATTACCTACAGGGCACGGTGTGTTTGCGCAAACCGTAAGAATCACAAACCCTTCCAGCCCTCGGATCTACTCCTCATTGGGTGTAGAGAATGAGACCCGCGTGGGGCCCGCCCCCGGGGACCCCAGGAAGAGCAGGGCAAGGCAGGCTGCAGGAAGCTGCTCCCACCAAGGGCTCGCTCGCCCCGCTCCGCGTCAGGAGCAAATAGAAGTTCTGCATGTACTTTGTGACGCTCGGGAGTTTGTGAAAACATAAAAACCAGAGCCTCCAGCACAAGGCCTGTGCCGGGTGACAACCCGCAAGTGCCCGCTCCCTCGGCCCGGGGAGACCTCGCGGGTTCCCGCCCTGGCCCTCAAGGCGCTTCCGATCTCATTCCCGCCCCAGGGCTCCGGGACGCGGCCCTGGTCGCCGGGAGTCCGGACGAGGAGCCGCCGCCGGCCCGGCCCGGCCCCGCGTCACCACGGCCCCCACCCGTCCGCCCCGACCCTGCGGTTCCTGCCCCGGCCCCCCGCATGCCGGGGAGCCCCGAGACCCTCGCTGAGCCCCCCCGCCCCTCCCCCACTCTGGGCTGCGGCCCCCACGGCCCGGCGCCCCCGCGGGGACCGACGCGCGTCTCACCCGCAGTCCTCGGGCCGCGCGCTCGCCCGGGCCGGACCCCAGCGCGCGTGCGCGCCACCGCCTCCCGGGCGCCCGGGGAAACGCGGAAGCGGATAACTGCGTGGGAAGGGAGCGCGGCGAGCCGCAAAGCCCGGAATGGATTCAGCGGCGACGACTCAGTCCCTAAGAGAGGAGCCGAGAACGCGCGCGCCTGAGTGCGTCTCCGCCGCAGAAACACTCAGCCGCTGCACTTTTGGCAGGGAAGAGGATCCAGGAGCTGGGTAGCTCTCACTGCTCATCAATCTCCAGCCCCACCCCAACAGCCTTTTGCGCACCCGCCCAATTTTCTTATTAAAAACTTCCTGGTGAGCCGGGGCGTGGCGGCTCATGTCTGTAATCCCAGCATTCAGGAGGCTGAGGCAGGAGGATCACTATGAATTTGAGGCCAGCCTAGGCTACATAGTGAGATCCAGCCTCAATAAAAGGTTGCTTTTTTTTTAAGGATGGGGGTGTAGCTTAGTACTAGTACACTTGCCTAGCACGCTAGATACTCTAGGTTCAATCCCCAACCCCGAAAAAAAAATTATTCTTAACATTAGAAACACAAAAGGGCTGGCGATTTAGTCTCAAAGCACGTGCTTGGCAAACACGATGTTGTGAGTTCAATCCCCAGTACCAAAATAATTAAAAATGAAAACACAAAAAGTTGCCATGAGCCAAAAAAATGACTCTTAAAAAATAGACTATTAAATGGGGTGTGGTGACTCACATCTGTAATTCTAGCACTCTGGAAGCTGAGGCAGGAGAACTACAAGTTCTATCCTAACCTGAAAATGTAGAGATTTGGCAACATCTTGTCTCAAAACAAAACCTAAAGTCTGTTAAAAATACTTAGGGACTGGGGATGTAGCTCAGTGGTAGTGTGTTTGGGGAGACCCCGGGTTTATCCCCAACACCTACAATAAATAAAATTTTTTTTAATTACAGGAAGCTTTGCTGAGTGTTGTTGGTTCCTACAGAGGGGCATCTGGCTTATGGTTTTCAGAATTCGGTCCATGGGAAGCTGACCCCAAGCATGGCACCTGCGACATGGATCAGGGCACAGTACAGAAGAGGAACAGGCAAGGGACCAAAGGCAGTGCTACCCAGGTGCACCCAGCATGCGACATGTGTTTCACCACTCTGCTGGGCATTTCACAGCCCAATGAAGTCCACCTATCAGGATTGACGGTCACGGTATTGTGTGCATACAACAGATTGACTCAGCCAGGAAGAGGAAGACAGTACTGATACACCCTGCCACATGCACAAAGTTTGAAAATATGCTGACTCTGATATGAATTTGGCCAGGGTTTTGCTTTGGAATAGTCTATTCTACTATTAAGAGTTCATTCTATAAAAGCAAATAATCTTTTAGATATTAAATATGTTGCAAATTTTTTGTACTCTGATATTTGTCTTTTAACTTTAAGCTCCATTTTCTATACAGGAGTATTAATTTTAAAAAAAGCAAAACAGAAAAAAGGATAGAAACAATACTGAATTTCAAAAAAATAGTAGGAAATTAACACTTGTTAATATATTGTATATTGTTATCTTAGAAGTAGTTGCTTAGGTAACAAGATTTAGGCATTAAAAAAATGATCAAACAAACAATGAAAGCCCAAAGTGTTTTTGATGAACTAACAGATTAATAGTTTAGTTATCTATAGGAATATTAAATTTTATTAGGCAAGTATGTCAGCCTTTTCCTCTCTGAGGTATGCTTAGTTTGAAAAATCATTAGCTTGAAAAATCATTAGCAAGCTCATGCATGATGGTACAGACCTGTAATCCCAGAACCCTGGGAGGCTGAGGCAGGAGAATCACAAATTGGAGCCCAGCCTGGGAAATTTAGCAATTTAGTAAGACCCTGTCTCAAAATAAAAAAGGGCTGGAATGGAGTTCAGGGCAAAGGTCCTGAGTTCAGTCCCTAGTACAAAAAAAAAAAAAAAAAAAAGGAAGGGAGGGAGGAAGGAAGGAAGGAAGAAAGGGAGACAGGAGGGAGGGTCAATCATCATTTTGTGTTTATAGAGTTCAAGGAGTGCTTTCTCTTTAAATCTGCTGTCTAGAAAAGTGTTGCACTGTGCTCACACATTCAGCTTTTAATGCCAGGCACCTTTTAGAATGCACAGTAAGCTCACTGCTAATTAGTCTGTCAACACATACTTTAAAAATATTAACTTTCATTCTCACCACAGGTGATGGTGCCATTTATACAGTATTAGAGGCTTATCTCACAGGAACCATAGAAGAGAATGACCCAGCTCCATCTTTAAGAGTAGGGGCCTTGGGAGCCATAGACAGTCACAGGGAAATTACTGGCTTATGGGTTTTTTTTTTAACTTTTACAAACCCAGCCAACATAAGAGTTCATTAGTCAAAGCACTGATTTTCTTAGCTGGGTGTGGTGGTGCATGTCTATGATCCTAGCACTTGGGAGGCTGAGACAGGAAGATCTCAATGAATTTGAGTCAGCCTGGGCTACACAGTGAGTTCAAGGCCAGCCTCGACTACCTAATGAGCTCTGTCTCAAAAAAAAAAAAAAAAAAAAAAAAGCTGACTTTCTTTTATTAAATAAAGACTCATACCTAAATTTAGGTGTCCTTCAGAAAAAAGGAACCCTCAATGTTGTCTTCCCCCTGGGCAGGGCTTCCTCTGAGCCTTCACTAAAGTAGTTCTTGATTTGCTTTTACCTGTTCTCCCATGGCCTGCCTTCCTTTGCTCGTCTAAACTGTGGGACTTTGGCAGTGGTCCACTCCAGACAACTTGGCCTATGTAAAGAAAAAGAAAAAAACAAACTTTATCACAAGGACAGCGAAGATGGGAAAGAGAAGAGAAATCAGCGTCAGAGCAGCCCTGTCCCTTGATTTCTGTCTCCAGTCCCTGGCTGGATCCACACTCTGTGGTCCTTGCTCCTGTGGGGGCTGGCATAGGGCTCCAGAACCAAGGCACCCCCCCCTCTGTGACACCCCCCTCTGTTGCTAGGCCCCACTCACCCAGGGCCACCAAGAGAAGCCTGGGAGCAAAGGGTTCCAAGAAGGAGACAGGGCTGCCGGAGGAGGGGGCGCCATGCTGCGGCTGGTCGTGGAGTCTGCCCGGATTGAGCCGCCCCTGAGCCCCCCGCCCAGACCCTGCCTGACTGTCTACTTCAGAGGTGAGAGCCGGGCTCCCAGTGGGCAGAACCGGGTGCACTGATGAGTTTGCTGATGTGCTGCTGGGTACAGTGATAAGGTGGGCGCTATCCAGCTGTCTCATGAAACAGTTTTGCAGAAAGAAGAAGGTCACACTTGTTAACCTCCTTCCATGAGCTCAGGCTGTGCCATAAACAGGTTATAGGGTGTGGTGTGTGGGTGTGGTGGCACACACCTGCCATCACAGCACTTGAGAGGCTGAGGCATGAGGGTGCCGGTACATTTAAAACTAGTTTGGGCTACATAGTGAGTTCAAAGCCAGAAAGAAAGAAAGAAGAGAGAGAGAGAGAGAGAGAGAGAGAGAGAGAGAGAGAGAGAGAGAAAGGAAGGAAGAAAAGAAAGGATGGTCCCTGCTTTATAGGATTGATATGAGGATTTAAATAGAGAATAAGCAGGACAAGGTGGTGCACATATGCCTGCACCATCTGAGAGGCTGAGTCAGGAGGATCACAAGTTCAACCCAGCCTAGGCAATTTAATGACTTAATGAGACCCTGTCTCAAAACATAGGACTGAGAATGTAGTTTAGTGCCACATCCTGAGTTTAATTCCTAGTACGAACAAAAAAAGAAAAAACACATGGAAGCTAGGTGTGGTGGCACACACCTGTAATCCTAGCACTTGGGAGGCTGAGGCAGGAGGACCATAGAGTTCAAAGCCAGCCTGGGCTACAAAGTGAGTTTGAGCCAGCCTGAACTGCATAGCAAAACCCCATATCAAAAGAAACAAAAAAATTCAAAGTATTCTGGGGAACGCTGTGTCTGTACTGAACAGGTGAAGGCTTTATCTTGTCACCATTCCTGAAGTAGTACAGTACAGTAACAGTTCACATAGTGCATGTGTGTGTGTGCAGGCGTGCGTGTGTGAGTGTGTGTATGTATGTATATTGCGTGGGATCCTGTAAATCAGCTAGGCTGATTTACAGTTACATGGAGGGATGAGTGCAGGTTGGAATGATATGTAAATGATATGCAAATATCATGCCATTTTACATAAGGGACTTAAACACACATGGATCTTAAACACACTATCAGCTGGGGAGGAGCATCCCAGAACCAATCCCCAAGGACAATGAGGGACGACTCCAACTCCTGCAAGAGAATAAAATGCCTTTCAGGTTTTCCCCTGTTCTATAAATTATAATAGCCAGACAGGGGACATTTAGGACTCTGGACTCACAGGGTGACATTCACTTATGTCTCCAGTCTGTAAGTCTATAGGCTGTGGGAGCTCGGCATAGATTGGCCAGGCAAGAGAAATGCTGCTCCTCCGTGAGATTCCAGCCATCCTCACCTCTGTATCACGGCACCATCTTGCTTTCTCCTCCGAGAAATATCTCTTATAAAAAGGCTACCTGGGGGCCAGGGGTTTAGCTCAGTGGCACAAGAGCCAGCCTCCCAAGCACAAGGCTGTGAGTTTGATTCCTGATACCAAACAAACAAACAAAAAAGCCTGCATACCAGCCGTGGTGGCCACACCTGCAACCCCAGCATTGTCCAAACAAAGGGTGACGCAAAATGAGACAACGTGAAACTCTCAAAGAAAGAAACAGTCGCTGCCACGTCACAGCTGCCGATGTCCTACCTCTGTGGACCCCATTCAAGCCTGGATGCTGAAACACCCTTGTTGTCTTCACCAGATATCAAGAAGAGAACTCGTGTCGTGGAAGGGAATGACCCCACGTGGAACGAGGTAGACACCCTGGGCAAGGCCTGAAGAGGGACCAACAACCTCAGCAGCCCGGGGGAAGCCGGCATGGTGGCCTATACCAGTGTTCCCAGCACCTGTACGAAAGGGTGGGACTGCCCCAGTAGGAAGACCCTGTGCTCAGTCTCCGTTCTAAACAACAAAATACAAACCGATAAGGGGCAGAGGAGGGGTCCAGGCAGGGGTTCAGACATCCCAGAAGCAGCAGGTAACCCCCAGCTTCGCTCCAGGCTGAAATATCTTGGTCTTGGAGTTAGCCTCTGCCCTGAGGGCCACAAAAACACACAGCTGCCCACAGCTGTTCTTAGTTCTCCCCACACTGATGGGCATGGATCATGGTGTGGCCCATCAACTAACCCAACCAGGCCCTCCGGATGCACCTAGAAGCCTCCCTATGCAGCCCTCCTTCCATTCCTGCTGCCCTGACCCCCACACCCTTAGCTCCTAAGGCGCCTACCAATGCAGTCCAAGTCACTGAGACCCAGGTGAGATGCTCCACACCCGGGCAAGGCAGCAAGCACCAGCTTCTTAGGAAAATAGACACGAAGGAGGCTCCCAAGTTCTAGAGAAATGCAGTGCCAGCCCTCCTGGCTTCTCCTCCTCTCCTGGGGTGTGGCCTGGGAAGGGCTGGGCAAAGCAGCTTACTCCTCCGTGTCCCCCATAGACTCTCATCTGGCACCTCTGGAGCCGCCCCCTGGAAAATGACTCCTTCCTGCAAATCATCCTTCGGGACATGGTCCCAAAAAAGACAGAAAGGTGAGCTGGAGATGGAGGAGCCTAACTGCTGGACCGAAGGCGTAGCAGACGATGTATGTCTTGTCTCAAGCCCATAATTCACCACGATGCAGGGACCAGAGCCCACTCCAGCCGCTAAAGGAAAAGAACAGGCCAAGGGCAGGTTTTGGAAGCCTAGTAAGGCTGGGAAAGCAAATCAGCGAGGACTAGGGGTCCCAGCCGTAGCTCTGTTCTGAAGCCACAGACCCCAAATCTCTGCTTTTCTCCCCTGAATCCTGGTTTCCCATTGTGAACAGAGACCAAGCTCCCACGCAGGGTGGCGGTGTAGCTCATCAGGGTAAGGTTTCCAGGGAGGGAGAATCTGATTGGACCAGCTGTGGTCAGGTGTTCACCTCTGATCCAATCAACGGTTACCTTTTTTTTTTTTTCTTTTAGACTCCAAAGCTCTGAGCCCTCTGGTGGAGTCCCACCTTACTGGGGTTTTCAGCTTCTAGATGGAAACCATCTATAGCTAAAGCGACACCCTGGGACCCCCTTTCCTTGGGATTGCATCTCACACCTGCTCCTTGCCTCTCCAGGTTCATTGGCCTGGCCACGGTCCTGCTCAAGCCATTGGTGCAAAAGCCCAGGAAGGTCCTTTTCGTGAAGGACCTGACTCTGCTCAACCATGCCATGATGCCCACAGATGTGAGTCAGACCCCAAAGAGCAGCTGGAAAAATAACAGCAGCTGGTGTAGCTGAGCTCCTCTGGCTTCCTACCCCGGGGTCTCCTTCCTCTAACTCCCCATCCTGCCCTCCATCTACTGACAGGGGTGACTGACCTTTCCCGGGCCACTGTGCTCGCCACGGGGAGACAAAATAGAGCTTTGGCAAAGACTCAAAAGCAGGCACGGGTGGGAAAGCTTGGTAAGGGACACTGAGAAGTCTTCCGGTTGACCCCCTGGTTAGAGGCTGTTGGCTTGGGACAGCAAAGGTAGGGTAACTAGAAGCTCAGCATCTCATGCAGTTGGTTTTGGGGTGCATAACTGGTTTTCTCCTGTTGGTCCTAAGTTGGTAGTGGGAACAGAAATTAAGGCAGCTGTCACCTTGTAATTAGTCATCAAGCCCTGGCTATTTGGGCCTGATTAGTATTGTTCGGCTTTTTTAATTGGTGTGAGAACAGCATCTGACTACAAGCCTTCCTGGACTGATTACTGCATATAATGTATATGGCATCCCTCAGAAGGGAATGCGTTTTCCCAGTGGGCATTAAGGGCATGGAGAAGGGATAGGTTCGAGGAGGGTGAGCTCCCTGCACTCCTGGTACATGGTAGAGGGTGGAGGAGAAGAGAACAGAACTAAGACTGGGTGACCGGCAGAGACCAGAGGGAGAAGGCCTGTGGTCTCCATGCTGAGCACACCCGGTCCTGGGCTGGTCCCTTATCGCCCTCTTGTATCTTCTGCCATCGTTACTACTACGTGGCCCCTCTATTGTCCAAATCTCGCTGCAGTGCATTGTTCTGTCCTCACCAGTTCATGTGCCTATGGGGTGGCTCTGTCCCATGCCAGCATCATTGTCCCCAGGAGGGCACCAACCTAGCCAGCCTGGAGCGGGAATAGGTGCTAAGACTCAGCCAGGGCTCCCAGGGTCCAGCTTACTACTTCCCTGCCTTTGCAGAGCACTGTCAACCTGCAGGTGGCCCATGTGACCCACTGGGACAGTGAGAAGACAGGTACGTCCTTCTCTGGCTCCATCCCTGTCTTTCAAGCAGAACTGGACAGGCTTTGAGGGAGCTTTGAGACCAAGCCTTTGAGGTTAGGGTGCCTAGAGCCCTCCTGTGTCCCGAGTCAGGTCCAGGGCTCCATGGTGACGAGGCTGGGTGGGGCCTTCGGAGTGCCCTGGGAGCGCATGCACTTCATCAGGGCCTCTTGGGCGTGGCTCTGTCCAGTGCTGGTCACTGTGGACATAGGGTAAATTGGTAGAAATGTTCCATGCCTGCCAAGCTCCAGCCTCTGACTCCCACTTGTGTTTCTCCAGGCGGTGGAGACCCTTTGGGCATAACCACAAAGGAGGCGGTCCAGCAGAAGTTTCCGATCCCCGGCTCCACAGGGATGCCCAGGATTCTGTCCTCCAAGCCTCAGCACTTTCAGGTGAGGACCCTGCAGGCTGAGACGCCACATGGCCCACCTGACCCTTTTGCGGGGCTCCTAAGATGTCTGCTCCCCGGCCTAAGGTTGGCACTCAGACCCAGCTTTAGGTCCTCAGGTTTTCACTGAGTCACCAGCTCCTCCATTCTGAGTAGCTTCCATCTGTGCCTGAGGCAAGAGAGGCATAAGGAAGGGCTGTGGTGCCCCCGCAGGCCCCCATGGGTGCTGGGTGGGGGCAGCACAGACTGGCCTGTCCCAAGCCCTCGAGTTGCTGACAAAACAAAGCTAAGCCCACGCAAGGCCAAAATCTCTGTGCAAGAAAACCAAGAGGTGTGGAGAAGGCTGGGAAGCCCATCCCACGCCTCACTGACCTCCGTCTGAGCTGACCCCAGGGCCTGGCATCACTGCCACATTCCGTCAGCTCCCCGGCCTGCCAATGCCAGGGGCTCAGCATCCAGTCCATGATCACCCCCACTTCTGCACTGCCACTCCCTGCCCCAAGCCACTCCTGTCACTTTCTGGACCACCCCATCCAGACAGCCTCGTCCTGAGCTCACAGTCAGCAGCTCTCTCTTGGCCCTTCTTTGGTCACTGTAGTCTCTCAGAGAGATCTGTCTGCCCTGTGGTGCATTTTCTTAAAAAGCCTGAGTGTCCTGGGACCAACCTCGCTCCTTACACAGGCTCCTGGTCCTTGAGAATCCAACCTTGTTTCTCGAGGGAGCCTGGTCCCCACTCACTCTCCTCTGTAGGTTCGGGTGAAGGTGTTTGAAGCCCGGCAGCTCATGGGTAACAACATCCAACCAGTGGTGAAGGTGACCATCGCAGGCCAGCAGTACCACACGCGGATCAAGATGGGAAATAACCCTTTCTTCAATGAGGTGGGCTGAGCCAGGGCTGGTTGGGCAGATGGGGCAGCCAGCAGCTGTGTGCCCTCTGCAGGCAGCAGGCACACTGTCCTGATGAGGGTGTACAAAAGTGCTTGTTCTCCAAGTGTTAACTGAGCACCTACTGAGGGCTAAGCACTGGGATACAGTAGGGTACAATTCAGAGCCCTGCATGGAGGAGCTGGGGTCTGGTGGTCAGTGCTAGAGCCCCAGTCTGCAGCATCATATATGCCTCTGCATAAATACTTGTTCAGGTAGCTTTAAAGAGAAGAAAAGCACTATGGGATGTGGGAGGAGTGAGCCAGTCACAAGGCCAGGATCCAGAGAGAGAGAATTCAGAAAACTTCTACCAGGGAAAGATGGGCTGGGAGGAGAAAGATGATTGAGGAAAGAGGAACCGTGTTTACAAAAGCTGGGAGCAAGAAGCAGCTCAACTCATGGGCAGAACAGGAGACGAGGGTGTGAACCTAGAGTGTGGGTTGGGGTCTTGTCACTGACACACTCAGGATCCATGGACTAAAGCAGCGAGGTGAGAGGAGAAAGGGGTTCTGGGTCCTGCAGGAGCGCGGTGGGGTGGACTTGGGGTGATGTGGGAGGAGACAAAGCCTCTAGTCACCATCCTGGACCTGGAGCTGCTCACTGCTCTGGGGAGCCCCTACTGCTGCCTGTCCCCTGGGAACCCGCCAGGCCCCGGGTGCTCTTTGCGTCCAGAGGGGCGACAGGGTCTTTAAGAAGCCGTGGGACAGGCAAAGTCAGGGAACAAGCGTGCAGCGTGGTGGTGGAGGAAACACAGCCCTCCACCTTCCTTTCTCTGCTGCAGATCTTCTTCCAAAATTTCTATGAGGTCCCTGCGAAGTTCTTCGAAGAGATCATCATAGTCCAGGTGAGGAGTCAAACTGGTCCCCAGCAAAATGGGTCCAGCTTTCTTGTCCTGCCTCAATACTGGGAATCAATTTGGCCCCAGCCCTGCCCTGAGGACTAGCATCCCTTGAGAGGCAGCATCTCTACCACCTTTGTCACCCACTCCCAGCCCAGATTCTTTATTTACTCAACAAATGTTACAGATTGCCAGCTGGCAAGCTCTGAGCAGGCTCTGAGGTGAACAAGGCAGCCCTGTCCCATGTGGCAGGGTTCTTGTCTCCCCAAAGATGTTCATGTCCCTGTGTCCAGGTGTGACTGTGGGCTACCAGCTGCCTGAGGAGGACAGGAGGCTTCCCCTGGAAGTGTTTGATGTTCTTAGGGAGAAGACAGGAAACAGCCAGGACAATGAGTAATGTGAGAAGTTACTGCGACACATAGTTTTGTGTTGAGCTGGGGGAGTGAATCCGTCTCTCCGATCAGTTTCCCCCACCCATGAGATGGAACTGAAAACCTGAACCTCTTAGGGTTCCTCTGAGAAGTAAGTGAGGGCAGCTGTGCTGAAGCACTGGCTGTTAGAAACAGTGAAATCGGGGCTGGGGATTTAGCTCAGCGGCATAAGCACCTGCCTTGTAAGCAGGCAGTCGTGAGTTCGATCCCCGGTACCGATAAAAAAGGAAAAAGACAAAAAAAAAAAAAAGAAACAGTGAAATCCTGGGGACCCTGGATATGCCGCCACTATTGCTTCTACACGAGGTGGGGGTTAATAATTAAGATCTTTCTGGAAACTGCCTTGCAGGTGCTGAACTCCTCTGCTATGAGATCCAAAGCAGAGATTGGGAGATTCCAGGTGAGCCCTGTATATAAGACAGGAGGCTGTAAAAATGCTTGTAGAGACAGCTTAGAGCCTAGGGGATTTGCACACAGAAAGGTCCAGATTTAGATCCACCTACTTAGAAAAGTTATTCCTACTAAATGACATAGGTAGGGGCTGGGGATTTAGCTCAGCGGCATAAGCGCCAGCCTTGTAAGCAGGCAGTCGTGAGTTCGATCCCCGGTACCGATAAAAAGGAAAAAGACCAAAAAAAAAAAAAAAAATGACATAGGTAAGCCTCTGTTTCCTCATCTGTCAAGTGGAATAATTATTTACCCAACCTGCAGTGTCATAAATTACCAAAACCTGTGAGCTGTGGACAAAGTTTGTATCTCCCCCTAATGAAAGCAGAGGTTCCAAAAAGGCCAGGCTAATTTGTAGAGACAGACAGACAGACAGACAGAGACAGAAAGACAGAGAGGGCCTGCTGTCTGTGAACGCAGAGTAAGCTGATATGATCTTTGGAGCCACAGGTAGAGAGATGAGGGACCTCACACACACACAGTTGTGACGGCCTAACCCAAGGCTCTCCAAATCCAGAAAGATCAGGAAAAGGTGGGTCATGAAACTAAAGACAGGATGGCCCATCATTGCATTTGACTCTTAGGGCAGCAGGCTGTGGCCACACCACCTGGATGGTGCCAGATCGCTCCTGATCCCTCCTAGATCCGTCAGAGAGTAAAATTACAGCCATTTAGCTTAAAGATTTTAACTAGCTTTGAGGTTCTAGGATGAGGCAACACATCATTCCCTAAAACAGAAGAAGCGATTCTCCGGGCTGAGCAGAAGTTGATTTTCCCAGGCATGGTGGCACACACACCTGTAACCCCAGCAACTCTGGAGATTGAGGCAGGAGGATCACGAGTTCAAGGCAGCCTGGGCAATTTATCGATCTCCACTCCATCTCTCAAAACAAAGAAAAAGAGCTGGATTTTATGCACAAAGAAGCATAAACAAAGAACAAAATGCTGATTGGTCATTCCAAAGTTACTTCCTTTTTGGGAGATAGACAGGGAGACAGAACAAGAAAATAACTGATTGGTTAATATCAGATTACTTGAAGTCCCTTTAAAATTTTTTTTATTTAAAAACTTTTATTGTTACAAGTACACGTTTGCGGGGCTGGAGATTTAGCTCAGCGGCATAAGCGCCTGCCTTGCAAGCAGGCAGTTGTGAGTTCGATCCCTGGTACTGATTAAAAAAAAGAAAAAAGACAAAAAAAAAAAAAAAAAAAACAAATACATGTTTGCAGTAGCCAATGATTACATTGACCACGGGGAGTCAGTGCATACGCATAACACTTCTTTCTTTCTTTCTTCATCCCCTTCTCCTCTCTTCCCTCTCCCTTTCTCCATTTCTTGGCTCCTTTCCCATTGCAAAAGCTCTATCTGCTCACTTCCTCTTGTCCATCTTTCACTGCACTCTTTAATTTATTTGGACTTTGGATTTCTCCTAGAAGAGAAGCCACAGGGCAGTTAGCGTGTGTGTCTGATTTATCTCTCTTAACCTTATGGTCTAAGGGTGTAAGACTATAAAGATTAAAGCAGATGGAAAGTCATTGTCCTGCCCGCTGGCCTGTTTGAGAAAAGCGGCCACCTCCCTCCTCTCCGATGTCTTGGAAGGTTAGATAACAATTCAGTTTCTGTTCAGCGGGATGGCACTTCAGTGAATCAAGGCTGTGCTGGCTGGGGTGACAGTGTGGGTTCTGGGTCTTTCCGGTGCAGACTTGGGCTTTCTCTGAAACTCAGTGTCCCCCCTTGCAGAGCAGGTGAAGATGGGCCTCCTTTCCAAATTGCTTTAAAGATTAGAGTAGTTGAGAAAGGCTGTGCTGCAACACCAGCAGCCGGTTAATCTGAATTGTCTGCTGGACTGGGTTAAGGGACTCCTGCAGAGATGAGTAGGAGGGGGAGCCTGGCTGGAGGAAGTAAGTCACAGGGTGTGACCTGGGGGACTACATTGTCCCTGACCCTGTCTTCTTAAAAGCTTTCCCTCTCTTTTCTTCCTGGCTGCCATGAGTTGAGCAGCTGTCCTGTGCCACACCTTTCTGCTGGCATGTCCCTGCCTTGCCATCAGCCAGCCATGGACTGAACCCTCTGAAACTGGGAGCCAAAATACACCTCTCTTCCCTTAAGTTGTAAGATCAGGAATTGAGCCCTGGTGGCCAAAGCTGACCAATACAGCATTTTCATCTGCTTAGCTGGTATTACTAATGTTGGCTGGGGTCTTGATAATCAGCTTTCCGTCACTGGAACAAATGTGTGATAATCGACCTACATAACAGAGGGTTACAGTTCTAGAGGTTTCAACCCATGATCATCGGCCTGGTTACTCTGTGTTTTAGATTGTTACGTTTGTGAGTACAAGCTGGCGGTACATAAAGGTTAGTGGGGAGTTGGTACACATACACAGCATCTCTTAACTCCTTCTCCATTCCCTTTCTTTTCCCTTCCCTCCCCTGCTTCCTCCTCCCTCCATCTCTTGCTCCCCTTCCCATTTGTAGAACTTTTATCTTCCTGCTTCCTTTTTAAAAAATTTTGAGGTGTATTATCTTTTTATATTTTTTATTTTTTATATTTTTTATTTTAAAGAGAAAAAAACAAAAATAAGAAGCAAACATAAAAAACAACAACAAAAACCCATCAATAGCTATATAGGTTTTCAAAACAAGATGATAAAAATTTAATGGTAGTTGTTATATTGCATATTGTTATCTGCAAAATAGTTGCTCAGGTTACCAGATACAGAAATACAACAAAACAGTAAAACAGAACAAAATATTGGATTTCAAAAACATGACAGAAGCAAATCCCCCACAGCTGCCACAGTGCATACTGCCATCCTCCAAATAGATGCCTAGACCGCCAGCTCCAGGGCTGCAAAGTCAGTCAAACAATACAAGCATTAAGTTATTTTTTTTCTATTTCGGTTGCTATCATGGAAGCCTGACTCACTCCAAATCAGCCCATGGCTTACCAGGGGGTGGGTGGGATTTGCTCTTCTGGTGTCCCAGGCTCATGGGAAAGTGTGGTTTGACTTCTTGATTCTCTTTCTGCTCCCCATGGCAGCTGCCCCTGGCTTATGAGAAGATGTGGTTTTCCTAGTATTTATTTTTTTATTTTGCTCTTTATAATTTAGGTTTCTCATATAAGAGAAACCATGCCATATTTAAGCTTATGTATATGATTTATTTCATTTAACTTCATAGTGTCAAGATGTATCCATTTTCCTACAAAAAACCTCAATATCCTTCTTTATGGCAGAGTAGTACTCTACTGGCTGTAAATATCACACTTCCCTTACCCACTCATCTGCTGATGGACATACAGGCTGCTCCCCAGGTTTAGTGCTGTGAGCTGTGCTGCTACAAACTTGGGTAATGATGGATCACTGAACTGTGCTGTCTCTGACTCTTTCAGGAAGATGTCTAGAAAGAGGATAGCTGGGTGCAATGCATTTTTGCTTTAGCTCTTTGAGGAATCCCCATAGTGGTGGTCCTGGCTCACATTCCCACCAACTGTGTGGGAGGTTCCTCTGCCTCACAGCCTTGCCAGCGTTATTTCCTTGCTAGATAAGGGCCGCTCTTTCTGGGGTAAGAATGGATCTCAGTGGTTTTTTGTTTGTTTGTTTTTGTCTTTTTCCTTTTTATCGATACCAGGGATCGAACTCACGACTGCCTGCTTGCAAGGCAGGTGCTTATGCCGCTGAGCTAAATCCCCAGCTTTGGTTTGCATTTCTTTTTTTTGAGTCAGGGTCTCACTGTGTAGCCCAAGTTGGCCTCAGACTTGTGGCAATGCCCGTGCCTCCGCCTCCTGAGTGCTGGGATTACAGACATGCACCACCACACCCGGCCTCAACGTACATTTCCCTAATTAACCTGGTTGCTTTGGTCCCGTGATGTCACAGCATAGTGGGGACATGTGGCAGAGTAAAGCCACTTGCTTTGTGACCAGGAAGCAAAGGGGAGAGAGAGGAGGGACAAGGCTACCATTTCCTTGGAGACACAGTCCCCGCCCCCAGTGACCTGAGACCACCCATTGGGTTCCCTATTCCCCATAGCACTGGGTTGGGGTCTAAGCACAAGCTGTGACCACTGGGGTCTAAGATCCAGACAGAGCTGGGCTCTGACCACCACCCGCCCTGTCTTTGCAGACAGACGTCGGGTTCGTCTACCATTCTCCAGGTAGGTAAAGGTGGTTGCAAATCTGCGCACCTCGAGAAAAATCAGACCAGGCTCAGACTAACTCAGGATCGCCAACAAATGAGGGGAATATTATGGGGTTTGAGCCATTTTCTGTACTTGATAATATTTTTCTGAACTATATGATATTATCTTTATAACAATAGCATTTTTCTCTAAACAATTCAAGGTATTCCTTTGAGTCAAAAGCTAACCTTTTATTGTAACCCTGGGTTGGATTTCTATATTTTTGAACCCAGTTTTGGGAGATTGAGGTTGTTAACATCTTTACTTGACTGCTAATAATTGTACATGTTTATGGGGTACCCAGTGACAGTTTAATACATGTATATGATGTGAAGATCAGCTCAAGGTAGTTGGTATCACCATTGCCTCAAACATTTATCATTTCTTTGTGCTAGAAATATTCAAAATCCTCTCTACTAGCTATTTTGAAATTAGCAACGATTGTTAACCATAGGAGGCTGAGACAGGAAGGGCGAAAGTTTCAGTCCTGTCTGGAAAATTAGTGAGACCTGGTCTCCAAATACAAATGAGGGTTAGGAATGTATCTCAGTGCTAGAGCTCCTCAGGGTTCAATCCTTAGTACCAAAAAACAAGGAAGCATACTTGCCTGTGGGCAGAACACTGCAGGATTCGCACTCTGTACGCCTCTCCTCTGTAACCCTAACCGAGGATACACCCTTCTGGCTGGTTCCCAGGGTGCCCAGAGGGCTGCCTGTGAGTACCCTTCATCGCCTACTTGGAGAAGGGACCCCCATTTCCTGCTGTCACAGTGGGAACCCAGTGCACAAGACACAGGCATCCCTCTCTGTCTCCCCTGGAAACGCAGCATTAGGGCAGCATGGTGGGACTGGGCCTGGTCTCCCACAGTCCTCTCCTTCTGCAGGCCACACTCTCCTGAGGAAATGGCTAGGCCTCTGCCTGCTGAACGAACCCGGCAGTGGAGTGAGAGGCTACGTGAAAGTCACCATCTGCGTCCTCGGTGTCGGAGACCAGGCCCTGGTGAGGCTTCCCCCAGGCCCTGAGACCTTCCCGCCCCTGGCTGGCTGCTTCTTGGTCACCCCTGGGCCCTCGAAGTGGCCATTCTCCTGCAAATCCGTCCTTTGTCTTCCTGTGCCATAACAGGGTCGTTCCACTCTCCCTGCACCAAGTGGGAGGTTGGGGACACAATGGGTGGCCTTGGCTGTGACAGCCCTCGACCCTGAGGCTTCCCGGATCTCTGGTCCCTCCAGGTGGATCAAAAGCTGCTGTACGGAGCTGACACAGACGTCGAGGTTATCAAGTCCGCGGCCGTGCAGACGACCATGGCTTACCTGCAGCTCTTTATCTACTGTGCTGAGGACCTGCACCTCAGTTAGAGTCGGGGAGCAGGGCAGGAGGTCCCCCAGATCCTCAAGGGGCTCCCCATCCCTTCTGACACTGACCTAAGATGTGGGCTTGGGAGTGGGAGATGATGAAATCCGCCATGGGTTGCTATTCAAAGGCCCTGTGGCCAGCCTTCCAGAGGGGCAAGTGCCTCTGATGCCCTTGTGTAGACCCAGGCTCCTGTGACTGTCCTGTGACTGGCCCACCCTGGGCCACTGTGAGAGTGATGCACAGAAGGGACAGAGTGGGAACTGGGCATGGGGCGGTTCTGCAGGTGGCTGTCACCTCTGCATTTCCACCTTTAAAATGCTGCTGCCCTCTCAGTCATCCTGGCCTTCCTTATTCACAGGGACACAGCAGCCAGCCAGTGCAGCGTTGGAGGTGGAGCTGATCGGGGAGAAGGTACACTGGGCGAGGCTCCTGGCCCCAGACAGCACCGCCCTGTGTGGGACCCAGAAATCATATCCCAGCTCAACTTCCCACAGCGTGGGGTGACCTGTGGGCCCGGAGCTCTGTGGAGAGGTCAGGTCGCATATTCCCTGTGCCCAGGGCATGCCTGTGCCTGGCGGGGGGAAAATGCCCCAAACATCCGGCTGCATGGGGGAGCAATGGGGGAGTGAGGCAGCCTGCCAACAAGAAAACAGAGGCCAGTGCTGGCACACACCTGGTATCTCAGCACCTGAGAAGCTGAGGCAGGAAGATCTCCACGAATTCGAGGCCAGCCTGGCTACATCACGAGTTTAAGGCCAGCTTGAGCTGTACAGCAAGACCTTATTTCAAAAAACCAAAATATAAAATGAAACAATAAAGGGCTGGGGATGTAGCTCAGTGGCAAAGACCTGCCTGACAAGCACAAGGTTGTCAGTTCAATCTCTGGTACCAAAACAAGCAAACACGAATCCATCAGCAGCCCCTCTGGCCTCAGCTTCCTCACCTAGAAAATAAAAATTCCCAGCAAAAGAACTGTTGACATCCCACAAACTTCTATGACTACAGAGTAGGATTTTCCAAAGTGTGCTGGTGAATATTAACCTGCAGAATAAGGGTCTAGTGTGCAAGGCGGGGGACAGTTTTGTGACAGATCTCAAGTCACCATTTCTGTTCTCTCTGTAAAAGGTGATCATTCCGTACAGCTACACCTGGAAGGAGGGTTTAATGTCTACCCCTCCAAGGAAGTACCAAGAATCCATTGTGGACATATTTATTTATTACTGTTACTACTATTGTTATTGGGCTTTTTTTTTTTTTTTTTTTTTGAGACAGTCTCACTATATATGCTCAGGCTGGCCTTGAACTCACTGTGCAGCCCAGGCTGGCCTCAAACTTCCAGGGACCTTCCGGCCTCAGCCTCCTAAATGCTGGGATGATAGGCATGTACCACCACACACAGCTGAATCAGTCTATTGAAAATAAAATCAGCTGACGGTTTTTATAAGGATGTGCTACTGCCATCAGATATTATTTTGGTCATTTTTCTGTTGGGAATCTCAAAATGTATCTAACAAAATGTATTTGTGTGCACGCACATACTAAAGTTAGCAGCTGCACAATCTATGTCCATGAAAGGGCTGGCGGGCAGCTTGGTGGTAGGGGCCGGCCTCATGTGTGAGGCCTGAGTTCCGGTCCCAGCAGCATGTAAAAAGAAGGTGGAGCAGATGAGAAGTTGTTCAAGCACAGCTTCAGGCCCAGGATTAGCCCTGTGGCCTGGGCGATACAGAAGGCCACGTGGTGGGACAGGGTTGGAGGGTGGGGCCGGGGCTGCCCAGTGCTGACCCAGCTTTGCAATGTTCTCAGCTCAGGACAAAGGTGCGACACCAAACTGACAATCCAATATGGAACCAGGTCCTGACCTTCCAGATCCAGGTACGGGCAGAAGGGAAGGTCCAGCACCTGTGGGGTGTGGACAGGAGGGGGGCCAGCATGGCACTGCCTTCAGGGAGGTCGACGAAGCCCTGGGTGACTTCCGGAGACCTTTATCCTGTTTATCCAGCGCCAAGCAGTGAGTGGGCCAACATTGGCACAGACTTCCCAGAGAATTTAAACGTGCTCTTTCACCCAATTAAAAAAATTAGTCACTTTCAAGACGTGTTCTGAACTGCTCAGGTGGTGCCTGCCTGGAATGCCAGAACTTTGGGAGGCTGAGGCAGGAGGATGGCAAATTCAAAGCCAGCCGGGGCATTTTAATGAGTTAGTGAAAGACTGTCTCAAAATAAGCAATAAAAGACAAAAAAGGCTTAGGAATGTAGCTCAGTGTGAAGGCCCTGGATTCAACCCCCAGTACCACCAAAAAAAAAAAAGTGTCCTAACTTGTGTTTTGCATTTTTTCATCTGGCACAGTGACCCAGGAGGTACCTGTGACTCTGCAGAGGCAAAGTGGTGGCCCCTGTCATCACTGTATGCAGCACAAAGCTATTGGCTGCTCCTCATGGCTCCCTATTCTGGTCTGTGAAGTCTTCTGTCCTTCCTGGCCCCCTGGCAGCCCCACGGGTGACTTCTCTTGAAGCCTTAATGACCTTGTGACTCCATACCAGGCTTCCAGCTGTGTGGAAATGAGAATAAATGGGTTTTGTTTTGTACCAGGACCTTGCACTCTTCAGGCAGACACTTGTGCCCTGACCAGGGTCTAAGTCGTTTTGAGAGAGAACTGAGCTCTACCAAGTGCAGTTGCAGAGAATTCTGGCCCACAGCAGCCTGGCTCCCAATGTTTAGCGTTTTAAATTCACAGTGCCTGATACAAACCCAGCAATTTCTTTTCTCTTCTGCATCCCCTCCTGCTGTTTTTAGAAGCCTCACCAGTCAGCCCACCGGTGAGGCATCATTGGGAACCATTCCTCAGCATACTTCACCTCCTTGGATGATTGACACACTTTTTCCCCAGTGCTGTCAGTTGACCCCAGAGCCTTTGAACCAAGCTACATTCCTACCCTCCTCTCCCAGACAAGGTCTTACTAAGTCACTAACTTACTGGCTCGGCTTCAATTTGGAATCTTTCTGTCTCAGCCTACAAGAGTGCCAGGACCAGCTTGATTTTATACTCTCAGAGTAGGAAGGAATTTTAGAGGCTGCCAAACCCATCTACCACTCTGGCTGGGCTCCCTGGCAGTGACGAGGACTGGTGGCCCAGGCCTCAGATGCCGTGAGGGTACTATCACCTTAGCAAAGTCTCCAAATACCCCTAGAGCTCGGTTTTCTCCCCACAAATATGGTCCCCAGAACTTGGTCACTTCAATGTGGGCCTGATTGTCACACTCTTGGAAACAACCATCTGTCAGGGGACAGAGCCTCACAGGGGCCTGTGCCAGCGGCCCATCCAGAGTCCCCAGGCAGGAGGGGAACAGCATTCCGGAGTGAAGGCGAGGAGCTGGGGAAGGTTAGGAGGGAAAGATTGCTCAGCCATGAGTTTGAATTCGGAGAGCGAGACCAGGATGTCTGTGGTGCCCTCTTTGCCCTGAGCCTGGGCTGTGGCCCCCGGCTTCTGGCTTCTCGGCAGGGGCTCAGCCAGAAGCCTCGGCCCCACCCCCACCTCCGCCCAGCCACCAGGTGAGCGGACAACAGATGGAGGACCTGGGAGCTTCCTAGTAACTCCAACCCCAGAGACCCTGGGGCCCCACCCAGGTCTCAAACCCAGCACCTCTGCTGTGCACGTGAGGTGGGGGCTCACTTTCACATTAACAGCTAAGAGAGCTGCAAAGTGGGGGCTCAGAGCAGGGCTCAGATCCTGGCTCCACCCTTTACTGTGTGACCATGAGCAGGTCCCTGGGCCTCACCCCTATTTGTACTGAGGGACCCATCACAGCCTCCCCAGGTTAGGGAGTAGTGGATTAGACCTCTGAAGCACCCTCTGCACATGCAGTGTGAGAATTTTAGGAACATAACCTCTTTGTGCCTCAGTTTCCCCAAATGAGGATGAGTGCCTGCTCAGTGGAGGAGTCTGGGCATTTCACTCAATTGCTGTATGGACTGGGGGCAGCAGGAACTCTGCCAAGGCTGAGGCTATTATTATTTACTCTTTGCTGTTTAAAAAGCTAACTGGTGGGTGAGCAGGTGTAGAGAACTGTGAAGGGCCATGGGGACCCTAATCCTGGGTCACTCCACAAGCAGATGAGCCTGGGCCTCTCAGGTTCTGCTGCTTGATTTTTTTTCTTTTCTTTGAGTCAGAGTCTTTCTGTGCAGTGCAATCTGGCCTCGAACTTGCTTATTTCGCTCAGGCTGGCCTCAAGCTATCAATGATCCTCCTGCCTCAGCCTCTTGAGTGCTGGAAAAACAGGTGTGAGCCACTATGCCTAACCTATGCTGTTATAAGGGCAAAAATATAAGGGCTGAGTGTAGCCCAGTTGTAGCACCTGGCATGCCTGAGGCCCTGAGTTCCAACTGAGTATTTTTGGCACTCAATCTGAAGCAGCACTGAGGAGACAAAGGAGGAGGCCTTTAATGAGGGCCTGGGAGAGCTTCACAGGAGTACAGAGGCTCTCAAAGGAGAACAAAGAAGTGGGACTACTTTATCAGTTCTGGCTGGGGGAGGAGTTTGGGAGGTGGCAAAATGTCATTAACTGCCAATTTAAAGGAGCATCTGCCTGTGTAAAGCATGAGACAGATTTCCTGGGGGCTGGAGGTGGAAGCTTGGGCAGTTGTGGAGTCTTGGGATTGGGGAGGGCTTGGTGTATGTACAAGAGGGAGCAGAACGTTTATCTCTGGAATAAGGAGAACGTAGAAGTTACTCTTGGAGAGAGAAGCTGTTTCTCTGGGTCCAGTACCAAGTGGGGAGAATGTAGCTAAAACCCAGGCTAGCAGAACCCATCAGGCTCCATATCCTGCACCAAAATAAGATCAAATACAGGAACAAGTTTCCAAAATGCTAAATGGACACAGCCCCAGGTCTTGTGAGGGTCCCTAAAGAAAAGCCGGGTAAGTGCCAGTTCATCTGTGATGCACTGATAACTGAACCGGGCAGTGGACCCAGGATTGCCCCACCACTCTTAACAGGTCTCAGAGAAGCCACACCTTTAAAGGGGTACATGTCTATAACCCCGCACTGTGGGAAGCTGAGGCAGGAGGATTGCCTGCTGGAGTTTAGGAATCTAGAGAGATCCTGTCTTCAAATTAAAAGAGGGGCTAGGGATATTGCTCAGCACAAAGGCCCTGGGTTCAGTCCCGAGGACCAGAAAACCATGGGCACCTCCTGTCCGCTTGTGCTCACGGCTCTTCCCGGCCCCGCAGCTGCCCTGCCTCTCTAGCTACATCAAGTTGCGAGCCCTGAACTGGTGAGCCACGGACAAGAGGCCAGAGCAATGCAGGGTGGTGCAGACCCCGGAGGCCACCTGGCTCAGCCTGCAGTACTGTCTCCACAGCGCCAGGAACGACTGCCTAGAGGAGATTGGCGCAGCCAGCCTGTCCCTCAGCCACATCTCCTCCACTGGAGAGGAGATTGAAGGCAAGCCCAGGGCCGGACCTCCCGCCGCACCCGCACCCCGGCCCTGCCTGCCCTGTCACGGCTCTCCTTGCAGGACTCTACTCCGGTTTCCTGCCCTGCTTCGGCCCCTGCTTCCTGCCTCTTCACGGGGGTCCTCAGGCCCCGATGAGGATCCAGGAAGAAGCTGCCGTAAGCTTTCCCAGCAGCTCAGGGAACACTGGCGCTAAAATGGGCCTAGGAGCTGGGGGGGGGGGGGGGCGGTGTTGGCCCTGATTTCTGCCCATTGGAGCTGCCTGTATGTGGGACACAAACGGGGGAGGAAGGAACAGCGCAAGGGCCACTGAGACCTATATAAGAGTTCTGCAGGAAGAAAGGAAACACAGGTAAACACAGAGAAGCATGAGGTTATTCAAGACAAGTGAGGACCTGGCATGGCCCTTGGGAGGCAGAGGCTGGAAGATCTCTGAGTTCAAGACCAGCCTGTCTTAACAAAACCAACAAACAACAGGTGATAAATGCCAGAAGCCATGCTAAATTGGGAAAGGAAAAGAGGAGGAGGCCAAGAAGGGCTGCAGGCGCCAAGCCTTGAAGGCCTGTACGAGGTTCTTTCCTTCTCCTCTCCTTCAGCCTTTAACATCTCCCCTCATTCTCTTCTGTGTGTCTCTGTCTGTTGTCCCGCTGGGAACCAGGACCCAAGCAATGCAAGATTTTTTTTTTTTTTCCTTTATGGTACTGGGGATTGAATCCAGAGCCTACTAAACTACATCCTCAATCCATTTTAAATATTTTTATTTTGAAAAAAATTCTTGCTAAATCACTAAATCACCCAGGCTAACTTTGAACGCCCAATCCTCTTGTTTCAGCTTCCGGTGGTGCTGGAATTATGTGCAGGAACCACCACGCCCTAGTTTAAGGAAGCATTCTGATTGGTCTTTTTAGGTCACATGTGCTTTCTTTGGACCAATCCCTGTCACCAAGGAGGCAGGGCACGTCCTGATTGGCCAGGCAGACAGCATATGCTGTAGTTATAATAGTGCTTCCTAAGCCTAAGCATTTGGTGCAAGGTCTCTTAAATTCATTGGTGGGTGGAAGGAGCCACAGGAGTGCTGGCTGCTAAGGGGCAGAAGAGGGGTTGGGTCCAGAGGCTGCCTGGTGCGGAGGTATCTGGGGATCTGGAGTTGTCTCCTGGATTATGGTTGGAGATCTGGACGCTTCCTCTATGCTTAGGCCTCCGGGAAGAAGCATCACTCTGTTCCCTTTTCCCTCCATTGTTCTGTCCCTCCCAGAGTATTCCTGACCCTGTTGGGGATGGCTTATCTTACCGAGGTCGAGTCCTCCTGGAGTTAACCACCCAAATCAAGTCCCATCAAGGCAGTACCATAAAGGATCTCTCCCACGAAGTGGCCAGGATAGAGGTAACCGGGGGAGAAATCACTAACCGGCCCTCCCTGGCCCCAGATGAATAGGTTGGAGAGGAGTGAGTTGGGGTTACCCGGTGCAGGGAAATGAGGATACAGCAGAGGAGAGCTGGAGGAAGGAGACAGATCCCAGAGATACTGTGGAAACAGAACAGGCAGAGTCAGTGACCAGCAGGAAGTGAGCTGACACCCCCCCCCCCTCCAGCTCAGGTCCCTTAGCTGCCCCGGGTTCCTAGCTGGCCAGGGCTGACAGGCACCCAGCTGGGCTCCGTGGAGGAGGAGCAGATTAGGGGCTCATCAGTCTTCACAGTTTGAGCCGGGCCAGGATAGATGGAATGGAAGAAGGGAGCTGAGCCTAACAGGGCACTGTAGTCTACAAGGCCCTCGGAGGAGGAGGGAGGAGAGGAGTGGTCAGTAATCTTGAACCCTAACGGGAGCCAAGGGGCTTCTGAGAGAACAGGTCATCTCTTCCTCACCTCCCTACTGCAGTACAGTCTTGTCCATCCTTGGCTGTACCTGGGGTTGTGTGCTGTCTTTCTAGAAACACCAGAACCGCCTAAAGTATGGGCTGTGTGTCATCTTCCTGTCCTGTACCATGATGCCCAACTTTAAAGACCTCATCCAGTTCGAGGTCAGCATTGGCCACTACGGAAACAAGATGGACCTGAATTACAAGCCTCTGGTGTCTGCCACCCAGTACAGCCCTGTGATATACGATGGTGACTGTCAAATTCAAGTCCTTCCCATGATGCTCCATAACTTTCCTGACCCCATTTCTCCCGCTCCCTCAAACCACCTCCCCTCCATCTATCCAGTTACCATCCACCCTCCATCTGTCTCTTCATTTATATATCCATCCATTCAGCCATTCAACTCCAAGCACCCACCATCTCAAACGCCCAACCACCTACCTACTCATTCATCCAATATAGACTTGTTAGGCACTAACATGAGCACTGTGGGGTAGCAAAGTCCCGGGGCCAGCAGCATCGCCTGCATGCTTGTTAGAAATGCATATTCTGGTTGTGTGTGGTAACAAGCAGCTCTAATGCCAGCTATTCAGGAGGCTGAGGCACAAGGATTGCAATTTCGAGGACAGCCTGGGCAATTTAGTGAGACCCTGTCTTAATAATAAAAAAATTGTTTAAAGGACCAGGGGAATAGCTCAGTGGTAGAGTGCTTGCTTAACATGTCTGAGGCCCTGAGTTCAATCCCTAGTACCACAAAAAGTAGCTGGGCATGGTGGTACATGCCTGTAATCCCAGAACTCAGGAGGCTGAGGCAGGAGGATTGCCATGAATTTGAGGTCACCCTGGGCTGCGTAGTGAGTGTAAGGCCACCCCGAACTACATAGCAAGACCTGTCTCCAAATTAAAAAAAAAAAAGAAACACAGACTCTTGATTTCACTCCACAAGTATGGATTCAGGTAACCTGGAGATTTTAACAGAGTGTGATTTGGGTGCATGCTAAAATTTGAGAACCCCTGTAATGGAACAATACTTTCTCCCTCCCATCTTTGTCAGCCTCACCTGTCACTCACTGGGAGCCTTTCCGTGCACCTCACTCCTCAGCCTGTTTTCTAAACCAAAGCTTTGCTGAGACATAATTCCACACCATACCGTGTGCCTGTCTGAAGCACGTGATCCTGTGGATTTCAGCACATTCACAGCATCGCGCAACCATTGCCGCAGTCATTTTTAGAAAGTTTTTTTCAACCCAAAAAGAAACCCCAGGCCCACTCGTGCTTGCTCTTCACTCCTCTCTCACCTCCAAACACTACTCCACTTCCTGTCTCTAGTCTGTGCATTCCGCATGCATACAATATGTGATCGTGTGTGCCTGGTCTTTTTCATTTAGTTTAGCGTTCTTATATTTTTTGTATTATGATAAATGTGTACAAAAATATATAAATATATTGATAGTTTTAAAAAGAATGAGTTCCCATGAACTCACCACATAGCTTAAAAAATAGAAAGTTGTCAGTGTCATAAAGTTTTAAAAAGAATGAGTTCCCATGAACTCACCACATAGCTTAGAAAATAGAAAGTTGTCAGTGTCATAAAGTGTCCCTGTCTGGCTTTGCCCCTGCAAACTGTGGTCCTGTCTCCTGTGTTTTATCAGCCTTTGCTTCATTTTAATCTTGACCCCCTGTGTACAGGCCTGTAAAAAGCATACCATCATTTTTTATGCAAGTGGACTCTCAATCCTATTCATTTGCAAACATAGATCTTTTGTTCAACGTTACATTTTCATCCAGGTTCATCTTCACTGTGTATATATGTTACCATATGATTACACCACAAATTATGTGGCTCAGTAGACAGGGAGGTTGTGTCTCTTTTTGGTAGTATAATAATCTTGTTACAGTCTTGTACATGTCTCCTGGTCATAAGTGCAAGGCTTTCTCTAAATTATATACCTGGGAATGGAGGAGAATCGCTAGACAAAAGTGATTATTCCAAATTACACTCTCATCAGAATGGTATGAGAATTCCTTCAACGCTGCGCTCTCACCAGGATTTCTTGCCCAGCCTTTTAATTTCTGCCAATCTAGTGAATGTGAAACAGTATCTCACTGGGCCTGAATTGCTCTTGCCTGATTATAAATGAGGGTTAAGCCTCTTCATACAGATACAGGCATTTATTTATCTATAAAAAATAAAAAATCTGTTCCTCTCTTTTATCCATTATTCCATTTGGCTTTATTTTTCTGTTGATTTGTATATTAAATCTCTTGCTAGGGCTGTGTACCCATGATCCCACCACCGGATGTAAAATATGGAAAATCGGATGTTCTTACAGCTTTCTGTGGCAAAGAGACTGTTTCCTGAGGGTGTCTTTTTATGCCGAATTGCCCGCGTTCTTTTATATTTTGGATACAGGTCCTTTGTTCGAGATATTTTGCTCATGTTTTTCGGTCTATGGCATGGCTTTTTAGTTTCTAAACAGTATCTTTTAAAGGTCATGCATTTCTAATTTTGGTGAAGTTCAACTTGTTGACTTTTTCTTTTATGGCTAATACATGATGTAGTCTAAGAAATAATTCCATTACATCACACATGCCCCAAATCATGAAGCCATTGTTTATTCTGCAAGCTTTATAGTTTTAACCCTATGTTTAGGCTTCTATCTAATTTGACTGATTTCTTATGTATGGTGTGAAGGAGGGGCTGAGGTTCTTTTTCTCTACATATATATCCAGTTCAGAATTATTTGCTGAAAAAGTGTGTTCCCACACTGAGTTAGTTTTGCTGAGTTCACCTTTGCTGAAAATTAGATAACAGAATGCTTATTCTGTTCCATTAATTTATTCCTCTATCCTATGCCAATTCACTCAATATTTTCTTCTTGTGTATAATATACAATGGAATTATACCAGTAAAACTGCATGTATCCCTAATATTACCTTTATTATACATTGCATTTTTTTCTTTTTTTGGGTGGGGGAAGTACTAGGAATAGAACCCAGGGCCTTATACATGCTAGCAAATACTACACCACTGAGGTACACTTTGGTGCTTTTATTTAAAAAAGTTTTTTCAGATAAGGTCTCACTGAGTCATCCAGGCTGACCTTGAGCCTGGGCTCCTGCTCAGCCTCCCAATAGGTGGCTTTCAGGCCTGTGCCAGCGTCCTCAGCATTTTACAAGTTATTATTAATATTATTATTAGATACCTGGGATTGAACTCACAACCTCATGCTTACCAACAAGTTTTGTTTAGGAAATTTTTGTACCTATGTTGATGAGTGAAATCTTTTTTTATTTGGTGGTACAACCTACGTATCATAAAAGGTATGTACCATAAATATATTAAATTTATGTGGCATAAAATTCACTTGTTTTAGCTTTGCACAATAACATATGCCTGTAATCCCTGTACTCTGGGGCAGGACTGCAAGTTTAAGACCAGCCTGGACAATATAGTCACTTTGTAAGACCCTGTCTCAAAATTTTAAAAATAGCCGGGTGTGGTGATACATGCCAGTAACCTCAGCACTCGGGTGGCTAAGGCAAGAGGATTGCCATGAGTTTGAGACCAGCCTGAACTACTCGGTGAGTTCAGTGCCCTCCTGAACCTTGTCTCAAACCTTGAGACCTTGTCTCAAAAAGACCAGAAAAAAAAAAAAAAAAAAAAAAAAAAGGAAAAAAAAAAACCTAGAAAGGACTTGGAATGTGGCTTAATGTGACGATTCAATCCCCAATACCACACATCAAAAAAAAAATTATTTTAAAAATCAAGTAAAAAACCAAAAAATTGTTTTTAGTAAGATTTGGACAATCACACCTCCCCCCCAGTTTTAGAACATCTCCATCACCCCAAGAAACCCTCAGTGCTGTTTGGTGGGGTTCCCTAAGCCCACAAGCCGCTCACCTGCTGCTGTGTGTTTATTTTCTGACTACTTCGCATAAACAAAACCATACAGTGCATGGTCTCTGCACTGGCTTCTTGCACACTACACCAGGTTTTGTGGTCTATTTATGGCGAGGCACGCACGCTACTTCGTTCCATTTTATTATCAAGTAGCTGGGCTGGGGACAGCTCAGAGGCAGAGCTGTTTACCTAGGGTGCCCAGGGCCCCGGGTTTACTCCCTAGCTCTGCAAAGCAAGCAAGAGGAAAGTGTGTTCCATCTCATAAAGGCAGCGATCTCCAGGGACGGATGTTGTTTCTGCTTCTTGGCTGTTAAGAATAACGCTACTGTGAACTTTCAGGTGCAAGTCCTGGTGTGGATATACTCTTGGGTTTCTTTGTGTCTTTTTGAGACAGGGTCTCACTATGCAGTTCAGGCTGAATTTGAGCTCGCTTTGTAGTCCAGGCTGCCTCAAACTCACAATGATCCTCCTGCCTCAGCCTCTGGTGTGCTGGGATTACAGGCGTGAGCCACCACTCCTAGCTTATACTCTATTTATCTTGGGTGAAATATTCAAATGTGGATTGGTTTTGTAAGGCACTGCTGAACTTTTCTAAAGTGGTTGCACCATTTTATATTTCCCCAGCTGTTTAAGATGATTTCAGTTTCTTATGTCCACATCAGTGTTTAATCTTCTCTCTCTTTCCTACTGCATTTATGACAGTGGGCATGTAATGGTGTCTCATTGTGGTTTTAATTTCTGTTTCCTACATCTAATGATACTGAGCATCTTTCCATGTGATTAACCATCAGCCTTCTTTGATGTGTCTGTTGAAATCTATGTTTTAATTGGTTTATCTTATTGAGTTGTAATAGTTGGTTATATAGTCTGCATACAAGTCTTTCATCAGATATTTGATTTTCTAATAGCCTGTGGTTTGTCTATTTTCTAATGGTAGTGTTTTTTTGTTGATGTCTTTTTGTTTTGGGGGTTTATTTATTTTTATCTATTTATTTTTTGGACCAGGAATGAACTCAACACTGCAGGCTTACAAGGCTGGTGTTGGAGCTAAATCCCTGGCCCTGTTTGTTTATTTTTAGAACTGCTGATCCTCCTGCCTCAGCCTCCCAAGTGCTAGACAGGCATGTGCCACCATGCCTAGCCAGAATCATGTCTTTTTTAATTACTGATTTTTAAAATTTAATTTTTTTTGGTTCTGGGAATTGAACTTAGGACATTGAGCTTACCAGACAGGCGCTTTGCCACTGAACTAAATCCCCAGCCCCCAGCCCCCAGATGCTATATATATATATTCCCCCCGCCCCTTTTCTTTGTACCGGGGATCCGGAGCTAAATCCCCGGTGAAGTTCCCTTACTTTTGTTTTCTTGGCACTGGGGATCAAACTTAAAACCTCATGCTTGCCAGGCAGGCTTTTATGCTGCTGAGCTAAACCCCAGGCCCCCAGATGCTATATTTTTAATTTAAATCAAATCCAGTTTACTTTTTTCTTTTATGGAGTCGTATCTAAGAACTCTTTGCCTAACCCAAGGTCATGAAAATTTTCTCCTTTCTTGTAAAAGTTTTATAGGTTTAATTGTTACAGTGAGCTCTGTGATTCATTTTGAATTAAGTAGTATGTGGCTATTGTTGTTCAGGCAGCATTTGTGGGAAAGAAAAACCCCACCAGCAGACTGCCTGTATTTCCCCATGGGAGTGGTCTTAAATTATAGGTTAAAGCATTGACTCTGCTCCAGTGATGGGTTCCATTTATGGGTTTAATGGTTCTCCTTCGTTTTCCTCTGTGTCTGCTGTTTTCTCTCAGATCCTTTTTTGACTCTTTCTGCTGTCTTTGGGTGACTTTCCTTCTTCCTGTCTTCCTTTCTGTGCCCTCTTAGGGTGTCAGCGAGGGCTGGTTCTTGGGCTCCTCGCCTTCTCTGTTCTCTTCCGAGCTGCTGGTTTGCTTTGTCCCCCTCCTGGGTGGTGAGTGCCGGGTTCTTGTTTCCGCCTTTCCCTCAGGGTTTTCGCTGGCCCTGTCTGTGACCCCTGCTTCCTGCTGTCACCTGTCATCGCAGTTCTCTTCCTGGTGCCTCTGCAGCCGGCAGCCCACAGGGCTCCTGCAGCAGCCCGGGTTGCTTTTGGCAGCCAGGATGTGTAGTCGGAGTCTGCACATGACATGGTCTCTATCTGCTGGAATCAGGCTTATTTTCCTTCTCCGTGTTGCTTTTGTAAGCCAGCCAAGGGCAGAAAAGGAAAACTGCATCTTGGCCTGAGCTCCTGCAGAGAGCGGCTGTCTTGGGTCTCTGCTTATTTACCCTCCTGAGGATTCCCTTGGAGCCAGAGTCCATATCTGGTGCCTTCTAACAGCTTTGGGCAATTCTGATTTTTCATTTTGTAAGTTACTTCTTCTTTTCTTTTGTGCCCTGCACCCGCAGCCCTTTTCTAATTTTGCAACAGCTAAGTTGCTAAGTCACCTAAAGTGGGCTTGAACTTGCAATCCTCCTGCCTCAGCCTCCAGAGCGCTGGGATGACAGATGTTCACTGCCACACCCAGCTGCCCTCTGTATTTTAAAATCTCTCTCCATGTTCGTCTTGTTGTCTCTTTCGGCCATATTCTGGGTAATCCTAGACCTCAGCATTGTCAAGGTCGCAATGATCCTTTGACTTGGAATGGCCCAGCAGTCACCATCCCCTTGCCCCCTTGGCCTGTCCCTTGGTACGTGCTGTGTTGTTAGTACTGATGGTCCCTTTCACCTTTCCAATTGTTTACTTCTTAACTCAGCATTTAGTCCGAGGACAACACATCCGTGGAAATGTACCCAAGCCACAGCGTCCCCTAATAATCCCAAAGCAGACTCATCCCTTCAGATCTCGAAGGGCCAAGGGACTGTCTGCTCTGCTCCCGCCCCAGCCTGGCAGTCGCTCTCTTCTCTCCTTTTCACCATTTCTGTTTCAGTCTCACGTGAACGAAACCATGCCATGTGGGTCCTCGGGCCTCTGGCTTCTCCGCCCATCGGTTCATTTGGGAAAAGCTCACAAATCTACTTGGCATCAGGTCAGGCAGAGCTGCAGCAGGTGCTCGCCGCTGCACAGCACAGTGTCCTGAGAATGCAGGTGGGCGGGGCCTCACACATCCCAGCTCCATGCATCTGGCTGACGGAGGCCAATGTTACTCAAAAACAATTGCATCAGAGCCAGATGTTTGTGGTGACATCTGTCATCCCAGCACTCTGGGAGGCTGAAGCAGGAGGATGGCAAGTTTGTGCCTAGCCTGAGAAATTGAGCAACTTAGCAAGAGTATCTCAACCTAAAAATGGACTGGGGGTTTTCCTCAGTGCAGAAGCCCTGGTTTCAATCCCTGGTGCCGCCTTCAATGCCGCTTGCATCTGTTCATTCCAGCCATTTTACATAGCATTTACTTGATCCTAGGCAATATAAGTCAGCTGGAAGTGGTTCAAAGGATGCAGGAGAATATAAATAGGTTATAGGCAAATGTGCTGCCATTTTCTATCAGGACCTTGGGCATCTGGGGGCTTTGGTACCCGTGAGACATGCTGGAACCAACACCATGGAGAAACAGGCCAGGTGTGCACCATGGTTTATTGCTTGTCTGCAGCAGGCTTTCGGGGCCATTCCCACTTTGGTCGTTCTGGTCAGAGCTGGGGAGCACGTTCAGGGTCACTTGCTGAGGCTTCATATGGCCTCCTCTCGGGTAGATGCCTAGGCGTGGGCTCACTGGGGCAGGAGAGATGTATTTGGCTTCTAACCAGCTCCTTTTTCTGAGTTTCTTGGGACTTTGAGGTCAGCTGAAGTTTCGTTCTCCAATCAGGCACCAGGTTAAACTTCTTTGTATGACAGCCTATGGCCTTCGCAGGCAGCCTGAATCTCATCCTCAGGCCAGGGGCAGTTTCTCCCAGCCCAGCCTGCAGGCCTGGCCCTTTCCGTGGGATGTTACTTCCCCAGCTCCTTCCTGGCCCTGAGGGTGCTGTGCTACGTGCACAACGGGGTGGCTGAAGTGAGAGAAATGGGTTCTCTCACAGGTCTGGAGCAGACAAGCTGGAAATCCAAGGTCAGTGTTGACCCCTGCTGAGGGTTGCCTCGGCAACCTGGTGTGCTGGGATTATGACCACATACCAGGACACCTGGCTTTGTGTCACTGATTTTATCACTCTTACTCCCCACCTGGACCTCTGTGTTGGTAGGTCCTCGGGGGCTGCTGCCCTGAACCAAACCCATTCCTCTGGCTCCTGGACCACCTCAGTCTGAAGACAGGCCCCTGCCTTGGTGTCTCCCCTGAGGTTCCGAACTTGGCCTGGAGCCGGGTGCCTGTGTGATGACCTCTGGGCCATCACAAGCCTGGGTTCTCCCACCTGGAGGCCGGAGACTGTGCAGAGAAAGCCAGGGTTGCCAGAGGACACAGGTCAGGCCCCAGCCAGCATCTAGAAGGGGGCCCACTAGTGTAGTCAACACAATGTGTCCTTGAGCAAAAGTCGCCCATAGGAGGTCCCTCACAGGGACATGACTGGGTTTGATGGTGCACACTTGTAATCCAGGCACTCTGGGAAGCTGAGGCAGGAGAATCACAAATTTGACCCCAACCTGGTCAGTTAGGTGATTTAGCAAGACTTGTCTGAAGAAAAAAAAAAGAGAGAAGGTGGGGCACATTGAGGGAGACCCCTGAGACCCTTCCAACACCTGCACCCCACCCCACCTTGTGTCTCATGTCCCAGGCAACATCTACTACTACATCCCCTGGTACAACACCAAGCCAGTGGTGGCTGTGACATCCAATTGGGAGGACGTCAGCCTCCGAATGCGTTGCCTCAACCTGCTCCAGTTCGCCAGGGACCGCCTGGTGAGTGCACAGAGCCTGGAAACCTCGGCCCTAGGCACTCTTAGCACCGTGAATCCACGCCAGAGCAGCACAGGGCGCTGGGGGAGGCGCTGGGCACCGAGGTGCAAAGATGGCCGGGCAAAGCACTCCCTGGTTGCCAGGGAAGTGGGGTCTGCCCAGTTACTGTTCCCGGGCACTGCTTCCCAGGCCCACCCATCCCAGGTCCTCCTTCCTGCCCATTTCTTCTGCTGGGTAGCAGGAAGTGGGGGTCTGGGAGCCTGACTAGCACATGTGACAGCCTTGGACTGCTAGGCCCAGTGCCTGGCAAGGTCCTGAGTCCTGAATGAAATCGCCCTCAGCCCTGCCCTGTGCCATGTGACCTCTGTGTTGAGCCTGGCACTCTCCTTTCTCTCCTGCCAGAAAGCCAACTTGGACACCCTGAGGTCCATGCGTAACCCGAGGGACCCTGCCCTGCTCCCACAGTGGGAAAAGCTGCTGCAGGAGCTGATGGAGGACTGCAGGTAGCTGGCACTGTGGGCCAGGGGCTGGGCCTTGCGAGCCCCGCCCCCCAACCCCATGCTGTCCCGCTAGAGTCTAGCTCTGCAAACATGGCCTGGTCGCCCCTTCTGGCACTGACTCCACACCTCAGCCACATTTCGTTACCCCCAAAGATCTGCGTGGCTCCATGCCTGTCAGGCCCACACTGAGGGTCTCCACAGCTCTCCTCACTGTTTCTGCCACCCCGCAGGGCCCCACAGGGAAGCTGCCTGTCCTACAGGCTACCAGAAAGCCTCTCAGCCCCTATCCCAGGTTGGGTGATTCCTGTCTTGGCTGTGTCCCCTCCATGGCTGGTCCTAGGTACAGGACGGACACTTGATGGGCAGAGCTCCCAGGCCAGGCCAGCTATGTGCCGGGCAGGGTCTCAGCCTGTGATAGGACCAGAGGCAGAGACATGGGGGACAGGAGAGAGGCCTAGCCCGGCTGCCTGCCATTCTTGTGCTGCCCACAGGCGCCCTCTGCCCTGCATGACAGATCAGCCCAGAGCCACTGACCTGGACAGGAAGAGGTGGGAGCTCCGCAGCCTCCTCCTGCAGGAGCTGGCCCAGAAGGCCAAGGAAGCCAAGCCCAGGGACATGGTGCCCACCGTGGAGGGCTGGCTACGCCGTCTCAATGCTGTGCTCCCCGAGGTGGGTGCTGGCCAGGGGGCGGAGTAGGGCTGGGAGCTGTTGTGCAGGTCCTGATGGCTCCCTGTCCCCAGCCCCAGAGGAGCCTCCCGGATGTGATGATCTGGCTTATAGCCAAGGAGCAGCGCGTGGCCTTCGCCCGGGTGCCCGCACACACCGTCCTCTTCTCCCCGGCGGGGCCCCTACACTCTGGCAGGTTCTGTGGGAAGATCCAGACCCTCCTGCTGCAGGTGGGGAGCAGGGGGAACCCTGCCCCTTCCCGAGGATGGGGCAGCTTCTCACTACCTGGCCTATGACCCCAGAGAAAGACAAAGGCCTGTCCTCATCAGCTGCAGGCTGGTGCCACATCCATGTCCTCCACCATGGTCCCCTAATCCTCCACCTCCATTACCCTCACGGCCACCACTTGGTCTTGTACCTGCTGGACCACGATTGGGTGATCTCCAGAATATATAATGCCATAGATTTGGATCTTCCCTGGTATCCCTCTGCCTCCTGGAGAAGGTGCCACCTCCCTCTCAGCCCCTGGACTTCCTTGGCCCCAAACATACTGCCCTAGCTCTTCCCGCCACCCAGTTCAGCCCCTCTCTCTTGCCCATGACATTCCTTCCTGTCCTGCTGAGATTGCATCTGCTCTGCTGCTCATGGGCTCAATAACTCCTAACCGTGTCCAGGCCTCAGTCTGCTCCTCTGTAGAAAGGGGATGGTGATACTCATCCCCGCCACTCTGTGGTGTGTTGAAGGTCACAGCACTTAGCGCATGTTAGTGAGCACGCTGCAGATCACGCCTCGCCCCCCTGCCCCCAGCCCGCTTGCGCGAGGTGAGCATGAAGCTTAGGGTGCGCATCACTGCTCTCAAGCGCAGGCAGAAGGGACAGGTGTGACCCACTGAGGGAGCTCGGGGCCCCTGCCTCACCCACATTCCCGTGCCCTGCGGGGTGGATCTGTCTCTGATTCAGTACCCAGAGGGGGAAGGACAGCAGAACGCGTCCCCAGCCCATCTCCGGGTCTGCATGTGGCTGGGCGACGTCACTGACAGCAGGGACCTGCAGCTGCTCCGCCACGGCGACCTGGTAGTGTACGCGGAGACGGTGAGCAGCTAGGGGTTGGGGGGCTGGGTCCCACGAGGGACAGTGACTCCACAGGGAAGAGCTGGGCGGTCCCTGATGACCCAGGTAATTATGGGGAGCTCAGCTCTAGATTTGATGGCTCTGATGGCTCAGGGAAGGAAGATTAGAGTGTCCAGCTCCTGAACTCACCAAATGGAGACATCACCTAGTTTTATGCTGTGTATGTGGCCAGCTTCATGCCCCTGCCGATTCTGGTGACTGTGGGCGGAACACAGGGTTTGGCCTGGGGTGGTGGCATCTGTGCTGAACACGTGTGGGCTTTTTCCTTAAACAGTGTGGTGGAACAGCTGCTTCCATCGCATTTGCATTGGTACGTAAGCTCTTGGGGAGGATCTGAAGTGGACATCAGGTGGCCACAGCTTGTATGCAAATACCAGGCCCTGAAAGGACCAAAAAGACAATAGCAGTCGAGGATCTAATATTCCAGGGGGTCCTGGGATCTCTTCCTGAGGACACCAAGGGACAACCATGCGTCTAAACTCAAGGATGAGGAGCTGGAGAGCGATTTAGGGTATGGTGCAGGAATATCGCTAGAGGCCCTCTGTTCCTGCAGGTCCCATTAAAGGCACCAGCTCTAACCTGTGTCCACCCTACTCTACTACCAAGCAGCATGGGGCAGGGTTGAGGCCTGAGCCCTCAGTCTCCTTACCCATGCAATGGAGTGTAGCCATATCTAAGGTTGCGGTCTCAGTGAGGCCCAGCATCCACAGAAGACACTGACGGAGCCTCTTCCTCCTCCAGTATGAGAATCAGGCCAAGTACAAAGACCAGTGGGGACAGCAGGGCCTCTACCAGTGCCCCAACTTCTCAGACGTCATGGGGCACAAGGCCCTCCCCAAGTCGGAGTTCAAGGCGCCCCCAGGGTGGCACTGGCAGGACAGCTGGAGAGTGGAGCCCCAGAGGAGGTAGGCCAGGGTTGCAGGCCCGAGCCTGGATACCCCTGGTCGCATCCCAGTGGGGTGAACTTCCTGTCACCTCCGAGGGCCAGTGAGTGGCAGCCCAAGATGAGCCCAAAGCCACAGAGCCTGGTCCCTGGGCCTGGATGCAGAAGACATGGCCCTGCCCACAGCCCTGGGATGGGGGTGCCACGGAGGGAAGCATGAGGCCAGCAGAGGGAGATGTGGGAGCTTCCCATCCCCAGATTCCTCCTGGACATAGACATCAACAAGAGCCAGGTTCTGGAGGAGGTGTATGAGAACCAGGACCGTGACAGCACAGGCACCTGGGTGCCCTCCGCTACTCCAAACACCGACGTGGTGAGCAGGACTGAAACCACCTCCAGGGAGGGGGCCAGGCAAGGCTACCAGGCAGGGGCCGGGGGGCAGGAGTAGAGGAAAGAGCCAGGCCTGAGCCCAGCTTTTCATGCACAATGGGGCCCTGGGTGAGTTGTCAGCCTCTGGCACTTTCCCCCTCACCAGGACCCTGGACCCCAAGCTGGCAGGCAGAGGTGCTGTCCGGAAGACATCAGGACCAAGGGAGGGAGACAGCTGTCCCTCTCAGGCCCCTGCCAGGGACTGGGGCCCCAGCACCAGGCACTAGACTGCTCTGCAGGTGGGGAGGTTCTGTCCTTTGTATTCCTTGCAGTAGCCCTAGGTGGTTGCTGGCCAATGTACTGGGCCAGGACAGTGCAAGTCTCGAGTGCAGCTCCCTGTTTCAACAGGGAGGGAGCAGGTGACAGTCCAGCAAGGCCCCTCATGACAGGGGGACAGCAGACAGCAGCCAGCACTGTGTCTGGGGGAAGAGAGGTCACCGTGACAGCTGTGTGTGGGCCAGTTCCTCCCTCTTCCTCCTTGCCCCCATGTCCCTGCAGAATGGACATTCAGTACCAGCTCGGGACACGGTGACATGCCCCAAGGGCTGGCATTTTAAGAAGAACTGGGCTGTGGAACTCAATCATGCAGTGGACAGTGAGGGTCAGTGCTACGATCAGGGTCAAGAGGCAGGTGGGAGGGCCTGGGACTCTAAATTAGGCAAGCCACAGGGCTGTTCTGAGCAGTTCGGGGTACCTGGTTCTTCCACCAGCCTTGAGCAGCGAAATCACCCGGAGTGTTTATTTATTTGAATCTCACTATGTAGTTTAAGTTGGCCTTGAACTCATGGTGATCCTCCTGCCTCAGCCTCCTTAATGATGGGATTATAGGCACATGCCACCATGCCTAGTGCTCCTGGGTGGAATGAGCCTGGATTTCTGAGGGTCCCTGGCCACTAGGATTCAGGAACTCCACTTGTCCCCCCAACACAGGCCCTAGCTAGAGTGGAGACAGTGCGTGTCCTCACTGCCTCCTGACCCAGAGCACCGCTGGACAGATATCGGTCACCCACGGTGTGATGGGTTGGAGACCTCCAGCCCCAGGCTGAAGACAGGGTCTCAGCTGTGTGGCTGTGAGGGAGTCCCTTCCCTGTCTGTAACACAGGCTGTCAGGCCCAGGGCAGGCAGGTGGCAGTGTGACCACACCTCCCTGGGTAGAAGGAAAGGCACTGACCGTCTCGGGCCCCTCTCAGGCCAGTCCAAGCCCCCAGCTCCAGCCACTGAAGGACTCGCAGGCCCTGGTGTCGCCCACAGGCTGGGAGTACGGCGTGGGGATCCCACCATCAGGACTGCCCCGGGTGTGGACCTCTGTGGAGAAGAACTACCACTCCTCTCGCCGGCGACGCTGGGTGCGCATGCGCTTCCGGAACCACAATGACGACGAGCTGAGCCTTGAAGAGCAGACCGTGTCCTTCCTGCAGATGGTGAGGCCCCTCCTCGGCAGGGCCTGGCCAGGTCACAGGTGCGGCCCTCTTGGGTGGTGTCAGGAGCGCAGCCTGCCTTCCTCTGCAGCAGGGGCTGGCTGATGCGGGAGAGGAGGGCTGGGAGTATGGCAGCCTGGGCTCCAGGTTCCACCTGGACCCGCAGCCCCAGAGCCGCTTCCGCCGCCGCTGCTGGCACCGCAGGCTGGCGCTCAACATCGACACGGGCGTGGCGCCTATATTCCTCCTGGAGGGCTCCTTGGTAAGGTCCTGTGGGCTGAGCCACACCTACTTGCAGGAGCAGGGACCAACCCCAGTGGGCCACCGGCAGCTGGGGGCTGGGAGGACAGTGGCACCCAAAGGGGAGGCACGTGGCTTAAGGAGACCCAGGAAGCACTGGTGCTTCAGGGCAGGCTGTCCTTGCACAGGCTATGGACCTGAAACAAAAACGGAAGAAGGATGAGAGCAAGGCTCGGGCCTGGACTCAGGCCCAGGGGGACCAGCGGCTCCCCACCATGCCCTTCATCTACTACACCCTCCACAGTGAGTGCTGGACTGGGGGCTCTGGGACCAGCTGAGGGTGGGGGCCAGGGGACCTGCAGGGCCCCTTGGGGCAGGTGACAGACACTGCTCCTTCCCTCCCAGAGCCCCACTGCTACCAGCTCTTCTGCTACATCTACCAGGCCCGGAATCTGATATCCAAGCAGATCGTTGCGTTCCAGGGTAGGCATGTCCCTTGTCATTCAGCTCTTGTCCCCAGGCCAAACAAAGTCACCTAGCAGAATAATACATACCAGAAGAGCCAGGGTGTCATGCTGGAGAGACATGTCTCTTGTAGGACAGAAGGGGGACAGAGATGAGCCCATCGAGTGGGAGGAGCCTTGTGAGGAAGGCCGACTGCGGGGCTCAGGAGCAGGAGCCCTGCACTGTGTGTCTGAGCCAGGGCAGTGGGTGGCAGGGACCTGGAGGCAGCTGCCAGGCACTGTGTCCTCTGGGGGTCCAGCCCACCTTGCAGGGCCACTTGCTGCAGCAGCCACGTGGAACCTTATCCCCAGTGCACCACAGTGAAGCCTGGGCCTCCACCTCGGGGGCATGGAGCACACAGGAAAGGAGCCCGATGCCCTGGCCTCCGGGTGGACACCCAGGTCAGCCGGCTCGCGCTCAGGCTGCCCACCCTGCAGGGCCCTTTGTGCGCGTGGTCTTCCTCAACTACAGCCAGTGCACCCAGCACCGGCCTAGCTCTTCGGCGCCCACGTGGGCCCAGACGCTCATCTTCCAGCACCTCCTGCTGCACGAGAGCCCCCAAGACACCCAGAAGAGCCCCCCACTTGTGGTGTTGGAGCTGTGGCAGCGCGATGCGCAGGTCCAGTGGGATGGACAGAGTGGGAGGCAAGAGGGGCTGTGTTTTAGAGGAAAGCATCCAGGGGAGAGGGCCGGCCATGCACAGAGCACCGTGCAAACTTTGACATTGAGATCCCATCCTTATGGGGAGCCCAGGACAAGAGCCGGACCCCTCCATTCTGGCCGATGCATTTTGTGACTGTCTCCTCCCCTCCAGGGAAAGGAGAGCTTGTGGGGACGGAGCATGTGGCCCCCAGTGGTCTGGCTGGACCTGCGGGATTGGATGCTGCCGCCTCTACGGTGGCATCCGCTTGTGAAAGAGCTGGGGGAGGAGGAGTGTGAGATCTTCGCATCCTGTGAGCTGATCCTCGAGACAGAGGTACTGGGAGCCACAGTGTCCACAGCCAGTGGAGCCACCCGTACCCCACATCCCACAAAAGGGCTGGGGCTTCCTTGGCCAGCCCTGTAAGGATCTGCTTGGGTTGGGGGTGGGCCTCATGTACCTACACCCCTTTTGTGCTCCAGAAGCTGAAAGAGAAGCACCTGCCTCTCTTAAGCATTCCCTGGAAAGACGGGGCCTACACGCTGCCCAAGAGCATCCAGCCCACAATGAGGAAGACGGCCATTGAGGTGAGGGTCAGGAGGGGTCGTCCAGGCAGCATGGAGCCCGCCAGCTCTCTGCTGGGCCTTCCTAAGCATCTGTTTAAAGCTTGCATCCTGAGAAGATGCTTTGGGGACGGGGAGGGTGAGGGAATGGAGGGCACAGGCTCTGCAGCCACATCATGAATCACTTTCCCGCAAGCCCGTGCTGTGGGTGGCAGCCAAGGGGCAGTAACATTCATGCCCACCTCAGTTCCACCACCAGGCAACAGAGACGCTTTTCAGGGTAGGAAATGGGGCAGGGTATGGTGGCCCACGCCTGCAATTCCAGCCTTTGGGAGGCTGAGGTAGCTTACAAGGATGGCTGCAAATTTCCAGACCGGCCTGGGCTACATAGTGAGACCCTGTCTCAAAATAAAATGGAGGCTCTGAGATAGCATACTCCATGCATGGTGACCAGGGACTAAGAGCCACAGTTAAGGCTCAGCCCTGCCAGACACCAAATACCAGGATGTGATTTTGGAGAGCAGCATGGAGGTCCCCATGCTGGAATCTGTACCCTGCCACAAAGTTACTAATCAGCAAAAGATGGTTCGGTCTCCCAGGGACAGGAGGCCTCTTCAAGCCCAGGCAACCCAGCTGGTCCCCTTGGTAGGCCAGAGGTGGCCCACAGGAAGAGGCCATGGTCATTTCCCAAGGTGCCCAGTGTCCGTTGAGACATCGCAGAGTGCTGGGCCACTGACTGACCGTGGGGTCCTCCAGGACACAGGGCAACCATGAACTGGGTGACATGGGGACCCCTGAGAAGTCAGGAAACCCCTGCTTCTGTGAGTGGGTACAGGGAATTCATGGGTAAGGCTGGTGACATAAAAGACCCAGCCACCTTGTCTCAGGGAAGGACCTTGGTGTCCAGGCCTTGATGACGAGAATGTCCCTTCTGTCCTGGCAGGTCCTGGCCTGGGGCCTCCGCAACCTGAAGCGGGCACGTTACCCCCAGCTGCTGGTGGAGTGCGGGGGCGAGTCCCTACAAACGGAGCCCATCGAGGACTTCCTGGCCAACCCCAACTTCCCCGAGTCCGCACTGCTGCTTACAGTGGTAAGAGGCCCGGGACGGGGCTGGAGCCTACCTCTCCCCCGGGACCCTCATGCCTGCTCTCCCTGCTGGCAGTACATGCCCATGGAGGAGGCCTACACGCAGTCCCTGGTGATGAAGGTGCTGGACAACCAGAACTTCGGGCAGCAGACTGTGGTGGGCCAGGCCAGTGTCGACTTCCTGCAGCCCTACTTCTGTGACCCCTGGGCGCCAGACTACCTGCCCCCACAGCTCCCAAGTATGACACCGTCCACTCGCCTTCCTAGGCCCCTGAAGGTTGGGGGGTCTGGTTCCCCACAGGGTGGGTACCCCTCCTCCTTGGCCTGTGCCCTCCTGAGGCTCACGGCCATGTCTCTCCACACAGTGCTGTCTGTGCAGAAGAACCAGAAGGTGGGCAAGCGTCCCCGCTGTTCACGGGAACAGCCCTGTCCCTGAGGAGGGGTGCTAAGCTGTCCTGGCAGATGTGCCCAGTGTGACCTCAGCCAGGACTGCACGTGACAGTCACATGGGCTTTGTTAAGTTCTGAGACCCAGGCCCCAAGGAGCCACCCCAGAGTTGCTGAGAGAGGACTCCAGAAGCAGAATTTTGTTCTCATCCCCAACACACACATCCCAACCCTGGCCTGGTGATTCCTGGACGCAGGAAACCAGGGAAATGGCCTGGCTGGAGCCTTGTCTTCTGAGCCGTCAGAGCCCAGCCCTGGACTGCAGGCCTCACACTGCTTGCCTCCCGCCTTCTAGGTCATAGGGTTCCTCTATGACAAGTTCTGGTTCAAGCCCGGCAAAGCTGAGGTGAAGTAGGCCCAGTCCCAGGAACCGGAGCCAGTGGGTCCGGGAGGGAGGCCCCCTGCCCGCTGCCAGCACCCTCTTCCCCCAGGAGGAGTATGAGTACGAGTACGAGGTGGACTGGTGGAGCAAGCTGTTCTGGGCCACGGGAGATGACAAGTCCCTGAAGTACAAGTACCAAAGCTACCACACGCTGAAGGTCTGAGGGACCGAGGGCGGCATGCCGTCTCCCAGGGGAGGGTCACAGACCCAGCCTCGGTTCCTCTGAGGGCGGTCTGGGGGCGTTTCTGTTGTTCCCAGAGATGAGCAGAGACTCCCCTCCCCACTAGAGGCTTTGGAAAAGGCCCAGGAGCCGGGGTCCCCTGTCTCCTGACCCTGGCTTGGTCTTCCTGCCCTGCAGCTGTACGACTGCGAGCTGGAGGCGGTGCCAGCCTTCCAGGGCCTGCAGGACTTCTGCCAGACCTTTAAGCTCTACCAGGAGCAGCCCAAGGCGGACAGCCCTGTGGTAGGGGAGTTCAAGGTGTGTCCACGAGACAACCACCGCGCTGCTCTGGCCAGCATCCTGCTGAACACTGCTTCCTGCTGCAGGCCGCTGCTGCCCCTGCTGTTCTGTCCCCACAGCCCTCTTCCCCTGCGTCCCCTCTGCTGGTCCTGGGCTAGGAACCCTCCTTGGGGGTTACAGAGCTGCACCCCAACACCCTCCCCGCCCCCAGGGTCTCTTCCGCATCTACCCCCTTCCTGAGAATCCAGAAGCCCCCCAGCCCCCACGCCAGTTCTTGGCTTGGCCGGAGAGAGAAGACTTCCCCCAGCTGTGCCTGGTGCGGGTGTACATGGTTCGAGCCATCAACCTGCAACCCCAGGACTACAATGGCCTGGTAAAGAGCGGGCCCGCCCAGCCCCACCCTGGAGCCCCTCAGGCTGCTGAGCCCCAGAATGCCAACCCCCCACCCAGGCTCCATGCCAGGGGCTCACTGCTGCCCCAGTCCCACCAGCCCTAACCACTAAGCCTACCACTTCCTGACCCTCCCCTAGTGCGACCCTTACGTGATCCTGAAGCTGGGCTCCACGAAGCTTGGCAGCCGGGACAAGTACAAGCCCAACACCGTGGACCCCATCTTTGGCACGTGAGCCGCCCCTTCCTTGCCCACTGCTCCCCTCCGTGCCATGCTGCAGCAGCTCCAGCAGAGGCTTGCATTCCTCACAGCAGCCACCTCATGCTGTGGGGCTCAGCAGGGTGGACAGGAGGATGGGAGGCCCAGCTTTGCCCTCCCTTGCACTCTGCCTGGGAAGGACCTACAGTCCACAACCTAGGCCAACAGTTGCTTCCAGCTGGGCCCAGGGGCTGCTGACGGTGGACACAGCCTGTGCCGTGCTCTGCTCCCAAATCCACCATGCAGGCGCAGGGGCAAGAAGGGGCCTCTGGGCTGAAGTACTGGCCCATCACAGTCTCTGGCCTCTAGGATGTTCGAGCTTACCTGTACCATCCCCCTGGAGAAGGACCTGCACATCCAGCTGTACGACTTTGACCTGTTTTCTCATGATGATGAGATTGGAACCACAGTCATCGACCTTGAGAACCGCCTCCTGTCTGGGTTTGGGGCACGGTGCGGACTCTCCAAGTCCTACTGCCAGTGAGGGGACCAGTGCAGGGCCGGGTGGGTTGGGGCTAGTGGTGTGCCTGTGCCTCCCCTGGGAGAAGAGGGGAACCAGGGCTGGACCTGCCCCATCTCCACCCACACTGCCCTCACTGCACACCCTGCAGCTCCAAGCTGCAGACCGCCCCCAGGACCCACATTATCGTCCCTCTCACAGGTCAGGACCATTTACGTGGCGGGACCAGATGCCCCCGAGCTTCCTCCTGGAGCGATATGCCAAGCGGAAAGGGCTGTCTCCTCCGGTGTTTGACCCTGAGGGAGACTCTGTCTTATACAGCGGGGAAAGATTCACGCTGCAAAACTTTGGTGAGCTGAGCACACTGTCTGAGAACAGAGACACAGGCCTTGGAGCAAAGAGCTGCAGGCTGGAGAGGCGGGCGGGGGGGGGGGGATCACCCCTGAGCCAGAGGACAGCCTACCCCGATCCCCACTCGTCCACTCCAGCCTGGGCTGGGGAGGGAGCCTTGAGGGCTAACACCCTTGTGGTCCCTTCCTTCCAATCCAGAGTCTGAAGCCCCAACTGTGCCAGGTCTGGGCCCCAAGAAGGAACGGCTGGCCCTGTACATTTTGCACACTCAGGGGCTGGTGCCCGAGCACGTGGAGACACGCACGCTGTACAGTGACAGCCAGCCAGGCGTCGACCAGGTACGAGACTGGAGGTGCTGCCCCCTTCCTGTGCGACACATGTGTTTTGCACATATCCATAAGATGGCTCAATGATGTCACCTGGAATAGAGGACATCAGAGCTGGAAAAGTCACCTGCATCTGCTAGGGGAAGCACTAAGGAACCCTGGCAGCCAGCACCCGGAAGAGGTGGCACCTAAGGTCACAGTGCAGACGGGCCAGCCTCGCTTCTGGCTGCCAGCTGCAAGCTGTTCTGTCCATGGCAAGGAGCTCTGAGCACGGGGTGGGCTCCCCAAGGACGACCTCATTATCTGCTGCCCTCCGGCTTACTTCCTGAAGCACTCCGGCTGAGGCGCTTTCTAGAGAAAAGTCCTCTTCTGAGCTCCTGTCAAACCATCATTCTCATTACGTCTCTTTTCTCCAGTGGGTCATTTTGGGAGGAAAATTAGTGCCAGTGCCTGGAAGGACAGAACCTACTCCTGTTTTCCAAGGCTGGCTATGCTGCTCTTTGACTGCTTTTTTTCTCAGCTTTTCAGGCCCTGCCCTTGGTGACGGGCTCCAGAGCCTGAGGCTGTGCTCACCTGACCCTCAGCCCACTCATGGGGCAGCCTGTTTAGTAAATGAAAGCCCCACCACCTTCTAAGCTCCAGCACCTCTGTCCAGGGCTGCCTAGCTGGTGCCTGCCACACCCGACCCCGGTCATGAGTGAAATCATGGCACTGTACCCCAGGCCTACAACCGGATACTCACCCCAAAGGAGAAAGGGGCAGCTCTCTGCCCTCTGTGGGGTGGGGATACAACCCTGGGATGCGGCTCAGCTCGAGGGCAAGCCAGGCTGCCCTACCTTAAGCGCTATTCCCTCTGATCCTAGGGCAAGGTGCAAATGTGGGTGGACATCTTTCCCCAGAAACTGGGGCCCCCCGGCCCCCCTGTCATAATCAGCACTAGAGAGCCTAAGAGGTCAGTGGCACCCACCTCCCCATCACCATATTTCAGCTGAGCCCCAACTGTCCTCAAAGGCTGAGAGGCAGGAACCCTCCTCTGTTGGGAAGAGAGGAACCCCAAATTCGCCGGGAGCCTGGTGGGCAGCCCCCGGCCTCACCCCTCCTCGAAGCTACACAGGGCACAGCTCACAGCACCACTGCTGCAGGTACGAGCTGCGCTGCATTATCTGGAAAACCGCACAGGTGGACCTGGTGGACGAGGCACTCAGCAGAGAGAAGATGAGCGACATCTACGTCAAAGGGTCAGGGGGTGCCCTGCTCAGGGTAGGGGTTGGCGGTTGGCTGCCACTGTGCCTGGTGGGAAGGGGGACCAGACATGCGAGCGGTGAGAGGACTCTGGCTCCAGGTGGCTGTTCAGTTTAGAGAAGGACATGCAGAAGACAGATATCCACTACCACTCCTTGACTGGGGAGGCCATTTTCAACTGGCGGTTCATCTTCACCATGGACTACATGGCAGCAGAGCATGTGTGCATTGAGAGCCACAAGGTGCCCGGGAAGGAGGGGTGGAGCCTCAGGCCTAAGAGCGCACCCCCACACCCCCCACACCCCCATCTGCAGTGACGTGCGTGTAGGAACAGACTTCGGAACTGTCTGCGGGCAGAAACCCTCTCCTTGGTAGTCAGGCCGTCACTGCAGGATGGAGTGGGCTACGCAGGTATCCTGGGGATGTCACCCTTGCAGGCTGCATCATGTCCTCTGTCCTCCAGGATTACATATGGAGTCTTGACCCTACATCTACCAAGTTCCCGGCCCGGCTCATCATCCAGATCTGGGACAACGACACCTTGTCCAGTGATGACTTCCTGGGTGAGGCTGGCTCTGGGTGGTGACCGGGGCTGTGGGGCACCCTTTGCTGATGGGGTTTTGTTTCTTGGGTCCAGGGGTCCTGGAGCTGGACCTGTCGGACATGCCCTACCCAGCCCGGCATGCCAAGCAGTGCTCTCTCCACATGCTGGACACTGAGCCCAAATGGCCCCACTCCCTCCCACATGAGCGCATCTCTCTATTTAAGAAGAAAATTGTAACTGGCTGGTGGCCCTGCCAGGTCCAGGAAGATGACAAGTGGCGCCTATCGGTAGGAGCTGGGGAAGGTGTCAGCTCCGGCAGCCTTCAGGGGACCTCAGCTGCACCTTCCCTCCCTGTCCTCAGCAGGAGTCCTACCTACCTCCCTTGCTGAGCTCCGCCCCACCCATGTGTCCCCAGGGCAAGGTGAAGATGACACTGGAGGTCCTGTCAGAGAAGGAGGCCTTGACCAGGCCAGCAGGGCAAGGCCAGTCAGAGCCCAACCAGTACCCCACACTGCACCCTCCCCTGTAAGGCCTGCAGGGCGGGGTCTCCGAGGGTCTCAGTCCTCTGTCCCTCTGTCCATGGGGTACAGGGGGCAGTCACTTCCTACTGTGCAGCTCAGTTACAAACTGTAGAGCACAGATTTGGGCTGGGGCACCCTGAAGGGAAAGCCCTCTGCTCTGGAGCACCTGACCAGGTTCCCCTGCCTTCTCTGGCTCTCTCCCGGCAAGGGCAGACGTGCAAGCAGCGCGTTCATGTGGCTGCGTTCTCCTATTCGAACCCTGTGCCTCGGCCTCTGCAAACGCTACCGATGCAAAATCCTAACCTTCTTACTCTTGCTGGGCATAGGGTTTCTGCTGTTCAAATTTATCTACTCAGCTCCGGTGAGTGGCCAGCTCGGGGACGGGCACAGCTGAGGAGTGAACTTTCCAGTTGCTGGCTCAGCCTGACCCCACTGTTGCTCCTCTGCAGAACTACTTGGCCATGAACTGGATCCGCCCTGGTCTCCGGATGCAGACGCCCATTAAAATATATAACCTCCTCACTTCACCCACTGTCAGCAATGCCAGTCCTTCCCCCGCTGCCACCCAGGCTCCAAGCCTGCAGCCCTCCACAAACCACCAGCTGCCACTCCTCCAGGCTCCCAATCAGCACCTGGATGACATCTACCCAGAACTTCCAACTCCCTAAGACTGAGGTCCCCAGACTGATCTCAGTGTGTCTGCCTGGCTCTCCTGCCTGATGTCAGCCGTCCCCTGGGCTTCCAGTAGCCCTGATTCCGCTTTAAAGGACACGCACAAGGGGCAAGGTTATTCTGCCTGTTATGTCCACCGGGGCAAGCAGAGACATAACTTCTCACTGAAATAAACATGTTTTGTAGCAGACCCACCTTGTCATTTACTTGGGGGGCTGAGGACAGCATGAAAGGACTCTCAAGGGCCAAGGAACCATGCTGCCTGGTCTCCCCAGTGCAAACAGGCTCTCAGCACCAGAGGATGGTGAGTGGGAGGGGCAGCCCCCATGGGTAAGCTGTGCACAGGGGCCACATGGCGAAGCCAGCATGGCCCCAGCCCAGCACAGCAGGGTTACAGCACCAACACCCATGCTCGGCCCACTCGCCTTGGGAAGCTTTTGTTTCCAGCAAAAAGCAAGGGCTGGGCAGGATACAAAAAGCTAGGTTGGGTGGTTTACTTAGGCTACCATTTTTCTCAGGACAGTAGCCTGGTCCCCTACGCTGGGTGGGGACTCCATTTCCCAATGCCCTGCCCTCTTTAAAAGGCCTCTAGATGCTCATGAGCTGGAACCACAGAAGGTCTCTGTCCCCTCCCACTACATGCTGTCTCTGCCATGTCTCGAGTCTTCCTAGATCCTCCGGCTAGCAAGCTCTTTCATTCTCCCCTTGAACTCAAAAAGCCACCATCTTCCTCTTCATTCTCCCCAGTGCAGAGGCCACATACGAGGTTGGCATTTGCCTCCTATCCTCTGGAGCTGCTCTGCTGTTTTGGGAGGTGATGGGAGGGTGGCTGCCACCTCTGCCCACCTGTGAGTCACTGCAGGCCTGCGTGAGGTGAGGTAGAAAGCCCTTGATGGCAGAGGTGCACTGTAATGGAGGACCTCTCCTTCCGTGCAGAGCTGAGACACTCCCACCCCGGAGAAGGCAGAGGAAGAGCGATGGGCCAGACTCCCCCAACCCAGCCCCGAAAGGAAGGACAGAGTCAGAAGCTCACGACTGGTTCTATCATCCACTCTAGAATTTCCCTTCAGTTACAGAGGTCCAAGGACAGCTGTCCTTCGGGCACCTCCGAGGCCAAAACACCTCCATCCAGGCAGGCAGGGGAGCAGCACGTGACCCTTGTCAGATAAGGCAGTGGAAGAAGGGTCGACAATTCGGGCAGCACTCAGGCTGTGCTGCTCAGTGGCCACTTGCCCTCCCAGGCTTACGACATGAGAACAGTGACTATTTCTTCTCCATCAAGGAAAAGAAGATGATTTTCCTCCAGGGTGGTGGGGGCACCAGAATAGGCAGGAAGAACAATGCTGCCTCGTACTTTCAGTCTCAAAGCAGCTTTCCCAAAATCCCAATCAGCAGAGAACATGCAGGCTCCAGCAGGTCCAGGGCACGTGACAAAGGCCGCTTTCTGTGGCAAACTCAGACCTAGTCAGCTACACAACCTTTTCTCCAGCTACTCTCAACTTGCACGCCGACTGCCAGCCAAAAGTGGCACAGAGGGACCCAGGCATGCCGACATACCCACGGCCCCTGCAGAGGACAGAGCTGGAGCCTTGCACCAAAGCCCAAGCCCCAGAGCCTTCAGGGAGGGTCCCTGAAGCCTCAGTCTCCCTGATAGCCCCACAGAGGCATCCAGCTCAGGCTGCATATCAAAGGACAATGGACAGTGGGAGGACAGGAAGCAGGAAAGAAGTTCCACACAGGTTTCACGGGGAGCTCCTCGGGGTGTGGAGGTTTGGGCAAAGAGCAAAACCCAAATGGCCTGAAGGTATGAGGGCTGCCCCGAGTGGATGTGAGGATGGGCCACCCCGTGGTTCCAGCACCCAGGCCTGCAGCCGCACGCATGCTCTCCATGCCTCTTCACTCCGGGGGAGGGATTCAGGGAAAGGCACGTCACAGCAGTGGCCCGGGCTGCAGTCAGACGTCCCCAAGGGTGACCCTGGGAAGGCAGAGTCCTTGAATTCATCCAAAGCGAAAGTGATGGAACAAAGTCCTCATCCAGGCCAGCTGAGGCCACACCGTTGTCACAGAGGGGATGGCAGCAGGAGGGCTCAGTAGAAGCGCTTTCGACTGTGTTCCTGCCATTTGTTGTAGAGGATGACACCGATGACAATGGCGAACACAGAAAACACCAGGGAGAAGAAGACGATGAGGAAGAGGGCCAGGCCACTCAGGGGCTGCATTGGGACTGTCACTGGCAGCAAGAGGGAAGCGCGTCAGACAAGGAGCCTGCCCACTGGGAAGGATCACTTGCACGCTGTCCAGTCCCTCCCATTTCTGAGAGCCAGTTTGGAGAGCCAGGGCTCAGGTGCCCCCTTCCCTGAAGGCTCGATTTCAATATGAGGCTACCACCTGCCACTGATTGTGATGGGAGTGGGGGTGGGGAGGGCAGGCAGGGACGCGCATCCCTCCTTCAGAGGATGCCTACCTCACATGCTATGCCTGAGAGTCACCCCAACCGTGCTGGCACTGCCACCCCCTCCCAGCCATGGGGCCCTGTCCCAGAACCCCACACTCACTCTCAGGCAGCTTCATATTGTCCACCGAGGGCAGGAACACGTCACGGTGCAGCTTTTCCTCCTCTGGGGTCCTCTCCACCGTCAGCTCGAACAGCTTCAGGGAAATGACGTCGTGGTTGTCTAGAGGAGAGAGCAAGGAGGATGACTCTGGCCATCGTGGAAACGGCACCATGCCGTGTTTCAAACCTCTGATCCTTAAGCAACGCAACTGCCATCTCTCCGTCTGTCACTTCAAAATAGGCATGTGGGGGAAAAGAACTTCGCACAGGCATGTTGGGTATTTTTCTGCATACTAGAGAGCTTAAAAATTAGTCATCATCCTCAAGAGAATCCAATACTGTATCACATGCAATACCTTCCAGCACAGGAGGGTGCGTGGTGAAACTGCACTTCACCTCCCCTGGTGAAATCATCCTCACAGGGCCCCGGGGCACCTGTTTACCAGGTCAGAGGCCATGGCAGGCAGAGAGGCCACTGAGCCTATTTCCCTCTGGCTGCTTGCAACTGTTACCCTGAACCTCCCTAATAATTATCAGAGAACAGATCAACGAAATAGCGACTGGATTTTTCTTTTTAAAGTATCATTATAAATCCATGCATTAAAGTATTTTTCCTAAGCTTCAAAGCAGTGATATTTCACTGATGTTCAACTCAACTGATCTCTGTAGGTGGGAGCTTGCCCAAGGTGGTTCCTGAGTTTTTCTCCACCAGGCTGGACACTTCTGATGTTTCCCTTGCTTTTCTGGGAAAGTCCTAGTTTGTATGTTTCCTGTCCAAGACCTGGCATGAGCCATTTCTTGATGAAGTTCTGTCCTTTCAGCTGGAACTGGCAGCCTGAGACCATGAATGTGTGTGCTGGGTGTGCTTGCTGGTGGCTTTTAACTGCCTGGGGCCAGGACTTCTGTCATTAGGATGTGATGCACAGCTATGCACTGCTATGATCTTCAGCAGATCCCAGATGGTCAATACGCATTCATCTTCAATTGGAAAAGTGTTAGTTATAGAGCTTATTTAAGTCATGGGATAAAATAAAATCCAGGTAATAACCCTCACAAGGCAGGACCTTCAAAACCTGGGACAAGCTGAGCACAGTGGTGCACACCTGCAATTCCAGGATGAGGGGAGGCTGAGACAGGAGGGTCATAAAGTTGAGCCTCATCTAGGTAATTTAGTGACTTAGTGAGAGCCTGTCTTAAAATAAGAAATTAGAAAAAGGCTAGGACTGTAGCTCTGGGTGAAGGCCCTGGTCTCAACCCCCAGTACTGGAAAAATTAAGTTTTGTTTGAAAATCAAGTTTTATCTGTAATAAACTGTTAACCAGAAGAACCCTTACCTCTTTCTTATCTCTTCCCAACAGACATTCTGAGTGGGGCTAAAGCCAAGGTGGAGAACAAGCAAAGAGAAGCTATGAATCAGGCATGACAAAGAGAAATCAGCAGTGGCAAGAAGGTGGCAGAGGTATTACTGATGTTACAGTGAAGGGAGCCAAGTGTCAGAGCAGCTGCTTGGAAAAGCAGAAGAGGGGACCTCGGGGAAGCCCAGAGCAGAGCCCTGTGTGTGGCCACGCAGTAGCAGCTCTCTGACAGGCGCGGGTTGTGTGGCAAGGTCCGGGAAGAGGTGGACACGGGCGATAGAAGCCTCTGTGCACAAATGTGCCCAGAAGTCTGTGCAGGGGGCCCAAGCACAAGATGGCTGGTGACCTGGTTCCACCAACAGCAGGGCTCTGGGCACGTCAGTGGTGGAGGGAGGGGAGCTTGACAGCAGAGAGGCAACAGCCCTGACCCTTGCCCTGCCCTTGGGTTGACCAAGGCTGGGTAGCTGAGAGGGGGCAGCGAGTGAGGAGCGTGGCGGGCCGCACCTGAGAGGTCGCCGGTGATGGAGGAGGTGCCGAAGTAGTACCCGCGGGGCAGGCGGACGCCGGGCACCTCCAGGCAGTCTCTCCACTCATGCTTGCCGTCGATGTCCATCATGATCTAGGACACAAGAAGAGCCAAGTAGGGACGCCTGGGGGGCAGAAGGCAGCCAGCGTGCCCGGTCCCACTGGGGGCTCACCGTCAGGTGCCTCTTGGCGTAGCGGATCACGAGGAAGGTGTCGTAGTGCAGGTTGCGGACGATGGCTGTGCAGCCCCCCAGCTCCGTGGGCCGCCCGTCGCGCTCGTGGTCATAGCTGAGGGAGCCGTTGTTCACCATGACGGAGATGTAGGGGAACACGCGCTAGGACAAAGGAGTAAGTGAACGCAGTGAGGAGACGTCCGCCACAGGGCTTCAAGTCACAACAGAGCCCTGTGGATCACGAGCCAAGCCCCTCACAGCGGCCCACATGGCCACACTGCTCACCCGTGGCCCAAGGGGCGCTCAGGGGTCAGGAAGTCACCCTGTGCACACTTGCTTGGGCCACTCCTTGGTGCTGCCTGGGTTTGAAGTTCCCCGCAGGAATGGAGTGTGCGTGGCCTCTCCCGGGGAACCCCTCTCGCAGGCCTGCTCTGCCCAGTACCAGCGGCCTCCTCGCACGACTGTACACTGACTACTTCTTGGGGAAATAAACCATTTATTTGGCCTCTTTCATCTCCACCTTGGTGCCCCCTCGCCCCCACGCAAGGCTGCTCTGCATGGAGCGAACACTCTGCAGGGCCGTTTCTCCTGAAGACAGCACCTTTCCACTCTAACATCCGACCAGCACAGGCGCTGAGGACAAGGACGAGGATGAGGACTCGGAAGGTACGCCTCACCAGCCACAGTGGCTATACTGCCTGGCCAGTACCCTTCAGGCCCACAGCTGGCTCCTCCTCGACAAATTCCTCCAGCAATCCCAACAGTAAGAGGGCCACACTGTGCCCCGCAGGAGGACAACCCAGCTTCCCGCCCGCTTCCCAGGCCTGCTCCTTGCAGCAGAACTGACCAGCCAGCTGCCCAGGGCGGGTCCAGGGCCGGGCAGGAGGACGGGCAGAGCTGAAGGAAGGGTACACAAGGCATGCCACGCCGGGGTGAGCTCCCCACCGTCCCACACTCCACATGCAGGCAGAGACACAGTCCAGGTCCGAGACTGGGCCTCCTGGGACAACAGCACAGGGATGTGAGTGACAGGTGGGAATGAGGATGGCCACAGTGGGTCAAGAGCCGAGTACCTGGACTCCCGGAGAGTATCGCCTCTTCTGGGCCTGAGAGGGTCCAGCAGGTTATTAGGAAAACAAAGGAGGGCACAGAAGACAGAAGACCAAGTCAGCAAGAAACACCATGAGAGCTAGGACCCACGCTGCAACGGAGGCACCCACCCAAGTCCTGACAGCACAGCAGGGTCCACGAATGGCATTCAACACGTTCTTGTTCTCCTCAAAATTACATACAAAGCCAGGGCTTGTCACAGAAGGTCTATGAGTGTTGGTGGATTCTCAAGGGTCCCCTAGGAAGGTCTCTCGGGGCCTGAGTGTCCTGAACCTTTCAGAAGCTTTACAAAGTGTCCCACTGGCCAGACAGGGCCTGCATAGATCCTTGGCAGTCAGACAGACAGCCCCAAGTTTGCACCCAGACTGCTCTTCTCTATAGCCAGGGACAAGACAAAACAGGGCCTCTAACTCAGAGCTATCCCTCCCTCTCCAGGGCGTTGGGACACAGCTCTTGCCCAGAAAACAAAAATCCCACTGTTTGAGGGACCATGAAATTAACTCAGATCCAAAGGGCTTATTTGCCCTCTAATTGAGCCTATGGACACACATTCCCAAGCCACTGCTGGGTCCCGACCTCTGACAAGTGGGTGAGGGAAGCTCTGTGGGAACCCAGCAGCACCAGGGCCTCGAAAGCCCCTAAAACCCCTGGGATCTGAGCTCCTGGCACCATGGAAAGTGATGGAAGCACAGCCCAGCCTCAGTCTGGGGCAGAGCGGCAGGGGTGTGCAGCCCTGAGCATTCCCTGCTGGCACCTGCATGACAGGCTGGGCGCTGCCTGTAACGACGCTGGGGCCTGCGGCAGGCAGGCAGGCAGGCAGACAGACAGATCTCTCCTCTCCTGGAACTGACACGCAGTAAGAAGACAAACACAATCATTTCAGACAGCGATGGCTCCACAATGAATGCGACACAGGCAATGTGACAGTCTGATGAGAAGCCCTCTCTGAGGAGGCCACACCTGAGCTGAAACTCCAGCTCTGCAGCACAAGCTGAAGGAGCAGCTCAGTAGCAGGGCACGGCCTGGCACACACGAGGCCCTAGGTTTAACCCCAGCACCGCACAAACAAAACGACCACAAGAGACAGGATGGGCAAAGTGCTTATCACAGAACCTGGCAACACAAAGTGATGAATGAATGCTATTTTTAAAAAAGTAAAGAACTGAGCATAAAAAGCACAGGGCTGGTATTTTCGTGGACTTGCAGGGGAACAGTATATAAGCCCAGCTAGAAAGAATATACCTCAGCCCAGGGCCTCAGGGACACAATAACAGGCTGGGGAGGCCCAGAGCAGGGCCCCGTCCAGGAGCACACAGGATGTGGAAGGCAGTGTTGGTTGAATGGTAACCAACAGCTGGCCATGGCATTCGGGCCATGAGTTCACCACCACTGGAAGGTTACTGTGAACATGCATGCTACTAAGCAGTTTAGAGAAATCTTTTAGAAAGCTCATCTCTGTCAACAGTTAAAGGAGGGACCAAAATTTAAAATGCCCTGAAGGGCCCGAATGACCGCAGGATTTGCTTCATTTAATCACTTCCACACCCTCATCAGAAGTTGAAGCTAGCATAGCATGGTGGTGCACACTTGTAACCCAAGCACTCGGGAAGCTGAGGCAGGAGAATCAGAGTTCAAGGCCAGCCTGGGCTACATGGTGTCTCAAAACAAACAAGCAAACAAACAAAAAGCCAAAATAATACTAACAATAATAATAATAACTTGAAACTGCAACTGCAGAGCACCCAGGCCAGCAATCCTTAGGCGAAGGGTGTCCTGCTCTTCCCGACGGATGAAGTACCTAATTATACACGGACAGTCAGGGGCAAAATGTCCCAGAAGCATTCAGGGGGCTTCCATCTGCACAGAGTGGGTACCCAGGGAAGAGTCTAGAATAGGGTGCAGGGGATGTGGGGTTTTCTTGTTTTGGGTTTTTTTTTTTTTTTAGCATCCAAACACAGACTTTATAAGAGGAAAAGTGGATGATAGCGACAGACCCAGAGATGATCGCTATTAGGTACTATTAGGGAAGGACTTTAAACAGTTACTATTAAATATGTGTAAATTGTTTTTCCGCTTTATTTGCTGCACAGATTAAAGTGTTTCACTCTGGCAAATGTGTACATGGCCGTGACAATACCTGGGCATTTCCACTTCCTATCACCTCCTTGCCACACTCTCCCCCAAGCCCCACTGTTTCCACCCCAGGATGTGAAATGCATCTCGCCATATCTACTCTCTGATCACCCCCTCCGCCTCCCTCACTCTGCCAGTTACTCCTTTCTTGCTGTCTAACAAAAACGTGGTCTATTCACCTGCCTGAGTCTGGCTTGTCTCCCTCTGCACACTGGTGGGGGGACCTGTTTTTAAAGCAACACAGAAGCCCATGATGTGCCCACAGATGAGGACCACTGCACCAGGCAGAGCCCCGAGGCTCCTCGCTGCGGTTTATCCACCTCAGCGGCTCAGGACAGGGCCTTCAGCTTGTAATCCAAGTTTATTTTCTGTTCCTAGTCAGACATTCGAAGGGTTGCTCCAACAGCCACTAATTTCAACACAGCAGTGGATGGTTTTCTCCTGGAAAGCAGCCTGCAGCTGGCACCAAAGGCTAAAGAATTATACTCATTCAGACAAAATGATAGTTTCACTCCTAATTTGAGAACCGCTGGAAATGAGGAACTTCTATTGTCCAAATGATTACTGTTTCCTGGGTAGAGAATTTTTTTTTTTTTGGTATTGTGAGGCCACTTAAATTTTTTTTTTTTTTAAATCTACTATAGTTGGGGGCACTCTGGGAGGATGAGGCAGGAGGACCATAAGTTCAAACCCAACCTTGGAAACTTAGTGAGACCTTGTCTCAAAAAACAAGAAGGGTTGGGGATATAGCCTACTGTACATTTAGTTTTTGGCACCTCACTATCAATCAATCAATCAATCAATCAATCAACAGGTAAAAGTCCTCCACAGGATACTTTTTACCTCCAGCATCCGTGGCCTGAAAAGATACCTAAGAGCCTGTGGATTTACGGAATCTATACTAAAATTCCAAAGGTCCAAAGCACACAGGTCGTGAATGCCCAGACAGCTAAAAGAACATGCAGGGTGTGTGGGAACACAGTGCCACACACAGCTGCATGGCCCCATGTGGACCATCCCGAGGACATTTTGTCTCCTTGCTGGAAGCAGGGAGAACTGTGCATAGGGATAATCACGGGGGTGAAAGGAGACAACACGGGGTGTTTAGGGCAATACCAGGCATTCCTTCAAGGACATTTAAACTTACCTCTTTCTAGATACACATATTGTTCAAAGGTGCAGCCGCAGCCTCCCCACTGACTTCCCTTCATAAACCGCAACATCATCACTATCTAAGAAACTTGTGGAATGACTTGTATCTCATGTATCTTAGTTGTGACCCCACGAAAGCCATCCCAAATCTAGCAATTTGAGGGCTTCAACAGAGTACTCCATGATCAGAAAACTTTAATCTGATGTTCACACACTCATGCTCACAACCCACTCCCTCAGGTTACACCAAGTCCCAGCACGCCAGCTACCATAACAGCTGTGGCTACTTTCTGGGCAGGAGATGAGCTATGGACTCTGTAACAGGAGTCTTCCCTACAGTTCTACTTCGGGGAACCCAAGCTTCCTAAACTGATCCATAACCTCCCCTGTGCCCGTGCCTCTTTCTATGGGGTGAACACTTTTACCGGACCTTCAGAGAGGTCAAAACCCCAAGAAAAGACTGATAAGACTGACCCAAAGCGACACTTGCCTTTGCTTTCTCCTTCTCCTCCTCCCTGCCTCACAGGGCACCAGCAGAAAGCCACACCGTTTCCCAGGGCAGCCAGCTCCTCAAAGAGCACAGCCTCGAGGCCAAGCCACCTCCAGCCAGCCTGCCTGCCAGTGCCCCACGGGCTGGGTACCCAGGATTCTCCCTCAGGAAACGCTACCCTCCACAGGCCTAGAAAGACTCAACTCACTCCCAAGCCAGGGGGTAACAAGGGAACTAAGGAGGTGCAGAACTGAGCCCCTTTAATAATGTAAAGACTCCTTGCCAGCAGAGAACAGACCAAGAGGGATCAGCGCCTTCACCACGATAAAGCCTTGACAGACAGCATTTTAACACTGTTTACTTTTGGTGGTGCAGAGGATGGAGCCCAGGGCTTGGGTGTGCTAAGCACGCCCTCTACCACTTTGTCACATCCCTGGCCAACAATGGGTTTTTTTAACTGGGCACAGTACTGCTCATTTTCTTCTAGTTCAAAGGAGAAAAAATATCCACTGCCATCAAAAATATGTGTGGGGAGCACCTCAAACAAGCCTTGATCCAGGAAGACCAGGAAGCAGCTCGCACGGCCAGTGACCAGCTGCTTCTGCCACCCTGGGTGAGGCATGAATCGGCCACAGAACAAGGGCTGAGGCTGCCAAGGCTGTGCAGGGTGCTCTCAGCCCAGGAGGCCTCGCACCATACCAAGCGCAGACGGTTATCTGCCAAGCCAGCCACTGAGCACCCCTCAGCTTTCACCAGCATCTGGGTTCTCTTGAGAAACTGACATTCGTCAGCTGACAAATTCACAGCGTCAAGAAAAGATCACATTGAAAAGATAACGGCAATGCTGAGAAATAATCCATACACCACAAGATTCACCTCGCGCACACAATTCACTGGCTTTGAAATACGCAAAGTTAAGATTATGGTTAATTTCTTTACTCTAAAAAAGAAAGCTTGTATCCACTAATAGCAGCTCTCCTGATCCGTACCCCACAGTACCCCAGCCCCAGACAACCTCTCCAGACCTGCCTGCAGGGACATGGACCTCTCATATGTGCCACTATATGAATACATCCACTCATCAGTTGATGGATATTTAGGCACGTCTATTTTTTGGCAGGTACAAATAATGCTATGACCATTCCTATAAAAGCTCTTATAAATGGGCTGTAACACTGTAATCCCAGCACTGACTGGGGAGGCTGAGGCAGGAGGATCGCTGCAAGTTTGAGACCAGCCTGGGCTACAATTCGAGCACAATGCCAGCCTGAACTGCATAGCGAGACTCTGTCTCAAAAAGACAAAAAAAATCGGAGCTGGGGATTTAGCTCAGCGGCATAAGCACCTGCCTTGCAAGCAGGCAGTCATGAGTTCGATCCCGGTACCAATAAAAATGAAAAAGACAAAAAAATCCTCTTATAGCTGGACATGGTGGTACATATCTATAATCCTGGTACCCTGGGAGGCTGAGATAGGACAATTTCAAGTTTGAGCCCAAAAGCTTAGTGAGACACTCTTAAAGACAAAAATCTTTTGTGCAGACGTGTTTTCATTCCTCTTGCATGTATACCTAAGAGTGGAACTGGTAGATCATTCGAACTATCTTTAACCATTTGAAGAAATGCTCATTTTCCAAAACATTGTACACTGTTTTAAAGTTCCACCAGTCACATAAGAGAGCTTCACATCATCCCACACTCTTGTCAACATTTGTCCTGTATTGTATCGACCTAGTGGCTGTGACATAGTATCTCATTAGGGTCACTTGCTTTTCCCTGATGGATAATAATGTTGAACATCTTTACTGGTCATTTGTTTATCTCTTTGTGTGTGTGTGTGTGTGTGTGTTTGAGACAGGGTCTCATCATGCAGTGCAGGCTGACCTTACACTCACTTTGTAGCCCAGGCTGGTCTCAGACTTGCAACAGTGTCCCTGCCTCAGCCTCCCCAGTACTAGAATTATACGAGTGTGCCACCACACCGGCTCCATTTATCTTTTTTGGAAAAATATCTGTAAAGCACCTTTGCCTATTTTTCATTAGGTTCTCTGAGTTGTGATAATTTTTTGTGTTCAGTTTTAGTTCTCTGAGGCTGAGTTCCACCACGAAGCCCAGGCCAGCCTTGAACTTGCGATCTTGCTTCCGTCTCCCAACCTGTGGGGAGGACAGGCCTGCACCACCACACCCGCTTTTTTTTTTTTTTTTTTTTTTTTTTTTTGTCTTTTTCCTTTTTATCGGTACTGGAGATCGAACTCACAACTGCCTGCTTGCAAGGCAGGCGCTTATGCCGCTGAGCTAAATCCCCAGCCCCCAACCACACTCGCTTTTAACAGGTCTTCCTTGGGCCCTGTAGGAGTGTCTAGGACCTATCACCTGCAAACAGTTCTCCTTCCTTTCCCATCTGGACCCTTTATTCCCACGTCTAACTGCTCTAGCTCGAGTCTCCAGAACAGTGCTGAAGTGTTAAGAACAGGGATCAAGGGCTGGGGATTTTGTTCAGTGGCTTAAGCGCCTGCCAGGCAAGCGGGAGGTCATGAGTCTGGTTCAAAAAAAAACCAAACAAACAAAAACAGGGATCTTTGTCCTATTACTCATTTTACGAGAAAAGCAAGATGTGAGAGACAAGTTGGTTACGAGAAACAGGAGAGGTCGTGTGGAACGGTTTGCCCGGTTCTGAAGTGGTAGTGAAAACTTGTCTCCCTCGTCTGGCACATCCTCCTCCTGTGAACCACAGATGTTTGCCAGTTTTCAAAAGGCCTAGTAACTCTCACCCTCTGCTTCGGTCTTGAAATAACAAAGTGAAGTATTGAGGCTGGCGTCCCTGCAGTCAGTTCCACCACCCATGTGACACTAACAAGTTCTATAGCCTTCCTACACGCCCAGTGTGAACTGAGTGCGTGGAAGGGTTTGTTTCTGGGAGACAGAGAGCCAGCTTTAAAACGCCCGTCAGTGCTGAAACCCACATTTTCTCAGGTATGTTACTAGCCACCATGGCTTCTTAGTATGCCACACACACAGACTCTTCCATCCTTAAAATCCTCAGTGCCTGTACCTATTAGGATCACATTCAGATCCTCGGCACCACACAACCCTCCAGAACCTGGCCCCACTCTGCGTGGTGAGCAGGAGTCACAACGCAGGCTGCTGGGGGACGTGCCTGGGAGGGACGGGGGCAGTGCTGAAGAATGCACGGCTGCTGAGCCTGCTCTTCCTCCTGGTCCCATCCCTAGCCTGTGCTCCTGTATTGCCTCCCCCCCACACACATACACACGCACTGCTTCCTCCAAGTGGAACACCGGATCCCTTTCCTACAGACCTCAGCGTAAATGTTACTTTTCCCAGGATGCCCTCCACCACTGACCCACCACCAATGCTGCCAGCTCTGAGGCCACACACAGTGCCCCAGAGCTCCCCCACTACCCATCTCCATGGCGCTAGGGCGGCACAGGGGGCTCATGCTGATCTTGTTCAACAACAGTAACTCCCAGGGTCTGGCACCTACAAAATGTTCGGTGTGTGCAGCACAAAGAGAAAGCCAGAAGGAACAGAGAGGGGCAACTCTCACTGACTCACAGAAGTGCTCCTCCTAATCCGGTCTCCCTTTGACCCCCCTCATGTGAGCACATGAGAAATGCTACCCACTGCACTGGGGGCCGGAGACACAATGCTCATTCTATAAGGTTTAAATACCTCATAATAAACCTGGGAAAAAATAAAATGAACTCTGCCTTCATTCCTAATCCTGCCTTCCTCAGCTACAGGACACTCGGTGACTACCTGTCATAACAATTCTGCCACCATCTGATGGCAGTGCCATACGACAGAGTATACCCTGTTGGCAGTGCAAGAAAATAGTAAAGAACCCTTAAGGTCAGCTCATAAAACACAAGGGCTCTGCCTATGGTCAGGCCCTGGGTTCCACCAAAATTCTGGGATTCATCGATTTCCGTGTGCCGGGAGCCTTTCCTACAGGCAAGGAGAACCGGTGTTCACGATGGAAAAGAGGAAGGATGAAAAAGATGCTGGGGGGGCAAGCAAGCTGCAGAAGAGCACAGACTCACGATGGAGTCAGAGTGGGGGAGCCAAGTTACACCGAGCCAGCGCGCCCTGGGGCTGCTTTGGCAGCCTGTCACCAACTGGCCACCTGTGCTCCGTCTCCACAGAGACGGAATTTGCAGGAGAGAGAACACAGAACACCGTTGACACTGAAGCAAAAGCAACTGTTCGTGACAGCTACTCCCACAGGGCTGTGCAATCATAAACAGTCCTGGAAAAACAACTGGCAAGAGCATGAAATTTCTGAAGTCCAGTGGATGAAGACCCCTCACTAGCTGTCCCCTGTCCCCTCCTGCACACCACTCCTGAGAAAAAGAACCGTGATGTCAGGGCAGCTGACCTAAGGTGCTGACACTCGTCATTACCTCTTGCTGCTTCTCCTCATTGGGGTAGGTGTCTACAAATACTCCCAGCCCCACAAATTTGTCCATGTTTCCAAACACAGGCCCTAGAGAGAGAGAACAGATGAACAATGAGACAAAGCCGAGAGTCGATAAAAGAATAACAGCTCCCTGTGATGAAGGCAAGGCAAGATTTAATGACTCCCAGGCCTCTCCTAAGATGAGAACACACAGGTAAACGCAGCTAGCAAAGTGTGGGGCCTGAAATCAGGGCCAGTCTGGAGTTGTTTGCTGTGGAAGGCAGGGTAAAAGAGGAGGCCACTGCGATCCTGGTTAGCACTGATCCTCACTGTTCCTGATCCTCACGGGTTGCTAAGGAACCCCTGCAGAATATGCTTCACAAACACCCGGTGCAAATTATGTCCCCAAGAGAGAACTGAATTCCCAAGTTCTACTTCTTGTTGCAAAAGACAGCAGGTTAAATCAGGCTGCACCTCACATCTACCTACAGCAAGGATCCAGCACGGCAAGGGAAAATACGTAACTCCTATCTCACTCAGAGCACTGAGACTGCTCACTGGACGTTCCCGGAAGAAACCAGCTCACCAACCAGTAGTGTTCAGGAGAGCCTGGGCCTCACCCAGCCACTGGGCCAAGTTTCACAGGGAAACTTGGGAGGAACCAGTGAGCCAGAAATCACCCCATGTGAGCCATGCTCAGCTGGATTCAGACCCCACGCTACAGACACCAAGGGAGAAGGAAAGCCCTTCTCCACAAGAGGGCACAGAAAAGAGTAGGCCCACCACCCCCACACGAGCAGCAACCCAGCGTCCCCAGTACCTGGCTGCATCCGATCCTTCGTGTACCAGATGGCGAGGCCGTCCCCGTGCAGGTTCTTCTTGCCCTGGCCGTGGATCTTGAAGTGCACCTGCAGTTCCCAGTCCCTCAGGAAACATGGCTGCAGCCAAACAGACACTGGGTCAGTGGGGAGCAGGCACTCAAATCCCTCAAGCCTGAGTGTTACCATATAGACTCGGGAAACATAACTGCAGCTTGAGGCTGAGGCTTAAAACCCAAACCTAATTTCTGTGAGGGTTCCGTTATAATACTGAACAGACTGAGCCACTGGAACATTTAAGACATTTACTACAAAAACAACAAAAAGCCCAATTATATTCAATATCTCGCAGCAGAAACATGACAGTACTCCACAGCTAGCAAAGGCAAGAGAGACCACCATGCTCCTACAGCTATCCAGAAAAGCCTCTAGTCTTCTCAGTACACCTGCCTGGATTAATCCTCATTTGCTCTGACAGAAAAACTCTAAAAAGCTAGGATTTAAAGAAAGGTCAAAGCCTTATTCTTTAAAAAGAATAAGAAAAGTTAAGCCATTATGCCAAGGGTTTCCAGGAATTAGTGGATGCTATAAACAACTCTAATTCACTGGCCCTGGCCCTCTGCCCAGGTGAAGGGTAAGCACAGGTCTCACCAGAAGGGGATGTCATGGTCCCCCACACCCTCAGTGCCACGCCAGGAAACACAGATGTGCCAGAGATGAACACCATGCTCACCATGGGGACAACCTCTGCGGACACATTATGTGGGGACCCCTATTTCTCTTGTTTGAATTGTGCATCAAGACTTTGTAAAAACAGAGGAGGCAGCGAGCGGCTAAGTGCTCTGAACAATTTAACACTTTTAAGGAAATTTAGGGAGGCTCCTAGTTAAAGTCCACTGTGAATAAAGAAGATAAGAAGCAGACAGACCAGCTGGGTCCAGCCCAGGACTCTGCAAATAGATTGTTCTGGCTCATCGGAAGTACACTGCTAGGTCATTTTCACTTTTCATTGTGGATTCCTGGGATATTTTCCAAAAGCATTAGGAATACAAAGTCAAGATGAAAGGGGGTTGGGGACTTCTGCTTTTGGCAAAGAACCTGGAGATCTCTAATAGCTGAGCCTCCTCTAATAGGCCCAGTCCATCTTAGCGTTTTAGGGCTTTATCTTCCTGCTTTTTTCACTTGGGTTTCACAACAAGGTGAAGTTCAGTGGCAAAAAGCTGCCCCACAGCCATTAGGTAGTTATGAAGCCACTGGGAAGACCAGAGCCAGTGAAGGTCGCACTAACCCAAGAGGCTTCTGGCTCAGGCAGCAATGCTCCATGGTTTTCCTCTGGGCCTAACAGTGGTTCTGACACTTTGTTGCACTTAATCTCCATAGGGAGTTAGAAATCCCAGTAGCCTAGTGTACTCTCTTCTAATTACATCAGCAGCCCTGGAGGTGGGACCCAGGTGTCAAGCCAACAGGTAGCCAAATTTGAGAACCACTGTCCAAACAAATGTGTCCCCTACACAAACAACTCAAGAAACCATCTCACAGCTCTTTCTGATGATCAGGGAACAGAGAACAGAGAACACTGGTATCACAGAACGTGAAAAAGGGACAGAGAATTAGAGCTAGGTTAGAATCAGCTAGAGACACCTCCTAACACAGCATGGATGTAATCATTTAATTCTCCCCAAGAGTTTCATCAATGAAACCTGTAACAGGTTTCCCTAGCCATTTTAACTTTCCAAAGTTTTTTCATGTCTATTGTCTTGTTTTATTCTCACAACCAGCTCGGTGGGCAAGTAGAACAGGTCTTACGAAGATGACGGGAAAGATGGAGAAGGGAAAACTCTCAGGGCCCACGGAGGGCCTAGAACAGAGCTGGATTTAGAAGCCACGTCTTTCAGCTGCCCTTTGTATCTGCTGCCGTGCTCTGCACTCTGTCCAAAAATGAGCCTGGCACCACAATCTGGGTTACGGGGCCAGCTTGTGTGGAGAGAGCTCAGAGAAACTTTTCTCACCCCTCTGCTCCTTGAGAAGTCTCTGCTTCAGAAAATAAACAAGGAGAAAGAAAGAGTCCTCTTTTCTGAGGTTCATTCATCTACAAGCAATCAGAGGAACTATATGTAAAATATTATTTTTTTTTACTTATGGGAACCCAAGAGAAATTGTCAAAGGACGCCAAAATGACCCCCCAAAGTAACATAGTCATAAAAGATTTAGAAAGAGCCCTGGAAACTAAAAAGAAAGCATCATCTTACACTTGTACAAAATCACAGTGCAGCCACACCAGCAATACTGCATTCACTTCTTGTCTCAAGGAAGACAATGTAGCTAGAAAAAGTCCAGAGAAGGATAAATAAAATGACCAATAGCTCAGGGATTTTTCACATGAAAAAAAAAGTTTTTTGTTTTTTGTTTCTTTTTAATAGGATTCACATGTAGCCCAGGCTGGCCTTGAACTCCTACACTCAAATAATCCTCCTGCCTCAGCCTTGCAAGAAGCTGGGATTACAGGCGTGCTCTACCTTGCAGGCTGTAGACTTCTACTTTACAAAGCAAAATAATTAAGAGATGTATGCTATTAAATCCCAGTAAATAGTACCATTGGGTCATCAGGAATTACAGACATTTCTGAAAACAGGTTCAAAATGAATTGTTTGCTATGATTGGGACAATGGCGAGTATTTACCTAAATATCAGATTTCTCTGTTCGAAAGGGTACCATAATTTCTGAAATAAAAGATCGCTGGTATCTATAAGAACGCAGAATACTAAAATAGATAATAAAAGTAAGTTAGTATGTCACTGCTGAACTTTTTAGGACATCTGGGACTGTCAGCAACACAGGAGGGAAAAAGTCCTTCTTACCACCCGGTTCCACAAGGCACCCTGTTTACTCTGCATATCTGGAGTGAGGCGGATGTACTGGGTCATCACCATGGCATTGCCCATCAGATTCCACAGTGAGGAACTGCCCGTGCCCACACCTACAGGGAGGAAGTGGATCAGTTCATATTCTCCAACATCAACCCATCCAAAGACCTACCACAGGTCCTCTGTGAGTTGGAAACATTATCTTTTTTTCCCATTCTTGTCACTCAACTCAGTCTCCCACCTCTGTCATACTTTTTTTCTATTTAAAGGAGCCTCATTATGTTGACTAGGATGGCCTCAAAATTCTGGGCTCAAGCGTTCCTTTAGGCTCAATCTCCCAGGTAGTCGAAACTACAGTCACATACATGTGCCTGGCTACACATAAATTTTTTTGTTTTTTTGAGTCTTGTTATGTAATCCAGACTACCCTTTGAATTTGTAATCCTCCTGACTCAGCCTTCTGAGCGCTAGGATTATGGCAATGTGCCACCATAGACACACCTATTTTAAATCCTCCCCATCTGTACAGCTTCTCTTCACAACACCCTCATAAGATGAAGACCCCGAAGTACATCGGAGCTATCTCTTCATGTGTGCCACAATAATAACAGCTCAGATCTACTCCCATTTTATATGAGTGAACTTTAGCATTGTAACAGAAAAAAAATTCCTGTTATAGCAAAAAACCATGGTCCTCAGGCCTATGGGCTTAATTCTTTAATTAGTCCATTAAGTATAAGCTATTTTGTCCCATTCGTAGACTATAAGCTCCAGGACAGGAGAAACTTGGTTTCTATGACCTGTTGTATGACCAGCACATAGCAGGCAATGTCGCTGCTGGGTGAATAAATGATACTTCAGCAACAGTATTGCATATACTCTTTTTGTTTCCTGTTCCCATAACCACACTTCAGTGGAAAAAACTACTTGTGTTAAACTGCCTCAATGATGTGGTCTCTTTTATATGTAACCGTACCTATTTTCTGGTCAATAAGCTACTCATACTAGGGTCCTATGATCGGTACAATAGCAAAGTCAACCAGCCCTTTTCATCATTAAGGAGCCTGGTCAGGAAAAGAGCAGTATTATAAACCAGCAACAGAATTTTATCTTCTTTCTCAGCCTCGTCAAGTTGTCAAGTTCTACCCCAGTTCTTCCTCCAGTTTTATTTCTGGCACACTCACTGCTCCATCGCGATCCTGGCTCAGGACTGGAAGCCCCCAGTCACTCCCCCACTGTTCCCACGCCTTCCCACACAGCTCCTGTCCACTCCGAGGTTCTTGGGTCGTCCTACAGCTGGTGGCATGGGAGCAGCCAGCCTCGACCTACTGGAAACTTCCAGGACTCCAGAAGGGGAGGGGGCGGATCCCTGGCCTTCGGACCTGGGTGCAAACGTGGATCCCTATACATCCCCGGCCGTTTCCTCTGAGCCGAGAAGCCCCGCTACCTCTACCGAGGAGCGCAAGTCGGGAAGCCCCCCTCCCCATACAACCACCTCGCCCGGGTGCCTCACCCTGGTAGGGCTTCGACAGCGAGTGCTCCCGTTTCAAGTACTCGAACGCCTGACCCGCCCCGACTTGCCGTGGCCCCTGCCCAGACCCCAACAACAGAAGAAGAAGCAAAATCCTGGACCCATCCCTAGCCGACCAACGCCGCCGCCAGTGTTGCCACCAGCCAGAGGAGCGCAGAGTCACCGCCATGTTTCCCACCGCCGTCCCTTCATCAGAAGCCCGCCCCCTCGCCCAACCCATTGGTCTTTAGGACCAATTTCCTTGCTTCCCATTGGTTCTTGTTGAGCACCCGCCTCCACAGGTGAGTATCTCACCGATTGGCTGTTTTTCGTATCAGTTGCCTTGCCAACCCAGGAAAGGGGCGTGGCCGAATGTTCCGACTCCCTTATTTGCGTGTGTCCTGCGCTTTACTAGGCCTGCTGGGTTAGTAGTGACTTTTATTTTGTTTCTGCGTTCTATAGTAACTTTAAAGTGACAAAACCTTTCCTGCGATCGCAAAAAAATGTTCTATGGTCTATGTTCTAGTACCTTCCTGACTGTTAAGAGAATTTATCAGTCCAGTGATATAGAATTGAAAAGAGAAATAGACAAATCCACAGCTAAAGAAGCTGGAAGATGAGCAGATTAAAGACTTGAGCTGCACTGCTAACCAACTTGACCTGATGACATTTATAGAGACCCCACACAACAACAGCAGAAAGCATTCTCTTTAAGCACAAAATGTAGGCACAGAAATTTGAGGCCATAAAGCAAACCACAAATGTGAAAGCACTGAAAGTGCACAAATAATTCAGTATCAAGTCAATCAGTGCCTTCTCATCTCTCCTTTCCTATTTCCCCAGAGTCACCACAACTATGCCTCCAGACTGCTCTAGGTCACTCTTCTCACAAGGTCACTGATGTGATCTAAACCATCTAACCATGGTGTGTGTCAGTGTTAAATGAGATAATATTGACAAATCCTTAGCCGAGCCCATGGTATGTGATAAACACATTCCATCTTCATCATTGTTATTACCAGGGCCTTTGACAGCTTACCATCATCTTCAAGGAAGAGATTCAACTCCCTGGACTCTGTATGCAAAAGCTCTCTGTCATCTGGCCCTACCCTCCACTCCACTGTCCATTTCCGGTTCCCTGACTGGCTTCCTCCATTCCTCTTTTTTCCAGCAACCTACTTCCTCCTGGAGGCTTTCCACAACTCTCTCAGGACAAGTATGTGCCAATCTCAACTTCACACACAACTCTTGTCAGATCTATGTCTATGCCTTCTGCATGGACTTCACCAAAGTCAACTCTATTGGACTGGGGCTGTATCTCAGTAACAAAGTGCTTTCCTAGCATGCACAGGCCCTGGGTTCAGTCTCCAGTACACCACAACACACTCCAAACATGCACACACACACATGCATACAAGCATGTCACTTCTTTGTTGCCGAGCATAAGTATATTTAATAAAAGAAGCATGATATGAATGTGTTTTACAGATAATTTTTTAATGCCGTCAAATCCACTAATCTTTTACTCAGTCTAACCAAAGCAGATGTATGGTGATAGGACATTAGGAATTACAGTAAATCTACTCATGCATGTGTACTCTGGCTTTAAAGCCATTCATGGGCCTGAATTATCATAGGATAAAAGGCCAATCTCCTTAGTAAAGCATTCAGGGCCCTTCACAACCTGACTCAAGTCAGGCCGTACACTTATCTATTATAATATGTGTCACTAGAATTGTGTGGCTCAACTAACAGACTGTGTGCATTTGTCTCTCCATGGACGCTGGGAGCTCCTGGACCACAGGAAGCAGGCCTTCCTCATTTCCTATATCGGACCCAACTCCTAGTCATCACAAGTATGTAGCAGGGATTCTAAATGTTTCCAAGAATCATTTCCATGGTATTTCTCTGTCAGTGGATTTTTATTGTTGTGATAAAAACGTTGCCATTTTAACTTTTATTTGTTTGCATTGCTGAGAATCAAAGGTAGGGCTTCCTGCACACTAGACAGTGAGCTGTATCTCCAGCCTCCCCCTTTCCCTTCTTTGAGGTGATGAGGATAGAATCCAGAGGTGCTCTATGACTGAGCTATATCCCCAGCCCTTTTATTTTAATTATTTGATTATTGATTAAAATAGTTTATTTATTATATCAATTAAATGTTAAATCAATTCATTCATACACCAATTAAATTTATTTATATAAATTAATTAATTTTGGGGAGGTATTGGAGATTGTGCTCATGACCTTGTGCTTGCCAGGCAGGTGCTTGTGCCATTGAGCTAAACCCCCAGCCCAATTATTTTTTTGATACTGATTCTCACTGACTCACCCAGGCTGACCTTGAATTTGCAGTCCTCCTGACTCAGCCTCCAGAGTAGTTGGGAATACAAGGATATGCCAATTCCTAGCTCCCAGCCCTCATTTTAAGTATACTGTATGCTAAAAGAGGCCTCAGTTTATCACATTGTTGTGTGGTCTGTCCCTTGCATTTCTGAGAGATTATTGGCATAAATTCCTTATGATGGAGAGAAGTTGAATAGAAAAGAAGAATATGGAAAGTAAATGCCTCGATGATTTTGTTTCAACCATTGCAGTAGGGAGAAGGCTCATTAATTAATGTGGTACATGTCAGAGAAGAGGAGCAGAGCCCGGGGTTTGAGAGAGGCAAGCAAACAAGCAAACAAGGGAGTTGCCATGAGAAAGAATGGGGGGGGGTCTTCACCCCAATGACTGAGGAAGAGTAGAAGTAGTCTGATCCTGTGTTTCAGTTACTTTTCTCTCATTGCTGGGACAAAATGCCCAAAGCACAAAATGAAGGAAGGAGAGGTTTATTTAGCTCACAGTTTGTAGAGGTTTTAGTCTGTAATCAGCTGGCTCCAAAGCAGGGTGGCATAGCGCAGGGCTGACAGTTTAAGACTGCAGAAGACAGCAAAGCAACAAGAGCAAAAAGTGGGGGAGAACAAGCTTCTTTTCCTCCTTTGAATTGTAAGTAAGCTACCATCCTCCCAACTCCCACCCTCATCCCCCCACCCCAACCCTGCCCCAGAGTGGGTGTAGCGCTCACACCACCTCTGTTCCCTCCTCATATACAGACTGAGAATGTTTACAAAGTAAGGACCCTTGGCCCCCTGCAAATCACTTAAACTTTTTACCTTCTCTAGTTGATACAATTTATCAACCATCATACTTGGGGGAAATAGCTAGAGCTTCTCGGCAACAAGCTACTTCTCAGACTGTAACAATTGGGAAGAAAAAGAATGAATGGTGGGTTTCTACTGGAGCTGTTTTTTATTTCTATTTATTTACTTGCTATTTATTTATTTATTTTGTCTCTTTGAGACAGGGTCTCGCTATGCAGTTCAGGCTGGCCTTGAGCTCACTTTGTAACCCAGGCTGGTGTCAGACTCCCAACAATCCTCCTGCCTGAGCCTCCCCGAGTTCTGGGATTACAAATGTGAGCCACCATGCCCAGTTTGTAGCTGCTTTTTACAGGTCCCAGTTTCAGGTAAATAAGCCTTGTCAGACATCTTCTAATAACACACTGTTCAAACACAGCCATCTTTTGTTGTTTGTTTTGTTTGAGACAGGATCTAGTAATGTAGTTCAAACTGGTCTTGAACTCAACAATCAGCCTGCATCGGCCTCCAAGTAACTGGGATTACAGGCTTGGGTCTCAGGCATCTTCTGAAGGCTGGGTTAGACCTTAATCTACCGCCCTTTCAGCTGTCTGATATTCCTGTTTTCTCCATGGAGTCAGAGCCCATGATCCACGGCACACAACTCCAGGGCAGGGGGCACTCAAATACTTTTCCAGCTGCGCATCTGGGTGATTCTTCCATCTGCCAAAGTCAAAGCCAAACGGGTGTGCTCAGGGGCCTGATGCCTGATACCCCCCCAGGCCCCTCCTTTCTCTCCCTCCCACCCTTCCTGTCTGAGCTTTGCCACTCCCTTCAGATCCACCACCCATTGGACCCCTGGACCCAGACAGGTGTGACCATCCTCCCTCGTCGGGGGCCTCAGCAGGCCTTGGGGTCAGCTGTCTTCAGCCCTCTACTCACTGCTGGCTGGGTCACAGCCAGCTATCACTCCAGCATGGAGAAGAGCAACTCTGATGCCACCAGGACAGCTGCTTCCAGTAGTGACCTCTCAACGCAGCCTTCAGAGCCAATACCCTGTGTACCTCTGAAGCGCACAGACGCTGGGCCTCACCTAGAAGTGCTTGTGCCCAGCACCCACGTCCACGGGTCTAGGGCGGAACACGGATTTGGCCTTGAATTTGTCTGCCAGGAGAACTGGACTACAAACTACTCACATCCAGTGTCTCCTTTACACCTCGTGAGATACAAGCTTTAAAATGAGAACATTTGTACTCACTCCGTGGAGTGTGAGCACATCGCAGACAGAGGATGGTGCCTACACTTGGCTGTGAGATTTAGAGGTAAGATTTAGAAATTCAGTTTAAAATATGCGGGCGGGGCAGGGATACAGCTCAGCAGCACAGCGCCTGCCTGGCAAGTGTGAGGTCATGAGTTCGATTCCCAGTACAAAAGAAAAGAAAATGCTGGGGGCAGTGGCATTTGTGTGTGTGTTGGGAAGGGTAGGGCAAGTTTTTTGCTTAATTCCTAAACCAGTAGGATATTGATAACTGTTAAAGCTGGGTAGGAATACAACAGAAATCTCTTTCTAGCTTTATGTATGAGACTTACCTTAGTAAAGAGCTTGATAAAATCTCCCCCTGGATATGAGATGTATGCATTTATGGTGTTTGCTAAATTTCCTAGAGGGAATGAAAACTGTAATGAATTGTAATCTGGTAAAATTGTGACACCATTCAATAAAATGTCATAACTAGGGAGAAAGAAAAAGAACAGTCAAGAGATGACATATAGTAGCTGTACCTCAGCTCTGTATTTGTGCAAGAATGCTTTTGTTTTTTAAATACCAAGGATCGAACTCAGGACCTCACACTTGCCAGGCAGGCAGGCTTGTGCTGCTGAGCTAAACCACTGGCCCAGTTCTATATTTCTGAAGTATCTTCTTTCTAAGGTTCTTACAACTTTCTTCAAATCTAATCTATTCTTCCAATATATTCATATGACAGCTAACATCGTAGTCCTCTCAGAAGTTTAATTTCTCAGTACAAATTAAGAAATTAGTACTTGGAGTCAGACATGGTGGTATATGCCTATATTCCCAGTGCTCAGGAGGCTGAGGCA